GGGGGGGGGAGCGCAAAGACTATCTTTTGCTAACATTTGCGTCTCATAGTTTGTCAGGAACTTGATTCCGCATCAACAGGCTGCAAAATGAACGGAGAGAAGCAGAACATGGATATATTGGCTTGGTAGTCTTGGGCCGGTGTTGACTGTGTGAGTGTTTGGGCGGCAATTGGTATACGTTCCGATTCGCAATAAACACGTCAGCGGACCAGTGACTGGCACTACATTCGAAGAAGCGGCATTCATGCATGGAGACTCTGTACAGTGAATTCAGGTGATTCGCTCTCTAAGACTAGTCTTGAAGGAGATGAACACTCAAATATGATAGTGCGAGGCCGTTGTAGACATCAAGGGGAGGACCGAGTCGATCCCATGTTTCTCTATCATGCCAGCAGGAAGTGCTTTTCACGTACCACTCTTGCAGTACTGCACAGCCTGTTGGCTACGTTGGACGATGCGAGGAGATGAACATCCAGGATCGATGGGGAAGAGCATGAGTGATCAGTGTCTTCGCATTGGTCTCGCATTTCGTACAGACCCAGGTTATAGTGGGAAATGGTGGAGATAATGGCAGGGAATAGCGTGAATTGCCTTGTATACAAGGATAACTATGAATGAGTGTTATGAGTGAAGCTTTTTGAGTGCATTCTCGAACATAGTGATATATGATGTCGACATGCTTAGTTCGAGCGTGATAGACAGGGTTTTTGGCTAGTTCAATGGCTGAGTTTGAGTCACTATAGATGTTAGTGACTTCTAGGCCTGGGGCGCTTATTTCTGAGAGTAATGCCCTTAAATATTGTTGTTCTTTGATTGCATCTCTTAGGGCCATATATTCTGCCTCGCAGGAGGATAAGGCCACTGTTCTTTGGAGTTTTGAGTTCCAGGATAAAGGGGTTCCTCTATAAAGGAATATATACCCTGTTGTTGATCTCCTAGTGCCTATATCCCCCCCCCCCCCCCCCAATCTGAATCAACATAACCGTCTATGTGATTTAGACTTGAGTGATAGAGTAGGCCTAGGTTTTTAGTCTCGGCGAGATATTCCCAGACCCTTTTAATCGTTTTGAAGTGTTGAGGGTTGGGATTGGACATGAACCGCGCTAACAGGCCTATAGAATAGACTAGGTCTGGTCGGGTTTTTGTTGATAGATATAGAAGGGCTCCAATTTGTTGTTGATAAGCCTTTATATCTTCTTTCTTTGCTTGTCCTTCTAAGGGCTCTAATTTCAGTCCCTGTGGAATTGGGCAGCCCTTTTTTCTTGGTGTGAAGGGTCCAAACCTTTTGAGGATTTTGTCGATATAGAGACCTTGACTTAAAGATATAGTCTTGTTTTTTCTGTCCCTTGTGATTTTTATCCCTAGGAATTCGTCGATTTCACCTAGGTCTTTAATGTCGATGTGTTTCGCTAGATTCTTGTAGAGATCCTTGATTTTGCTGAGTTCTGAGCATAAAACAATTAAGTCGTCGATATATGATATAAGGATTAATGATTTATCCTTAATCATATAAATTGATTGGTCAACCTTAAGTGAATCGAGCCCTTGTTTTTTCAGCAGTTCTCGGAGGTGTATTTCCCATTCACGTCCTGACTGTTTAAGCCCATATAGAGCCTTGTTTAGTTGACATATATAGTCAGGGTTTTTGGGGTCTTCAAAGCCTGTTGGTTGGCTTATATAGACTTTTTCCTTGAGGCTAGCATTAGTATAGGCTGTTTTGACGTCCCACTGTTGAATCTCCCAGTCTAGAGAGGCTCCTAGGGCTAGGAGTAATCTCCAAGCGATAGGGTTAACTGTGTTAGCGAAAGTTTCAAAGAAATCGACTCCATACTCCTGTTGAAAACCTCTTGCAACCCATCTGGCCTTATAAATGGGCTCTTTATGGGGATCTTTAATTTTGAGGACCCATTTTCCATCAAGAATTTTCATAGAGTCCTGTTTAGGCCTTCGAGTTACGTAGCAGAAAGTCCGCAGAACATTGATATACAATTATATCTCGAACTCTGGACTCCGTATTCGTCAGTGAGGACATCCTCACGTGTTCGTCTTCGCAAAATAGACCGATTCACTCTGATCGACCAGCCAAAAAAAGGACATCCTGAATCGTTTTTCTTTTTCTCAGATCAGCAAAAACTCTAGTCTGGAGGCCAGCTGCACGCTTGGCAACTGACGTCCAGACCGAGGGAAAACCCGGTGGTTTTTTTCTCGTGCGTTTCGGCAGAGAATCACTTCACTAGACCCCCGTGTGAGGCCATTAAGGCAAAGATACTACCCCCCGGTAGCCCGAGACGGCGCAGAGCCCGAACTCAGAATCCACTGAAATTACACAGGCGTGGTTTCTTTTTCTGTGGCGGTGAAATCCCAAAGGTGTTACCCATTCAGCCACCACCACGGTCCGAGAGATGTGTGATTGTTGAAGGGAATTCTGCAAAAGTTATTGATAACCTTTGATTGTTTTTTTTGGTTCAGGTCCTTGAATAGGCCTGTTAGCCTTTTGGCAGTGAAGGCCTCGAATCCACTCGTGTTCACCGCGGGCGCGCGACGCGACTGTTGGTAGATGCTCGTTGGTTCCAGAGGAGAATGCACACTAGACAGCTGGGCCCGTTATTGCCCACTCCAGGGGTTGCTGGACTGGGTGCGCTGCATCCAGTGTATACTTCTCTTTGCGGAGTGTCCTAGGCTGAGTCCCACCAGGCATATACCGGCCGTGGGTTGCTCTGCACGGCATCTGGGCGCGTCACCGGTGACCCTTTTGCTTCGATGGCTAGCTATGCAAGGTGTATCGTGCATCAGCGTTGTTGTTTTGTTATTTGTTGTAGACCCTCGTTTTCCCTCGTGGCCTTGCTATCTCACCTCGCCGCTGCCCACTTCTACCTCTCGAGCATCGTGAATTGTGTTGCAGGGTGATCGTCTGGTGTTCGACGGTTCGTGCACAAGACAGGCGATGTGTACGTTTCTCCTCGCACTCAGAGACACGGTGGAAATTTCCCAACAGACACCTAACCTCATGGGAGCTCATTATCGTCCCTCGTCGCAAGTTCTTGGTGTGTGTGAAGTTCCCTTGCAGTTCCGTGCGATGCGGGGAGATCGAAGCCAAGTCGATATCAAAGCCTCCTTTACAGTGACGCTGATTGGTCTGCCCATTTTCTGCTATCTACGTCGCTTTTGTTCGCCTCTTCTGCAGATTATATAACTCTGTATGTCCATCAAGCCACAAGCCGATAAGCACCAATGTCTGCATTGTGGTGAGAAATGAAATGCATTCGCTTGAGGAATTCATCTTCGCAGCCAGCGTCCGATGAGCCCGTCGACTCCGCCACCCCCGACCAAAGGTATGGAGTTTCGGCTGGAGTATGGATGTGGTCGCTGATCTCGAGCAGATTGCCGCAACTGTAATCGTCGACGGATTCGCTGTGATCGCGGCATCCCGACCTGCGTCAAGTGCCACGCCAAAGGTCTTACGTGCCCTGGATACGGGTTACACCTTCGATGGGCCAACTCGACAGGGCGGAATGCGCGTCCGAAAGCGAGGAGCAAGCCATCTTCACGCTCAGATGCGACAGTGCCGCCATTGCTGAGCAACGATCATGAATCAGGTCTCTCTGCGAGCCCGCTCTCACAGACCTCGTCGCCGGTTGGCTCGTCGGAGGCGGTTTTAGAGACACTCCCTGATTCTGTCCGTCAACGCTTACTCAACCACTATGCCGCACACATAGCTCCGCGAATGGTGTGGGTCGACTCTGATCGTAACGAATACAAGCGACTAGTCGTTCCCCTGGCCGGTGCACAGATGGTGCTGAGGCACGCAATCATGGCTACAGCGGCGGCTCATTCGTGCGACCAGGAGATTGACAGATCGGCAGTGTCGAGCGCGGCATGCAAGGATGCCCAACAACGGATCACACAGCGTGTTCGCCGGATGATCCAGAGTGACTTGGATTCGGATGACTCGGTTCCAAATCCTGATGACACCGAGGATACGAACGAAGCCGTGCTTGCCAGTGCACTAATTCTCTCCAACCATTCACTGTTGACCTCCCAGTTGTCCGAGGCCCAAATCCATCGCCGTGCAGTCCGTGTCCTCATCAACTCCATACTGTTCTCGGGGCCATCAGATGGCCAGCTGTTCAGTTTCCTTCGCAATCAAGCTGCTATTTTCGACGTCTTCACATGCACCACCATAGTGATCGACTCGGATCATGTTGAAGGAGCCGTGCTCCCAGGCGGCGAGCAGGACAGTGTCCTATTTGGAAATTTCCTCGTGGTGGTCCAGGACATTACCTTGGAGTCGATCCACAGACACATCGGCAACCAACCATCACCCGCGACTGACGTCGGTGATTTCGAGGACCGCTTTGAGCTTGCACGAGCATCTACACTTGCAGTGGCAGCAGCACTGGGAGTGTCGTGTCAGGACACGATGAATATCGATTTGGTCCGACTGGTCGACATCTATCACCACGCAGGCGTGCTCTACGCATTTAAGCGCCTGAAGAACGAGACTTCTAACCCGGAGGAGGACTATCATATCCGAAGACTCTTCAGAGTCATTCAGAATCTTGATGATCTAAACGGAGCATTACACAACTTGGCGTGGCCAATATTTATCGCCGGACTCTGTAGCTGGCCAAACATCGAGCGAATTCACACGGTCCAGCAAATCTCAGGTTTGATATCGGAAAAGACAGGCTTCTGCCACTACAAATCCATATCGGACTTCCATCGCGAGCTTTGGGATAGTCCACACCACAACTGGCTGTTATTGGCAAGAGAGTGGGAGACGAGGCATCTTCCTCTGATCCCGGTTTGAAACTTTTCCCACATGTAGTGTCCCTCGGAGGACCAGACCTTCTTAAGGGATTATCTCACCTTGCGATGTCCAAGCCAAGCACAGCTGGTGGATTTACTGTATTGGAGATTATACTTGTTGATAAGACTGGGTTTGTTTGACCCCCTGAGTACCGCTTTGGATTTTGTGAAAAGCCCAAAGATGCGTGTTCGAACTATATCTTGATTTGTCTGAAACATTTGTTCATGGAGGGAAATGAGATGCACGATGATATGAAGCATGCCCCGTCAATGCTTTTGTCCTTGCTTAGGTATACACAAGCATGTTACAAAATACCAGAGTAGTCTTATAGAGGCGACAGGCTAACTAGTTAGAAGGTGGTGAATAAGACCTAAAACTTTAGGGGCTTGTGCTTATAAGAGCACCTGAAGTTTAGGCGGTACTGAGGGTGATTATAGGCCTGGGTGCCTATTTGAATGGGCATCAAAGCCCATAAAGACGGGAAAACTATTCTCAATCAGGAAAAGTGACTTGAGACTTTGCCTTAGAAACGCTTATCCTCAGACTTCAGTCGCCCCTCCAAAACCTCCATAACCCCCATCCAACAGCCATTCACTCCCCCCAACTTCTTGTTTCCGTCATCTCCCGCACCAACACCTTATCTACAAGTCATCAGATATGTGTCCGCACGTCCTCTGTCAATTCCAGTCTCGTGCTGGATCCTGATACTCGGCTCTGGGCTTACACCGCTACCACCCACAGAAATGGCCGGCCACCACCCGCGTCAAACAACATGGGTGCCGCTGGCTCCGAATGGGAATATTAACCCGAGACCTGTCGAGGAAGCATCTAAACGAAAGCAGCCCAAGAGTCGCAACGGCTGCATCTCCTGCAAGGCCCGAAGGAGGAAATGCGACGAGACAAAACCTTTTTGCGAACAATGCACTCGACGAGGACTGACATGTGGCGGGTATCCCAAGTTTCTGAAATGGAGGGAATTTGGAAGGAAACTCGCCAAAGATCAGCCCAGGTCACTTACTGCATATTCGAAAATCAACGTTCAATCGCCAACGAAGAAGCAGGCTCAACAGACCAGTAGCCCGCAGGAAGATGATGCTTCGACAAAGTCGCAAGGAACAGCCTCGACTTCTTTTACGGGCCACCCTTCAGCGTCAGCACCAACATCGACATCTTCTCTTTCAAAATATCTCGGATCGACAGCACTGTCTTATGGCCCTTCTCAACCAGGCGACGTCGATCTAGAGGTTTTGAACGCGAACGATATCGATGGGCATGGTACTTCGGGAACTCAGCAATCAAATATTGACGACGCCTTCTTTCCCACCTCTCGATTGTCCGATGAGTCCACATCACACTCAGAGAACCTCGAATTCGCCCCAGATGTTTCGGTGTGGGACTTTTTCAGCCACGAATCACTGTTTGATTCTTTCATGGATGATGATATCACTGACACGACCTCCCAAATTCCGGAACTGGATCGAGCTCTCGATACCACTTTCGATTCACTCGTGCACTACCCTGAAGTTCCTATCAGCACGATACAATCTGAAGTCACGTTTCTCGAGGATGACACCCCTGAGTCCACCGAGGCTTCCGCAGAAACCATCAAACATATCTTCGAACAACAGACGTGCGAGATGCTTTCCATCAGGGAAGACCAGAGCAGGAATCCGTGGAGGACGCTGATCTGGCCGCTGGCGTCTGATTATCCCGCGCTCCAGTATGCACTTGCCGCCATGACTTGCCTGCACATGTGCAAATCTCAGCCTCAGCATCGACTGCCAGGACTTCGACACTTTCAAGCAAGCATCCGAGCACTCGCCAAGGACGTCTCCTGTCTCAGCGCACCGTTGATGGCTACGATTGCTACAAGACTCGCTCTTGGCTTTGCCGCCGGCTGGGACTACGAGAACTCGTCGACAGGCATTGACCATATCAACGAGGCTAAAGCCCTCATCAGAAAGGCCGCCGCTGATCATCGAAAAGAGCCTCTGTCCGGCGGCGACTTGAGTCGGCTGAGCTTCCTTGCAAACACGTGTTTGTATATGGACGTGATTGCACGACTGACGTGCGAGATTTCAAAGACGACCAACGACATCGACTTCATGATTGCCTGTAGGTCTCTCAGCAGCCACATTCCATCCAGACAGCAGATCGACCCACTTATGGGCTGTGCCATCACCTTGTTCCCCATGATCGGCCGGCTAGACGAGCTCGTGGGCAAAGTTCGCAAGAGGTGTGCAAACAGAAACTCGCCGGCCATAATCTCACAGGCGGTCGAGCTACGAACGGACATCGAGCAGTGGACTCCGTCGATAGAACTAGAAGGTAGTGGTGCTTCAGAGTTGACTCACCCCATCCTCTCGGATGCGATCCAGACCGCCGAAGCGTATCGGTGGGCTGCGCTTTTGTTGCTGAGACAGGCTGTTCCCGAGCTACCGTGGAGACACTCGTGTTGGGAACTGGCGTCGAAAACGCTCATCTTCATCGCCACCGTCCCTCTAAGGTCTCCGACGACGATCGTGCAGCACTTCCCGCTCATCGCGGCCGGGTGTGAAGCCACCGACGAAGACGACAGGGACTGGGTCCGCGAACGGTGGGAATTGATGAGTAAGAAGATGATCACGGGGATAGTGGATCGGTGTAAAGATATCACCATGGAGGTGTGGAGACGCAGAGACGACTTTGAAGAGCTCAATGATTTCGTGACGCGGAAGACGACGACGACAGGTCGAAGATCATCATCGTCCACGACACCACCGCCGCCGCTGCCAGCTTCGGGTGTGAATGTGTCGGTGGTCGACTTTGACACATCATCATCATCAGCAGCAGCAGAACAGCAGGTTCAACGGCCGAACGAGACCGATCTTCAGCACCAGAGACCCGGCGCACAATCACCCGCCGCAGCATCCGATTTCCCAGACACCGCAGCCTTTAAAAAGGGAGTGGATCCCGTCACGAGGGCCGGGTTCATGAACTATACTGTGAAAGGGGATTTACATTGGTTGGGAGTGATGAAAGACTGGAATCTGGAAGGTAAATGATGACTCGAATTTCTTTTTTTTTTCCTTCTTCTCGACTTCATTCTTTTCCTTCTCCGCCTATTCCTCTTTGTCCGTTTTCCTCGAATCCGTCCTTGCCTTGAGTACCACTTGTATCGTCTGTTCTAAGAGCGTCCACGCATGTACATGTTCCTACATACAATGACGGTCTGAAGGGATGGCTAACGACGGCATGGTTCTGACACAGTTATGCTCGGGTGATTCATGATTCGCGGTCCTCGATACGGGTCCACCGTATTGGTCCAGAATTGCGTACTGCGAGCGAGAACACGCGTACGAAGAAGTGTAAGGACAAGTAGTACTTTTGGTCGCCTTTCACGAAATCCATACTGGGTGATCACGAACGAATGGCCAATAGCTATTCGATTTTCGATTCTCGATTCTCCGATTCGATTGACCCGACCACTGGACCGACAAGGGTGATTCATTTCCAGACGAGTGTGAATTATTTCCGAAAGAAAAAGGAGGTACGAAAGTGGACTCGAGGTGTTGAATTCGATCGGCGGGGGGGTCCTACCGCACTACCCGTGCTGCTTGACTTCCTGTACTACCAAGACGAGCAGAGTATCAGGGTATCAGAGCACGAGACCGCCACATATCACGGGCCGCACGAGTACAGATACAAATCCAAGTCCAAGTCCAGGTGCAGGTCCAGGTCCAGGCTCTCAAGAGTACTAGGGGTGTCAAGTGCATCCGTAAAAGTGGCATTGCCCGCCCTGTCAATGACATACAACCTGCAGTTCCATCAAAGCTCAAAGAACATGGCTGCTTGCTTGCTGCACCTGTTGTGTTGTTAAGTCCGTATGCATGTTGTCGCATCTTAGCTCCGTCGTTAAATCCACAGAGGTCCTCACTTCTTCCCTCCCTGCCTCCCTCCTCCCCCTTTCGCTTCCGCGTTGCAATTAGTTTGTCGACATGAAGACCACCAGCGTAGCTCTCACCTACCTACCTACATACAATGTAGCCGGACGAATGTTCGTGGGGGATGTTTTTTGTTGTGTGCCTGGTAGTATCGTGTGGTATCGGGTGGTGATTGAAATGTACCTGACATACCTAACTGCCCTGTACTGTACAGATATAAACAGCTCCCCCAGACCTCACCCCCTTTTCCCTCTTCCCCGGTTGACTGACCTCGTACACACACACACACACACCGCTTAGATCGTTAGGGTTTTCCCAGTTTCTTCTACCTAGCTAGCCCAGGTACTCTCTCCTGTATCTGTACCCTTTTCCGCCTTCGTTTGATACTAGGTATCCTGCAACTTTCGTCACGCGCCATGAGTACAACTACCACTGCCAACACCAATACCAACACCAACACAATATACCTCGTCACCGGCGCCAATCGAGGTATAGGAAGGGGCCTAGTCGATGTGATCCTCTCACGGCCCAACACAACAGTCATCGCACTTGTTCGTGATGTTGAACATGAAACGACAAGATCACTCGTGTCCACCACCGCCGACGCCAACGTACCAACACCGAAGACTCTCGACCCATCTCATCCTGATCCCGATTCCAATCCAAATACCAACCACGTCATCATCATCCCTTACGACGCCAGTATCCCTGGCTCGGCCGAAACGGCCCTCACGACACTCGGGTCCACCCACGGCATCACTCACGTCGACACGGTGATCGCCAACGCCGGGATGCTCACCAAGCGCGGACCGAGCATCGACACGGCGCCGTCCGACATCCAAGAGTCAGTGCAAGTCAACGCCATCGCGCCCCTCGACCTCTTCCGGGCATGTTTGACTCTGCTGTCCCCGCCACCGTCCAAATTCGTCGCAGTATCTTCGGCCATCGGATCGACCCAGCTGATCCCGCAACACTCGCATTCGTCCACGTTGGCGTACGGAGTGAGTAAAGCCGCCTTGAACCACATCATGCGCAAACTGAGCATCGAGTATCCGGACATGGTGGTGGAGGTGGTGACTCCTGGCCCGGTCCTGACGGATCTGCTAAGAGAGAACAAACCCGAGTTCGACGCCATGCTGAAAGCGAATCCACAGTTGTTGGAGAGGTTCGTGCCAATCGATAAAGTGTGTAACGGGTTGATGGCGTTGATTGATTCAGCGTCGAGCGAGACGAGCGGCGGCTTCAGAGACTGGTCTGGTGAGGTTATACCCTTTTAAAACCCCCCAAACTCAAGGAGAACAATTGGGCCGATGAAAGACGAGAGGATAGTTATGGTGTGTCGCTGCTGTTTCCCTCAACTCAAAGGGTGTTAAATCAAGGTAGTTGTTTCATGTAGTTCCAATTCCATGATTCATGTCAACCCTTATAGCTTGCCTTTAGATGGAACATTAATGGTTCATCCCAAAAGAACCTCATACAGTCTGTCACTCCCGGGACGTCGCCACGGTCACATTGCGCAACTGCAGTCGAAGCAAGGTGATCAGAGAATGCGCAAGTCATGTTGTCGGGCCCATAGACCGCTCGAAGAATTCTGGCGGTCCACATCATCAACGATGTGTCGCATGCATTGAATGCCTGCGCCATCAAGCTCTTGCAGCAGATTTGGACGTTACAGTTGACGATCCAGCACGAGTCCATATCGGCACCGCGGTAAGTGCAGTACGCGAGCAGGGCAAGTCCGATGAGAATATCATGGCGATGGGTGGGTCGAGAGAGCTGCAGCAGTCGAAGACACCTCGCGACGTTCAGGTGACGAGACTGCTCGACTCTTGCGGAAAGGCCTTGAAAAGTCCACGACGCATGCCAATCAGACACGGTCTCAATCAACATTATACACTGGTATGTCAAAGATTCTGCTCCTGTTCCTGTGCCAATGGCTCTGCGTAGACCGCTTGGGAGACTCGGCCTTGTGCGTAGAGTCTCTTCACAAAATGCGGGATCGGCAGTCGTTCGGAGCCGATCGTCGGTCATCTCTGCTTGCACGATTTTCATGGCGTTGAAATGGTTGAAGTACGACTGCACCGTTCGAGCAAGGAACCCGTTGAACCCAAGAGCCTCATAACCGCCATGAGCAATCAATAGGTCCTGCATGGCTTTGAGGTGGATTTCGGTCTTCTCGTACTCGCCGACGAAATTCCAAACAGCTATCAAGGCTTCAATGCCCCAGATGGTAGCGTCGAGGGAAGAGCGTCCCTCGGAAATCGATCGCCGCAGCGAGATGTACGTCTTTTCGATCAATTGGTAAACTTCGGGCGTGATGCGCGGGACAAGTGAGGTTTTTGTGAAATCCTGGATGAGTACCGTAACCGCAGCACACGAGTTTTGGACAACCTCGTGATGGAGAACAAAAGGAACAACTGACTGGAGGAGTGCGCCATCCACGCCCTCATGTCGGTGGTGTTGTCTGCGATGGAAGCTGGGTGACACATCCCGGATATCTACTCTGGAATTAGTCACCGTCAGGGGCTGGTCCAGGCTGAGCTACTTACAAAGTGACAACGCCGGAGCCAGGGGACCTTCGAAGGAGAACGGCGATGGCTGTGCAACGTGCCTCGTTGGTACCAATCGCGCCTCGAGCAGTTCAACTGGCGATGCACTCCCTGAGGAATCCCCGGGCGTTTTCACTTGTCGATCTTTTTGGACGTCGGTTGTGGATTTTAGTGATTGAGCCTTGAGTCGAGCAGGTTGAGCAGGTCCCGTCCTCCACGAGAGAATGTGTTGTTTGTACGCTGATGATGGGACTCTCTTCTTCCCCGCCATGCAAGAATATCAGGTAAAAAAACAGAGAAAACAATCAATTGTGTAGGTGTAGAATATTCAACTTTCACGATGTTGTCACCGCTCGTCTGAACATGCCGACACCATGATGATTATGGCACTTGAACATCCTCCTGCGGAAGTCGATGAAGAATTTGAGCCTCAGAATGGGGAGATAGTCCTCATATTCGAGAGAGCGAAACGGGTGTCATCGTACAAGTGCCCCAGTATATGTCGCAAAAGGGTCCATAGGATGTACCACAGAAATAAAAGCCGAGAGAGGCCTTTTTCTGGTTACAGCATATGCTCAACAAGGGCGGGCTCGTTGGCCGGAGAGTCCGTTGATCTCGCTGTTTAGCCCGCCGCGAACGGACGAAAGAGGAAGTCGTTACAAGCCATTTAAGAGGCACGACGGGGGACCCGAGGTGTTCAAAGCGCTTGTCATGACAGAGGAACAAAGCGTGCGAGACTCGTTCGTCGGGGAGATAAAGACACGCTGTCAGTCGGGATATTTCTTTTGGCCCCCATCATGGCGCTTCCCACCTTTCGCCTCTTCCGACATGGTTATCGGCTCGACCGAGTAGCTTCATGAATGACAAATAACGGGCCCGGAGCCGGTGCCGGACGACAACTAGAGACGAAGAAGGGACACGGAGTCTTATTACTCGGCGGCCTGAACCGTGGATCTGGGTGGTGGTCGTGGTGGTGGGTGGTGTTGATTGTTGGTGGTGCATTTCGAGGGGTTGTTTGCTGTGGCTGCCGGATATCGAGATCTGATCGACGAGATACAATCGAATCGAGCTGTGTGCGAGGTCTCGTTGGAGCGTCTCGTGTCACTGTGGTCAGCTCAATGATTTCGCACTGATCGCCTTCGACTGCATTCTCTGTAACTACCAACATCTGTTGTTGTGATATCGCCGTAGAAATGTTTGGGTGGCTGATGGTCGATCTATTTCCCGCCTTGACATCAACGGCGCATGTGGCTTGATTTCCCTCTGCGATGGGCGACACCGACTCTTTGCTTGACCGACACCACGACTTGTCTCTGTCCACCGTGTCCCTCTGACCACCTCCCTTAGGTATCTCAACGCATCGATACACCTCTCCAACATGTCTGCCACTCAGATCCCCGCCGGTAAAACCTGGTTCGACACGCACAAAGTGCACTTTGAAGACGTCCCCGTGTCCGCCGACCAGGAGATCTCGACCAGCGAATTCCTCGATGCCGCCGAAGCAACCACCACCCTCTTTGACCTCTTAGGCTCGGTGGCTTTCACGCCGGTGAAGAATGACATGATGAACAACGTGACCAAGGTCCGCGAGAGACAAAAGGCCGCCCCTGAGAGTTCGGCCACGCTCCAGTCCCTCTGCAAGGCCGAGCTGGCCTCGAAATCCCACAAGGCCACCGAAGGTCTTTTGTGGCTGGTGCGAGGACTCGACTTCACCGCACAGGCGTTGAGAGCGGACCTGACGAGCAACGCAGCCGTCGCACCCACCGACGCGAAGCCGAACAAGGAGTTGGCCGACAGTTTCAGGGCAGCGTACAAGAACACACTGGCACCTCACCATGGATTCCTGGTCAAGCCGATCTTCAGTGCGGCCATGAGTGCTACACCTTACCGAAAGGACTTCTACCTGAGATTGGGTGGTCCAGGAACAGACCCCGAGGTCATCAGGGAGGCTCTGGAGAAGTGGGTGGCTGCATTGGAGAAACTGGTGGCCATTCTGAAAGCGTTCCTGGCTAGCAAGGAGGCCAAGTGGTAGACAACGAAATGGGGAGTCATTGGTTTACTCGGGTGTCTGTAGTCGAGTCTAGGAGCTTCTCGGATGGATCCGACATACGAACTGCTGGCTGTTTCGCTCAAAACGTACCTAGGTGTTGTTGGCGGTGTACACATGTTGACAGACTTGGGAAGAGGAATATTATGCATTGCTACGCTCGAATACAATGAGACTATTCTCAAAATTGCCCACACCCCTGACAAACGCCGCCGCTATGCAGTGTCGGTTAACAATAAACTCCTGGTCAACAACGATCTGGACACCTGAGACAGGTCAGATCGTCACTGGAACGCTCATGCCGTGCTCAAGTCGGTAGGAGAAGATGCAGAAATCGCCCCCTTTGCCCGCTGTTTGTCCAGGTACTTTTCAAACTCTTTCCTCTTCGATTCCTCCTCCTGAATAGCGTACGGTATAGGTGGGATTTCACTCCCGTCCTCGTGCAAGCCGACACTTTTGAACGCCGTCTCCAGCTCGTCCACCAATGCCTGCGCCACGTCCACCGACTCCGGGTTGTTTTCCTCCAACTCCAACTTTGCATACGTGTATATCGTGCGCAGTTTATCCAACTTTTTCCTGTCCGCCATCATCTCGGGTAAACGTTGTCTCTTGGCCTGGAGGGCAATCAACTCCCTCGCTGCCGTTCCATCGGCAAACGCCTGACCCATATGCACCTTGTCGGGATCGACTTTGGCCTCGCCCACGACATCTTCTTCCACTCGCCCCTGTCGTTTGGCGGGATAATCGTGATCGGTCCAGTTTCCCAGGCCGCGCCACTGCCACGGCCACGACCACGGCGTCCAGGCAGCTTTGGCTACCCCGATCACAAGGTTCTGGCTTATCGGGCCGTACCAGTTGCTGTCGACGGTCTTGTCTCGGCCGTCTGCGTCTCCTTCGACCCAGATGTGATTGTAAGGTACAACGACTGGGCCGTCACCTCCGGGATAGCTCGGTCGAGGTGTCACGCGGTCTCCAGGCACGGCGACGATACGCTTTATTGCCCATTTCTTCGGGTCGTGAGGGGCATAAAAGATTACAATTTGGCCTCGGTGGAGCTGGAAGGGTGGGTTGTTGAAGACGACGCTTGGACGACCTGGAAAGGTGACCTTTTGGAGCAAGATGCGGTCGGGGGCTGGCTCCGGAAGGTCTGGAGAGTGTGTGGGATTGAGGTATGGTTGCATAGACGGGCCACGGACAGTCGCGATGCGTAGAGGGAATTGGGATAGGAAGAAGGCGACCGGCGGAACCACAAACACCAAGTACCATACCAAACGTCGGGTTGTTGGAGACCGGAGAACTTGGAAGATTGAGGGGCGAGGGTTAGAGGGTTGGGATTCGGCATGAATTCGGGAAGGAGTTTTGAATTGGGGGGTTCTTTTGGGTGTTGGCAAGGATGGCAGAGGAGGGAGTGTACGAGTATGGGCGGTTCGGGTGTTGATGGTTGAGGCGGAAGAAGCATGACGGATCAAGCGCAGAACGAGGAAGGCTCCTCTTGAAGTTGGTGGCATTCTCCTGAGAAATAGGGCCTTTGAACGAGGCCGGATGTTGTGAAGAAGCCAAAGAGGCGTGGAGGAATGGCTATTGATCCGTGTGTCTGGTCATTGTGTCGATAATTTGTTGTATCTCGACATCTCATGAGCACGCAAAAAGAAGCTCTAACTGTACGAGTACTTAGCGGAATGCGGAGAAGGACAGGGCAGGTCTGCCGAGTGAGGGTTCTATCAGACTGTCGACTCCTGTGATGGCGTTCCATTTACCTCGTCCTGCCTCAGCAACATTTCATTGCGTCCGACGCTTGCTTTAGTTTCTCTGCTGCGAGAATGTAGAACGTTACATTACGCACTTCATTGAGACGACTACCTACCCAGGCACATCTTCCGGAGGTGGCTTCTCAAACTTCAACCACTTCAAAGGCACGTCTTCTGGCTCGCTCGCTGCTGAAGCTCTCTCCCACCACTGGACAAACTCTCGATACTCCCCCTTGGTTGCTCCGAGCCTGGCCCTAAATCAAAGTACCTGCCGTCTGGAGTGAAATAGCCACCCGGTACGACGTCAGCAGTCGATTGATCATTTAATATGGTGATGCCCTGGCCGGTCATGGCTCGTAGGGTCTCAACCCAGCTTGCAGCGAAGTCGACCGATGACTGACGGTCCTCTCGTTGTGGAACGTGGTTCTCAACCTCGCTCGTCAGAATGATTGAATCTGGATCGACGCCTTCGGCGACGAGGCGGTCGCGCTCCTGGCGTGCTTCGTTTGCGTAATCGACGGGTGTCACATACACCATTGGCTCGTTGTCGGACTCACGAGGCGCGAAATCACCTGCAGAGCCTTGAGAATTTTCCTGGTCTTTTGTTTTTTCGTGTTTGGTTGGTCACTTCGTGCTCGGGAGTCGCGGGCGTCGTGAAGGTATGCCCGGCACTCGAGATCTGGTCGTCTTCACCTGACCCTTGCTGTCCCGATGACCACATTGGGTGATTTGATACGAGGATGACAGAGATCAGAAGTGAATGCCTCGATATAAGCATCATTGAGAAGACAGAACTGAAGGCAAGTGTGCGTGAGTGCTTCAAGGCGTATTTAGATCCTCTTGCTTTGCGGACGTAGATAGGGAGAGGCCATAGACACCACTTCGGACGTACCTCACGATGTGCATCCAGAGAAATCATAGCCGATTGGTAGTAGAAAGTGAGTCAGAGAAACTTTCTCTTTTGTAGAGGCCTAAAGTTGATTCCCAACATCTCAATCTCAATAGTAGCTACACAGTATTCCCCTTCTACTATAATTAGTATGCCATGACTCAACCCAGCTGAAACGTATAGGATCTTCAACTCAACAACAGTCGTCTCCGTCCTCGATGGTACAACATCGCCCTCTCTCACAAGACCTGTCGGACTGTCCCATTACGCATTGTATTACAGTTATTCCTCGCGAGGCTTCAGACTTGTCCCTAGGTTTCAGATACCTGAGCCCCCCTTACCGAGTCTGTAAGGGCGTCAATGACTCCCTCACACGGTTCCGGGCCCTAAATCCTTCATCTTCGGCGCAGTCGCTCAAACTGTTCTCATACTCGCACGAGTACCTCCATCCTTGCGTTTACGGGCTACGGAGTCAACGGGGAGGAGTGTTTTGGCCTTCTTGTGCCGGGGAGAAATAAAACCAGATGGATCATGGCCCATGGGCCACGTTTTACAGTACATACGGTGCCTATTCGGTCTGTTTCGTCTGAAGCTGCATAACGGAAACCCATATCTGTCTAGTCTACTGCGTCTACTCTACCCGGAGCGATGTTATGGTGTCGTACAGCTCCATGAGTTTCTTTAGAATTCGTCTTGGTCGTTGCGTCCGAACGTTGCAGGATTCACCTGCTTGCATAGTTCAAAAAGCCCCGGCCTCAGCATCATTTGAGCCGGCCCTAAATCACCGTCTTCAGGCCGTTGAGCAGGCCCCTGAGATTGAGTATTGGTCTTCTACCTCCGCACATGTCTCGTTGCTCTACCGTCCACTTCCTGTGCCGGGAACAGTGGGTGTGGACTTTGACGTGAGCTTGAAACCTTGCCCATACCGTTCTCGAAAATCCGAAACTCCTGCGTTCTCTACCGCGTCATCCGAAGCTGACAACATATCACTTTGCGAAGTCGACACGGAATTGTGGATATGTAGTTTGTGAATGCTCACCATGTCCCGCGACAACTGCTGAAGTGAGGCATCATTGAGGTGGCCTCCAACCTGCCTTGTTCTCCACCCAAGACCGCGATTTTTACCATGAACGATATTCCCGTCAGTCGAGACCATGAATTGTATGGCGTCACCTGTTGCGTAGTTATCGATAGTGGTAATGTTCTCCTTTAGGCGGTGATCTGCCTGAGAGCAGATCTCCATACACTGGCGTGTAGTCTTCCACTCTTCCCGCAGCCTTGTGAGATCAGCAAAGTCCTCCGTAGATGTACCTGCCGTCCTGGACTTTGAGATCATGCGGTCCATAAGATCATGAAGATACGTCTCCAGCTTCGCCGCCGTGCTCTGAAGGCTGTTCTTGCATTCTTGCAGGCCTTGACTGGTAATGTGTTCAGGAAATGTATCCGGGTCGGCTACACCGCTTGCATTGTCTCGGGGGGTAAGCTGAATTTGACCGATATGCTCTGACAATCGTGCGCAGATTTGAAGACATCGTCGGGTGCTTAATTGCTCCTCCTTTATGAGTTGTTTTTCTGCTGCGTCTGCGTCGGACTCTGGCACGGCATGTTCAAACGCCGCTTCGAGTTTTTCGTCGATACTTGCGAGATGCGCCTCGAGGTCGGCCGTCGTGGTCTTGATCAGGTCCTGGTAACCTTCGAGAGCTTCGGCGGTAACAGCGGTTTTACGTCTGTCCGGATTAGCCAAGTTAGCGGGGACGACATGAACGTGTATCGGACAGGAGATCCTCACAAGTTTGCATCCGTAAGCGCAATAGTAATGGTTAACTTGTAACCAGCGAGCAGCCGTCGGAAACCATCAATGTCTTCGCCCATGTATTTTAACTTGGCCCAGTCGCGAAAGCTTGTCCGCCCGCCCGCCGATCGAGATGTACATTTTATGATTTCCTGCTCAAACTCTTTACATGAATTGCCGCATCGGAGGAGGGGGAGGTCAAGTGCTGAAAATGACTCGTCGGCTGTGGCACGGATTGTCTCATTCAGCGGACTTAAGACCTCGCTCAGCGTCTCCAGTTCTTCTAGGAGATCGCGGACGCGTTTTGGATGCGATTGAAAGCTGTGAAGCGTCTGGTAGAGAGCGATACTGGATTGGAAGGCGAACGACGCCAGAGCGAGAAGCCCGGAAGCCAGGCCTATGGGCTCTGCCATGACGGCTTACTCTGGAGCCAGAACAAGTTGGAAGAGACAACAGATGCCGATGCGGAGGCCTGATGCATCCATACGGACAGTTCATATAGTTGCCAAAGCGAAGTCGGGCATCAAAGGATCCGTGGGCGCCTATTGAAACGGCGCGTGAGAGGCGCAAGTATGAGACGGGTCGAATCGCTCTCGGGGATATTTATATATATATCTCGCGCGCGCGGGCGGGTTGACGACCAGCGTCTTTGGGTGCTCAAGTCGCTGGGGAACTCTTTATTGGTCGCTCTACCGCTGTGTGGTACTTGATACACATGGCAAGGCGCGATCACAGACAAACGGGCACGGAACCCAAGGCGACCATTTGTTGGTTACGTAGGGGAAGATGCCCAAAACCCCTCCCACGTGATCAGGAAGACTATCTTATCTGACAACTCTAATTGGGACTAGTACGATATGCTGTCTTGTCCCCTTTTCTCAGCGACCGCGTGCCTTAGATAGATGTTTTGTGCTCGCTACCATCACTGCTCAGCAAGATAACTTCTGTTTTGTCATCATTGTCGTCCTCACGTACAGGTCAGGACATACTTTCTCCATCGGTCCCTACATCATACATACAGGCACACGAGTACTCCGTCCCTCGTGCGCACTCCAGTTCTCCCCGGCTTCCTGTTACGGTAGTAGCCCTACAACACGTGTCGGTCTGTTCCTTGTGGAGTCAATGGATCTACATATCATCTACTGCAACCGCACGGGGTAAGAGTAAGTAAGATATGTTTCATGTTGAGTCTTGAAACGACGGCCCAATGTCTATGTACGATCTGTACGATCCGGACTCGCATAAAGTTGATTCTCGTGAGTCGTGAACAAAGTCACAAGTATACTTCGTTCTCTCCTGGATTCTTGTGCGTACGGTAGGTACAATACTTGCTTCGCTACCTTAGGTACCTGTGTAATAATGATACAGACTTGTCATGTTTCCGTGTAGCCACACATCACTTTAAAGATACAGACACAGATATTACAGTAGACCCCTTTGTCTCGGAATCCAACCTACACGTAGTACTCGTACACCGCATACAGCACGCTGTTCATTTCAATGAAAAGAAATGAGAAGTCCACACGTGTGGCGTCCACTGTCAGTCTATCGATACTGTTCTCTGAAGCCCTGTAGGAACCGTCCCTTGTTTCGTACCCAGAGACATCGGAGAGAGACGTGGCGCGTGTGCATGCGTGTGTGGTGTGCAGATGGAGTGTGGTACCTCTCAAGCAGGTAATTAAATAGATTCTACTATTACCCCTGAATCTCACTCCACACCACACACACCACACGCCATGGATCGTTGAGAATGACTAGACATCCTTTCGTTTCTGACGTGGACTTGACGTGCCAACCCTATCCTACATACATACCGTAGCTCATCTCATCATATTGTAACGTCGCATCCCGTCTAACCTAGGGTACAAGTACGAGTACCTCCTTGCGTTCTTCCGCGGTCTTTTCTCCGGTTCTGAGCCCACCATATGATTGACATCTGTCCCCCCGTCACCTCCCGTTACGAGTACAACGGCTGTACATAATAACTGGACTAGACAAACTCACACGGACTCACAACCAACACCTGTCGCGGTGGTGACAAGACACGCAGGTACTGTACATGGTTAGGTAGTTACAGGTGCGGGTGTGCTCACTCTCGTAATCCAAAAGCGGTCGAATTCGCAACTTTCAACTCAACCCACCTCACCCTCACCACACCTCACCTCACCTCACGTCAACTAATGTCCACCCTTTTACGACGGACCTCGAGCTGCGGGACTATTTTCCTGCCTCGACCTACCCCTGCCCTACACTACCCTGTATTCCTCTCCGTTGCCTCGCCTCGCCTCGTGCTCGCCTCACACTTTTTTCCTCTTGTGTACACACTTCCTTGGCCGGCCTGCATACATATGCCACTCTCGATGCAATCACACAGACAAACGCAGTACGGCATCTGGATTATCACACCGTACGATCCTCGCCGTACTCTGTAGTAAGCTGCATTACTCGGCAGGTACCTACTAGGTACGTATGTCAAGTTCATTCCAATTTTGTCACACTTTGACCGAGACATTTTTGACCCGACCAACAACTACTCCTCCTACCGTCACCGCCGCCGCCGCCGCCGCCTCCGTCACCATCAAATGGTATCCGAGGTGTCAACGAGTTAGAAAAACTGTCTTGTGGAATTACCATTTACCCACCATTTACCCACCCTCCTCTCATCTCCTTTTCATTGCGTTGCCTTGCATTACATTTCAATAGCAGAAACCTCTCCCCCCCTCCTGGGTACTGTAAAGAATCAAGAAATTGGAAAAATGAAAGAATACTTTGGAATAGTTCTTTTTATGATTGACTTTCAGTAACAGCCACTTGATATCCAGAGTAGGATTTTTCGAAGTCTGTCATGTTTTGTCAATTCTACTACATATCTCTCAACTACTACTATGGAGACAATACGCAAACAATTTGCAAGTAGAAGTTGCAAAAATATCCCGTTTGCGTACGGAGCATAAGTATACCCTAAATGGTCTTTTTCCCACCCATAAATATTTTTGAAGTGTCCTTAAAAACCGTCCGTGGTAGTTTGTGCCTGTTGTCCTTTATCCTCGTCCCGATACCAGTGTGGGCGTGTCTGTACCCATGTTCCAGATGCATTTGCCCTGCGCCGTCGTTTTGAGCGCTTTAGCGACCTGTCGAATATGAAAGATCGTATGTCGTGTCCAGTCATTAATGTTGTTGAAAGAGCCAAAAGGAAAAAAAAAATAAAACAATCCGAATATGATCAATCGGTGGCCGGCCCCCTTCATTTTCCGGCAGCTTTGTTTACAGAAGAGCAGCGACCGCGATGGCTGCGGCGGCACCTGCAATCTTCTTGGCTCCACCGAATTGAGCGGAAGCTTCACCGACAAAGGTGCTCACCACGGGAGCGACTGGGGTGGTTGAAGATGGAGCAACTGGCTTGGTGGTGCTGGACTTAGGAGCCGGGGGAGGCGTGGTTGTAGTGATTGGAGCCGGAGGAGGTGTAGTGGTGGTCCAGTCACCCCAGCTTTCGGTGGCAGTCGAGATGGGCGCCACAGGGACAGAGGAAGTCGAGTTCCAGTCTCCCCAGGACTCCTTTGTCGTTGTGGTGATTGAGATGGGCGACACGGGAATCGACGTGGTCGTGGTCGTGACGGTGGTCCAATCTCCCCACGCCTCCTTTGTCGTTGTCGTAACCGAGATCGGCGACACAGGAACCGACTTGGTCGTGGTCGTGGTCCAGTCGGCCCACTGTGTCTCGGCGGGAGCTGGTGATACAGAGTTAGTCGTCGTCGTGGTCCAATCTAACCACATTGTTTCCGACGGCGTTGTGGTGGTTTGGGAAATGGGGCTTGGGGTTGGGGTTGTGGTAGTAGTGGTGGGAGTGGTAGTCCAATCTAACCACATTGTTTCCGAAGGGGTCGTGGTCGTGGTGGTTTGGGATATTGGGCTGGGGCTTGGGGTAGTGGTAGTGGTGGTCCAATCTAACCACACTGTTTCTGACGGGGTTGTTGTTGTAGTAGTGGTTTGGGAAATTGGGCTAGGGCTGGGGGTTGTAGTGGTAGTGGTAGTGGTTTCCCAGTCTCCCCATCCTTGGGAGATGGGTTCTGGGATGGCAGAAGACGAAGCGGGTGCGGGTTGAGGGCTAAAGGTTGATGTTTCTTCGCTGGGAGGCCACTGACCATGTCCTCCATTCCAATCTCCCCAGTTACCTCCAGATTCACCACCTTGTTGATGGCCACCCCATCCTCCTTGGCCACCGCCCCATCCTCCTGGGCCACCGGGAGCAGCAACAGCAACAGCGGCGAGACCGAGGACAACAGCCGACTTCATCTTGTACTCCGTATGAGTGTTGATATTAAGTGCAGTTCAATAAGTCGAATAGATGTGCCGAGTTAGTTGGTCTTGCTTGAACGAAGGACTCTGTTGTGGTAGAGTAGTGAATGAATTGTGCAATGATGGATGGACAGAACCGAAGTCGACAGCAGCGTGGGAGACGAGTTCTAAATACCCTTCGAGGACGATCTTCTCACGTCATGCATGGCGGAGTGGTTGACATGTTCGGCTGTGCGACGGGACCGTGATAGGGGTCTCGGACCATCTCTAGTCGTGTACTCAGGGGTGGCAGGCAACTCAATGAATTGAAAGTTCTCAACTGACATGTGTGGCAGGGCTTAATCTGCTATACTCGGTGGGAAAAAGGGGGACACACAGTATAGAAGAGTGGATCCGGTCGCGCAGGGAAGCGAAAGGCTGGCCGCGGTGAACATGACCACTGTTCAGTCTGTTCCTACTGCTACCGACCGGGAAAAAGCTGGCTGGGGAGCACTAGCGGCCTGGTTGTCGTCCGTGATGACCCAATGGGAGGCGGGTATTGATGTGAAACAGGACCAACCTCCGCCAAGGATGTTTTGACAAGCTGAATCGGGCTTCGGTTGGCGGCGTGATGCAGGGGACGGCTATGCTCAAGCTCGCGACTCCGCTGAGTTCGGGCCTCGATTGCGCCAGTCGCCTGCCACCCGCTTTGTGGCTTTATTTACCCACGATCCAGGAGGCTGACCAGGGAGCTTTGGTCGCCCTGGTCGCTTTCCCTCCCTCCCATTGCCCCAACCGGCTCCCCAGCCCTGCATTTGAAACAACAAGATCTTCTCCTGATCTTTGCGAGAATGATCAAAGCGTGAGAGAATTATAGACTCCGATTCGATGCGGCAGTAGATTGAAGGACTCAAGCATCGGCTCCTGCGTCTCTGGGCTTCCGGTAGCGAATTCTTTGCGAATGTGGCTTTCTCATTGCGGCAACCTCCGATGGGATTTCAGCGCCGTCGCAACACTGGCTCGCTCTCGGTCTGTTTGCATGTAAACCGGTCACGTAGCAAAATACTCGGTATCGTGTCGCTGAGGAGGCACACCGTCAATACATGACCAAACCACAGCGGACCAACTGAGGTCATGGTTCGGTGTGCATCCAGCGGGGAAATCAGGCGAGGAGACGAAAAGCCATTAGTGATCCGGACGTCCGTGGTCGATGCTGAAATTACAAGAACATCCCACCCGCAGATGACCATTTCGTCCTCGACCGCATAGTCGTTGCAACGACAGAAAAACGTGGTCAAGCTTTCAATTACTCTTGTCCCGTTCCCCGTGCTGCCTTGATTTTGCCCGAAATAGTGGTGCAAGTGAAACGGAAGCTTGCAGAAAGTAAGCCAGGCTCACAAGATGACGTACGAATCTCAGGTATCTTTCACCTTGGATACCATCTGTCCGTGGTAAGACATACGTCGACCTTGATCCTTGCAAAGTTGGCTGCCTTTGAAATCTGCCAGTGGTGTCGTTCGTATTTGCGCTGACTGTCAACCTCAGGACATATCTGGCAAAGAAAAGGTTTGCTTCTGGCATCGGAACACAGCATTTTAAAATGATGTCGTTGAGCAGCTGATGCCGTTGTATCGCACTCTAGACTGGACGAAGGTTTGTTGCGTCCGCAATGATGATCTGCATCAATGCACAATCTCCTCTTTTTTGATCACCATCCGGCGAGTGCCAGGGTGTCCCCAGGCTGACGGACTGACAGCACTCCGTCGATTCCGACAAAGTGAGGATGCCAAAAGTACTACGTTCGAAATCAAGTATTTCCCATACCAGCTATACCCAGAGGCTCCAAAGGAAGCCATGAATAAAAGTGAATGGTACGGTAGAACTCGATATGGTGATTCGGAGGAGAAAATGAAGATGGTGGGTAATGGCGTTTCCAACACCCTCATCGCTTTTGACAGGCAGGCCTGAAACATGTCACCATCCAAGCCACGCCTTTTGCTCAATCTCAGATGAAGTGTCCAGTCCAGAGTGACCCAGGGTCTGGGGAAGGCTGATCTCTCCTCGGATCTTTGCGTTTTCGTTGTCTGCCGGATGCCATTGAGCTGACAAGGGCGCGGGACAGTACACCACGTTGATGACTGCCTACGGGGACAGCGCCGGCATCAAGTTCAAATTTGGCGGCACAGTTTCCAATACTCTGGAGGCCCATCGTGTCATTCAACATTTTCAAGAGACAAAAGGACCAGAGACAACAGACAAAATCATCAACTGTAGGTGACTTGTCCCGGCTGATCTGAGTCAATTTACCACTCACGCTTCTTGCAGCGTTGTATTATCAATTTTTTGAGGACGAGAAAAACCCTGCATCTGATGAAACATTGCTGAAGGCAGCGACCGATGCTGGTATTCCTGAGGACGAAGCCAAAGCGGTTATCGAAGACAAGAGCGAAGGCCTGATGGACGTGAAAGCGTTGATCCGTGAACAGGCGTCGAACGGGGTGGACAGCGTCCCAACCATCCTGGTCGAAGGTAAGAGAAGAGATTTTACGCTGGTTGGGGCCAAGGACGTGGAAGAGTATGAAAAGGTGTTGCATCAGATTGCAAAAGAGAGCCATTAGATCAACGAGGTGGAAGGTCGAAACAAGGTAGACAGTGGTGAGGTTGGAATGTGGTCAGATTGCTTAATTCATCCTCATACAACAACAGCATTCGTCAGGTATGGAATCGATCTCACTAGCCAACATTTGCTGCTCTCTATCCTCTGTTCTCGTCCTAGCCTTCCTCTCTTCATCCACAAGCCCTCTCTATACATCAAATATTTCTCCAAAGCCAACACCAGCACCGGCCCGTCTCGCATCTACTAGGTCCAACCTCCATCCTGTCCATTGCCTCAGTCCGCTCTTGACTTCCCGCACGTGCTCGACCATCTTCCGCTGCTCTTCTTCTCGCTGCGCCCTTGCAAACGCACCTTCGTCAAAAGCGTCGTCATCGAACTCCTCCAGTAGAGAATCATTCCTCGGTCTCGTCGACTGTCGATGATGCGCATCTGGTGATGTGGTGCTGGCTCTGAAGGCCGCCAACCCTGAATTCAAGACCTGCGTGAAGCCGGAATGCCTCGTCTGGCCCTGCTGTAGACCATTCGCGGAGCTCCTCCGCCTGCTGGCATTCCCGGAGCCAGATAGGTCGACCTCATCGAACTCTTCCGCCTGATCCAACGATGTCCTCGAATCTTCGTCTCCTCTGGGCTGCATCTGTATCCTCTTGTCTCTCCATACGCCTCGCTGGAGATCAAAGACCTGTCCCTCGAGCTCTCTGATCCTTCTCTCGAGTTTCTGTCTCTCTTCGTCCTCAAGCTCATCCAACCCTTCACCACCTCCATCCCCACTCATAGCGCGTTTGTGCTTCTCTCTCAACCTCGCATTTTCACTTTCGGTCTTAGCAACCTTTTCTCGTAGTGCAGGTAACTCTCTCGCGCTCGCTTCTGCGCTCGCAAACTTCGCCGCATTTCTCGATTCGGCCTCCCGATGTAGCTTGTTCATTGCCTCAATCTTCTTATCCAGCTGCTCGACTTTCTTCGTGAGCTCGCCTTTCTGGGTGAGGGCCTCACCTAGTTCTCTTTCCAGTCCGCGAATCTTTGTGTCTTTACTCGTCCTCTCCGTACCGTCAATGACGGCCTTTTCGCTGGCTTTGCTGAGCGCCTTTTTGCTGTCACCAAGCTCGGTCTCCAGGCTTTTGATTTTCACCTCTGCGCTTGAGAGCTTGGCCTGCAACGCCGCAATTTGCTCCCCGTGCGTCTCGCACCCTGCGGTCTGGCTCGATAACTGCCCTCGTAACCGGGAAATCTCGAGTTGCATATCAGCAATTGTAGCATCCTTGCTCTCAAGTTCTGCACGTAAGAGACCACCGTCATTGGCGCCGACGCTCTCGCGCCGACTTGACGTATCCAATCTGCGTCTTAATGTCTCGATTTCGGCGCGGAGTCTGCTGACTTCAGTGCCGCTCTGCTCGTTACTCGCCGAATCGGCCATTTTCTCTGCGTTCTGCTCGCGCAGTTCCTCCAGTTCCTCTTCCACACGCCGCCATCTCTTCTCGTGCTCCTCCGCCTCTTTTGCCAGGCGTTTGTTTTCTCGCTCAAGTTCTTCAATGCGGAGCAAGGTCCCCGGGGCCACGGCCGGACTCAGTGGTCCATTATCCCTGAAGCTAGTGCTTCGGATCTTACTCTGTATGCTGACGCTTGGCTGCCGACTGGAGAGTCGCGGGCCCTTGGTAGGAGAGGTAGGCTCCGCTTCTACTGGAGGAGGAGATGAGGTATCAGGAGAATGTACGGTTCCTGCGTCTTGGGGACCTTCTTCGTCTGCTTCGGCAGGGGCCTGCGTGGCTGGGCTTGTACCATCGGTGTCCGCCGGCTTCGTGGTGTCGTCTGTAGCTTCTATTGCTTCTTCATGCTCGGCCTCAGCTCCATCTACCTCGTCGTCCTTGGGTTTGTCGGCTTTCTTTGCTTTGCCTTTCGCTACCGACTTCTCGCCTACGTTGGTTGAACCGGTGGCTGCTTTCTTCTTCTTTTGGAGTTGAGCGACCTATTCAAGAACGTGTCAGTATGTCCTTTAACGTTTCATTAGGCAGTCTAGATTGCCGAGCGATGTCACATTCATTGGCGGGTATCATGTTGGGAGAATCACATGGCAGTACATACCCTCTTCTTCGCGGCTGCCAGCTTCTCAGCCTTTTCCTTGTCTTCGATTTCTCCCATGGCTCAGGAGACCAATACCGACCGACAGATGACTTAACGAGAGTGAATGGTAGACCAGGAAGCGGTATTGTGCGAAACTATAGATGTAACGAGGCTCGCTGTAAGGAGAGGTGGTTTGAACGCGACGTCAGTCACCAATGGGGACAAGCATGTGCTCCGCATTTAAGATATTTACAATCCAGCAGCAACTCGACGACACAATCTGGATCGTGATTGATGATAACCCAAGCCCGGTGATAATTCGTTGATACCTAGATATGCTCCATAGCTAAATTGAACAAACTAATATACGCGCATTATGCTCTGTGTTGTTGCGCAGCCCATATTCTGCGCCTGTCGAGAACCGTACTCGCAACACAACCCTTCATATACGCCAGCCGAAATAACCAAATCATTCATCAAACCTTGATCGTTCCAGAACACCTTGCCAGAGTGTTCGTTGCATGTCCAGACAGGCCCTCGGAAGCCGCTCCCACCGGCCCTTGGGAACCGTCAAAAAGTTTGGGTATCAAGAGTACAAATACAAAGTCCCACAGCTCGAAGCATACTCCAAACTCCCACCGAGAAACAAGGAATCGGAGACTTAGACCTCCATAGGCCCAACCACCTCTTCACTGACGCCCCTCGCAGTACTCTTGCTAACACTCCTAGCGCTTCTAACTTCTTCATCACTCAATACGTAGTTGTCATGCTCATCAACGACAGGTCGAGCCGGTGGTGAAAACTGTTCTTCCTCATCTTTCGACTCAGGGGTGTAGTCGTAAAGTGGTCTCTCGATAGAGGGCATTTCAACATCTCGGTCTTGAGCATTGTCCGTCTCGACTACTTGTCGGTCCCCAAGCCAATATCTTGCACGCTTATGCGCCCCTAGATCTGGTGTTGCCCATCCTTCGGAATCGGTGTCTGTAAGATGCTTAGTCCTGGCCGGTGTTCGAAGACCATCCATTGCCGACATAGCAAGGATATTGACGCCGCGAAGATACAGGTAACACACGCGCTTCCTCTGTTTGTTGAAGAAGAAGTAATTCATTGACCACAAAGATCCTTCTTCGTCGTCTTCAAACGGGTCAAAGTCCTCGGGGGAATATCGATAGATGGTGCAGTCCCTCAAACTCATACTTTGATCGATTAATCTCCACATTGCCGGTCCCCACTGTGTTTGATTAGACGGTGTAACAGCGGTTTCGGGAGGCATGCCGGGTATCCTGAGTGACGTATTTTGTGGTCGCGGACGAAGATTGTAGAGAGCAGTGTCCAGAGTATTCATCACATGCCGTAAACTCCGCTCTCTTTTGAAGTCTGTCGGTCTGAGCATGTGCGAGAAGTCGTAATCCGGATGGCTAGCATTTAAGGTGGCTATTAGATATGCGTATGTCCTCCTCGAACTGATCATTCCAAGATTGCCAAAGGGGCTGCTGCGGCTCAGGTTGAGACTAGATGCCATGAGATGCGCTTGAGGAGGTGAGAGAGAATGGGAGAATTGTAGATTCGACTTGTATTGCGCTTCAAGTCCATTTTCGATATTTTTGTAGAGCTTTTTGTCCCCTCCCGCTGCCTTCGTGGTGTATAAATCGCAGCCTCCTACCACCTGGAGATCAGGGGTAGTGAAATTGAGGGCCGATGTGACGATATCGAGGTCGCGACTAGGTACGAACTAGATAACAATTGTCAATATTCGATCATACTAAATGCTTTGAAATGCGCACCTTCATCTTGATCTAGCTGACCACAAGCAAGCTCCGTCGCAATCAAGCGCAGGTACCTTGGTCGTTCAGAAGAATCTCGATTTTCGGGCGGATCCACCCGTGGCAAGTTTATAGATGATATATGCTCGCGCCGTTGGCAGAAGTAAGACTGGAGGCGTGCTGAGGTGGTTGGCCTGAAGCAGCTGTTCAATCGCTGACGGAGAGATATCAAGGCTGGCTGCAGAGACAGCTCTTGTGCGACGTGAATAGCCAGACGACGGACGTCTAGCAGGTCAAGATGAATTGATGGAAAGCCATATCAGGGTGTTGATGTTTGATGCGATGAAGATGCACTTGGGAACCTGTTTGCGGAGGTGATTGAAGTTGAAGTTGGCTGCGACCACCGCGGCGGGAAATCACGTGACTGTATGCGCATTGACCACCAATAAGCGAACCAAGCGTTGTCCACATGTTCGAAGCGAGCGACGACAATGGACTCTGCGCTCAGGAATTCATCATCAGGTTCATTTGGGATAAATGTGACAGCGGCTGGGCATACAGCGTGCTTGCTGGTATGGGCAGAAGCGATCAAGGGAAACCCACCAGAAACTGATCCCAAGCCGTCAGCACGGGCTTCCCCACGCGTGCGCTGGCACGCCGTGTCCTTGTTGGACCATATCGACGTTGCAAGGCCACATACGGGTCGGCGAGTTCAGCATATTGCAACTTGCATGATGTCCAGGAAATGCAATGCCTTGATTGGAAGTTAGCCGTCTCAGTTCAGTCCTGCCTTTACAGTACCAGAACATCCTGTAAATCAACAGCCGTCGATATTGAGCACAATGCGAGACATGATGCGCAGGATCGCCCGACGACACGCTTGGATTGCTGGCTGAGTTAGCGTTTCCGGGAATTGTGACAGCTTAACATGCTTGTTTATATCATCACTTTCATACGCTGTACATGATGCTCCTGCAACATAGTGCTAGCAGGAAGAAAGTCCTTGTTTGCAAAGACCATGCCACATAAGGGTATCATCGAATGCACCATACCACGCCAAACCCCGATCCCATATTTCTTGAAGTATTCGTTGTCGCAAGTCATAACAGACCGCTATCTCTGAGGGCCGCATCTGTAACCTGCAAAACAGTAAATCCGTCAACCGTTGCATCACCTCATGAATTTGCATAGTTTGAGAAATTTTGCTCGAGCTTGAAACGGCTGAGCATCTCGTCCCTGGTCAAAGCCATATTGCAGGAACTATGGGGTCACGGAGACATTCGTCCGAGACTTCCATGTCCATGCTCTACATGAGCTTGGTGACCTCCTCTTCAACCTGAGTTCGTGGGGCACAGCAGTCAGTTACCGTGCGGCAAAGATATTGGAGGGATGCGTACGGACAGCAGGGCCTTGAATTGATGAAGTTGATAGAAACTGCCGTGGAGCTCATAGGAACGGATGATGACACGGATAGAGCGCTCAAGGCTGCGGGACCGAGACGAATCGACTTACCTCCATATCTTCGAGTTGATCCTCCTGGCTTATGCATCTTAACACATTTTTCTTGCTGCTTTCTTGCAGCTCGCCTGCCAGGAGGAGCTCATCAAGTATAAAATACGCCTTTTGAAAGTTGAAGATAATGTCTAACTCGCAGACGTTGCCATAGTACTTGTCCATTTGCTCGACGTATCGATGGACGATTTCAAGGGTGATCAGTTCATTATCGGTGGAAGCACAGCCGGCAATGAAGAATAAGGAAGCGTAACGACGATAGACAACTTTCGTGTCTGGCAGAATTCAAGCAGTGTCAGCGTGATATTTGCAGAAAACCCAAGGTAGAACAGATGGGATTGAGGCTGGGAGGGTCAAAGCATGGACAGCCGCACCCTTGTACTCAAGAAAATTGCACATTCGTGTGCGGCGAGAAAGAACGAGTTGAGAGACATCTTTGATGATTTTGGCCTTCTCGCGGGGAGAAAGAGTAGTAAACCATTTGGCAAGTCTCTATATGTACAGATTTCATGTCAGTCCAAGTTCAAGGGTGGGTGACCGAGTGAGAGGATAGCATACCACTTTGCCCTGCCGAGACAGCAAGATGAGATAGCTAGAATCAAGTTAGTGTCTCAGTGGTAGCAACAGCGAAGTATTGCCTTACGTGATTGCCATCTTGCTTCCCAGGCCACAAGCGCAGTGGAAAGGAAGAGAGATAGAATGAAGCAAAGTGTCAAGGCCACAGAAACGGCGGGAGCGGGTCTCAGAATGAAAAGCGCAGCCAAGCCAAGAGATGGACGGGTAATTTACGGGTGATATCGTAGTCACGTGATATTCATCCCAGCCACGACCACAGCCACAAGCAATATACATTCACGCCACAACAGTCGCCGGCTTCAAGTTCGTACATGTTGCATGATACAAACCAGGAGGGAGCAATAGTCCCGTTGCTCCTCTGAAACATGTCTCTTTCAGCTTGGTTCACCCTCGACTTGTTTCAGAGCCTCACGTCAAAATATAGGAACGTGGATCGTACGTGCGCATCGGCCTTCGCTCCTGGAGCCGGCCAGGATCAAAAATGTGGCCACCAGAAAAGTAGGTCAGAGCATTACTTGGTGACAGTGTGCTTTCTTGTACATCTTTTTATGGCCTCGGGATGAGCCCCAGGACCTGGATGAAAACTCTCGAAAGATATAGGGGGAACTATATCATGCCATGACGGTCTGGCGTATCCCATTCTTACATGCTTTATGTTCGCACATATTTTCCACGAGAAAACCAGGGCAACCAGCCAGATACGCAGCAACTTGGACGTTATCGGCAGTCAAATCCAGCACGCTCACTGATATAAGCCCTGCACATCCCTGGTCTCTCGACTGAATGGCCAATAGGCATCTCTCCTACTCTGCTTAAGGTCCTCGATTCGCCAAAAGCCCACACGAGAACGATGGCCGTCCAACCAAACACGCAGTATTTGCAAATTATTTATACTCTACCTATGCTGCGAGATGTCGCCTGATCCCTTGCTTTCCTCCTCCTCCTTCTCTCTCCTGTACCTGTATGGGAGCTGTCTGAAGAGCGCCGGCATTTCCCCCAAAACTGAAGCATGGCAGTAAAGACCCGCAAGATGTCCAAGAAGGCAGACAAGGGTCCAGAGCCAGCCTCAGTGTCTCGCGATCCTATTCCCGTGACTCTTTTGTCTGGATTCTTGGGGAGTGGGAAGACGACGCTGCTCAGGCATGTTCTGACATCTGATCAACACGCCCTACGCATCGCTGTTATCGTCAATGACATGGCTGCACTCAACATCGACGCATCCATGATCAAGCGTCATGTTGTCTCGCAGACGCAGGAACGCCTGATACAGATGGAGAATGGATGTATCTGCTGCACGCTCCGCGGCGATCTCCTTGAAGAGCTCGCAAGACTCGCCCGGGCCGGGATGTGCGATTACATACTGATCGAGAGTACCGGGATCAGCGAGCCTATGCAAGTTGCCGAGACCTTTACCGAGGAGTTTGCTCAGGCCATGATTGATGCCGCCAACGAGGGCTTGATGCAGGACCAGCAGGACGACGAGAGGGTGTTGAAGGAGATGTATGTGTCTAAACCAGCCCTAATCTTAAAGTCTTCCAACCTTGCGAGGAACTTGGTGAGCAAAGACTGATGGGAAAGAACACAGAGCCGAGCTTGGTGGTCTACAAAAGATTGTCAAACTAGACACTTTGATCACCGTGGTTGATGCTTTCAACTTCTTCAACAACTTCTCGACGACTGAGTTCATCACGGATCGCTGGGGAAAGGAAGGCGTTGACCCTGAAGATGAGCGTACCGTAACGGACTTGATGGTGGACCAAATGTAAGCGGCCTAACATATCTCTTACATTTTGATCCGTGAGAGAAAGGATTAGTAACAATGGCTTGTCACCTTCAGCGAGTTCTCCAACACCATCATCATCAACAAAGCCAATAACGTCGACAAGGCCGCAAGATCTCGCATCCGAAGCATTATCCAACAGCTCAACCCTGCAGCCAAAGTCCTTGAGGCCAACTACGCCAAGGTCGACGTGCAGGATATCATTGGCACCAAAAAATTCTCCTTTGAGAAGGCCGCCACGAGTATGGGTTGGCTCCAGAGCCTGCACGAGCTCACCAAACGGGAAATCAATGGTCAGATCAAGATCGGTCCCAAGCCAGAGACTGAAGAGTGAGAAAGAGACAATCCACCTGCGTGAACCATTTTGAGTTCTAACTGCGGCTGGACAGATATGGCATCTCAAGCTTCGTGTACCGAGCCCGCCGACCGTTCAGCCCAAGACGCCTCTACAAATTGATCCACGATAAGTTTGTCATCATGGAGGGTCAGATACAAGACCAGGAAGAGGACGATAACAAAGACGGCATGGAAGTAGATGGCGACGACGGCGACGACAGTGACGATTCTCCTGGGAGCGGTGGTAGCAACGGCACGTCGAGTGACAGCGAGGCTGGGGACGTAGACATGCTCTCAGATGTGAGCGAAGAGGCAGAGGAAGAGGACGATTTCTCCCAGTCGGTCAAACCAGAGGTAAGTCGACTGGGTTTCCATTCTCAGCTATCAGCCACAGCCATCAGTCCTCGGGTCTTGCTCTACGCAGGAAATGGAGACCATGGAGGTTTCTTGTGTAGGATGTCGTACCTGTATATTCATACAGATACCCAAGCATTGACTACGCTGTCATTGTATTCCCCTACTGACTAACATATCTGTCAATTTTTGCAGGTAGTCGCCCGGAACAAGAAGTCGAACCCTATCTTCTCCTGCCTCTTGCGCTCAAAGGGCTTCTTCTGGCTTGCCACCCGCCCGAGCTTACACGGGGAATGGAGCCAGGCAGGTACCATGCTGACGTTGCAGGGTGGAGGTCCGTGGTTCTGTGTGATCGACGAAGGTAGATAGATACTCACCCCTTCACGGGCGCATTGTGGCTTTTTAGACTGACGTTTTTTCGACTCAAGCTGAATGGCCTCCCGACGGAGCCACACGCGCCAGTATCGAGGCCGACTTCCAAGAACCGTGGGGCGACCGAAGGCAAGAAATTGTCTTCATCGGCGAGAAACTCGATCACGCCGGTCTCAAGAGAGAGTTCGATGGCTGTCTGCTCACAGACCGGGAAATGAAGAAATGGGAGAAGATCATGAAGTCATCCAAGGACATGGAAATAGTGAATGATCGACTGGCGCAGGTGTTTGACGGTAAGCAGATTTTGATCAAACCCCTCACAGGCCCGAACCCTGGGTGTTATACAACGGGACCGTCTCACTGACGCTCGCATGATGTGGTCGATGCAGATGGATTCGAAGACTGGCCTGAACTTGTGCACGACGAGGACGACCAAGAAGGACATGAACACGCGCATCCGCATCCACCTGGCAAGACGCACCGACATTGACGCCGACCTAGCAGCAGGAGATGAGAACGCATTGTCAGTGATCTGAAGCGGTGCAGAACATTCCTGGGAAAATGCCGTCGCGGGACCCCACCGACCGAGTATATATATTTCGCATTTTCGGTTACACGGCGAGCCACGCAACTCTGGTTACCACATCAGTATGTATGTGGTGCGGATATGTTACGCCTGAAGATTGAGTGGATGGTAGATGCGTATGGAACGCTCTTTAGATGTTCATATATAAAAGTAAAAGTTAGACGAGAAGATAATCGATTGATTGACAAACACCATAGCAAGTAGCCAGCCAGCCATGCACAGGGGAAGCCCAAGTACTTTCCTCCGCACGTGACCGCAATCGCCGAACGTTTGGACGAGTCGCGAGATAAAAAAGAACCTTGTCCGTTCTCGTCTCGTACCTGAAATTCCCGTCCGTGAGTTCCGCTTCTTGCGACACACTTTCTACCGCCTGCGATAACGAGCGACATTGAAGATACATGCTGTTGCGCCCTGTGCGACCATATCGGGCGGATACAGCAGAGAGTCGCTTTCGGTCTTCGGGATTATGCCATCGCAGACGACGCAAGCCTAATAACCCTGTGTGCATGCCATCTTCTTCTCAAACTCGAAATCCAACCCCCACGCGGACTCTCAAAACCCCTCTATAATACCTATGAGGGTCCGCACTTCCTAGACGGTCTCTATCTTCCAACCTGCCTTTACCTGACGACATCCCCTGACCGGCGCACCCACTCAGAACAGTTCACCCGTAATAGGAGTGTTTACATCCTACTTCTCGTCCATATCAAGCAGACAAAAAAAGGAAAAACGGATATCTCCCGTCCAAGAGCGCATTGCCCACTATGAAGTTGATTCTTTCCACGTCGTACGTGTGACTCACTGGAAGACCGACGGGCTGTGTCTGGGTCTGGAACTGACACTCTTCTTTTGTGTAGTAATATAATGTCCTCTGGGCAATCCATTGTCCGGCGCCCATTGTTCTCCAAGTCGAATATCGAGTTGATCAACTCGCTGAGATCGAACTTTGCTTCATTTCAGCACAACCACTCCTCCGAAACCACCGACCAAACCCTGGATTACAAACAATGGACCACCGAGGAAAACGACATATTGTACGTGCCGTCCTGGCGACCTACGCCTCTCACGGAACCGCGAGAGTCCTACGACGTGACTGTCAAGCTCTTCTTCCTCCCCGGTATTCCGAGCACGAGGCGATGTAAACACACTGAGGAAGCGATTGATCTAGTCCTGAAGGAGCTGGGGATCGAGAATATAGACCTTTTGATAGTGAGCTACCCCGGCGTAACGTTCGACGCCGACGACGAAGAAGAGGTCTCGGCCGACGAAGACGAGAGCGCACGGAGTGACGAGTCGGAAGGCCTCGACGCCCAGATCAAGACGTGGCAGGTCCTGGAGTCGTTACATGAAAAGGGCGTCATATCCCAACTTGGCGTCTCCGAGTTCAGCTCCGAGCGCCTCGACAAGTTCCTGCCAGAGGTCAAGGTGCGGCCGACCGTCGACCAGATCAATGTCAAGGACTGCTGCGTCGTGCCGAAATCACTGATCATGTACGCCAAGGAGAACAAGATCGAGCTGCTAACTCATGCTGATTGCATGGACATATTGCCACCCGGCACGACGAGGGAGCTGTTGGGTCCCAGCAAGGACGGAGCCGGTATCCTTGCGGCATGTCCAGATGCCGGTGCGGACGAACCCGGTTTAAAGGGCGACATTGAGCCGCAGTGGGTGGTGAAATATACGGCTGTGGTGAAGAACCGTGGTGTGGTTGAGAACAAAGGCTACTTTGCTGTCGCCCAACTGGGTAACTGCATCGAACAGAAGCCCGATGAAGCGTTATAACCTTTCGGTGCGTGCGGCATCCCGGGGTGGTATCTCGTTTTAATTTAGCATGGCGTTTGTGTGTGTATGCGTGCATGTGTATGAGAGAAAGAGTTTTGCAAACGCAAAACACAAATTTCTTTCTTCTAGCCGAGCATGCTTCTCTTTCTCCCTCTCATCCTGACATCCTCTAATCGTTTAAGGACGACCTTTGAGCCCTTGTAACTCCCCCTGTATCCATCTTGACTCTGAATGACTTCGGCGTCAAACCAGTCTTCCTGTCTAGGATGCGTCGACCCAAATGCCCGCTCGAGGACGTACAAATCCACGGCGCGATCCTCCTCCTGGATCGACTGCGTAGCCAATCCGAAGTCGATGAGGACAATATCGCCACTCAGGTCCGGCGGGGAGGAGCTGGATTTTTGCTGTTGTCCTTGTCCTTGTCCTTGTCCTTGTCCTTGTCCTTGTCCTTGTCCTTGTCCTTGCGTAGCCGAGTCTCGGCCTGTGTCTGACGACCCGTTCACGTTCGTCTGCTGACCCTGACCCTGACCCTGACTCTGCGTCGGCTTAGGTCGAACAATGACATTGCTGCTCGTCAGGTCCCCGTGCACCACGCCGCCCTTGCTGTGCATGTTTCCAATCGCCCTCCCGAGCCTGCGGAGGAGGATCTTGACCTGCTCTTCTTGCGCCGCGAGTTCTTCCTCGCCGCCCGCGGTGGCACCGTTGGCCTCCTTTGCGGCGCGGTACCACGCGTCCCACCTGCGCAGGAGCTCCTTGACGCTGGAACCGTCGATCCACTCCATCAGCAGCCACGCACCGGCACCGCCGCCCGTACTTCGCGCCGCCGCCGCGCCTCTCTGCTCCTGACTCAGACCTTTGACCTTTCGCGCGGCGTCCCACTCCAGACTCAGCACGGCGGGGACGTGGATCTCGCTCGTCTCGTCGCCTGCCAGCGAGGCCAGCTTGACGAGGATGCGAGCTTCGGCGAGGACCCGCTGTTTCGTGAGGCGGGCGTCCAGCGTCGGGTGCCTCCAGGCTTTGCTCGGTCGGGCTTTCAACGCGGCTGGCCTGTCCGGGGTGAGGAAGTGCGTGCGGTACAGCAAGGCTTCGGCGCCCTGTGCGACGAGCTGCGGGGGAGGGGTCATGGTGTTGAACGGCGCGGGGAGGAATGGCTCATCTTGTCGCTCTTCGGTCGCTGCGGTAGTTGAAGTCTCCATTGCGACAGGTGCAGATGTCTCGTAGAAAGAACCCCCTCAGGAGTTGGGGCGGGGCGGCGAAGTTCGTGGTAAGTGGGTTGGCGTCTCAAACAGAATACCCACGGCAAAGATGATCCTCCTCCTGCGTTGATATGTGAATCATCAGGTAGAATGCATTCGGTACGAAAAGCCACATGAAATGGCGGCCGCAAGCCTCGTGGTGGATGCGAATATTCATCATCGCGAGTCATGAAACAAAATCGTCCTCCGCTCATGACTCAAGTCATCATCAACTTATCTGTACCTACCTATCTTGCTTCTTCTGTACCGTACGACTACTGATAATATAGACGATATAACGGTGCCATATTAAGCTGAGAGCGATCGTTGTTCAGGATTACTTAGGATTCAGTTATTATCCCCATCAGTGTACGGATACATATCGTGGAAATACTTCCAAAAAGGGCGCGAGATAAGCCAACCAAACTATGTCAACACCTTGCCGTTGCTAATAGATGTCGACTCATAAACATGTAAACGCTTTTGAGACTCGATATCCGAGAGATTGAATAGCCAATTTCATCGCCGAAAAGCGTCGCATTGAAGGCAAACCTCGCACAGTCATGCGGGCTATGTCGTCCTCAAGTACAATCATTGACTCCCTGGCTCGACACTCATGGCTCTGACCATCTCCCTGAGCTCCTTGACCTGTTCCTTCAGCTCCCTAATCTCGACCACGTCGGCATCGACATCGACAATGGGCTTCGAGCTGTCCACCTTCTTAGCCCAACCCTCGCTCTCGAAGTCGATCTCCCCCTGCATCTCTTCCCACTCCTCAATGGTGTCATCATCCTCTTCCCCTCGTTTCCGATTGTCTCGAACAAATCTCGCATCTCTCGCCTCCAGCGCCGCTGTGATCAGGAGCAACGGACTGTAAACGATACCCATGACATAATCGTTGAGCCGCTGGTAGCGTGCTTTGTCCATCCACCACTCGAAGGGCAGAATCAGAAAGAACATCTCTATCAGATTGAGCGGTGCAATGAAAACGTTCTCATCGGGTGCCCTGACGAACTGCAGGGTTTTCTGGGCGAACATGGCCATGTACTCGTCAATCGCATTCTCGGTGATATCCTCGTATGCTGAATTGTATAGCGCGATGAGAATGTTCAACAGGATGACCATGACCACGAACGTGAAGATATAGTACAATATCAGCCCGAACGGATGAGCATAGTTGTCAAACCCATCAAAGTCAGGGGATTGCATCACCGAGTTTGCCATGCTGGTGATGATGAATGTAGTAATGCTGGCGTTCCCTTCGACTTGATTCAATCCGATGAATGCTTGAAGGAAACCGATGCATACCACGACGAGTAGCAGAAAAAAGATCAATGATTCGCGCATCATAACCTTTAGCACAACCAACATGGCGCCGAAGAAGCGAAACGTGTCCAGGTACAGCAGGAGACGCATCCAGAACATAGGGGCGCTGAAACAGAAGATATGGTAGCCCACCTTGTTCAGCTCGCGCCGACGCTCGTCATCTTGGTCCGGGCTGTGCGCAAGTGCTACAACGCGGATCACGAAAGACGCAGTTAGTAACGCGTACAGGCAATTGTTGAACACATTCCAGAAACCGATATAGTAGCGGCCAACTTTCCACAGCTTAGCGAATTCGTCGCAGAGGAAGCCTGCCGTCATGACATACAGGATTCCTTCCACAACATCGAGGTCGCCTTCTTCATTAATGCTGTTTACCGCCTGGGTGTAGAGAGCGAGATAGATGATTGACACCGAAATCTGAACCACGTTCTGGTACAATGGTGTGCGCATGCGGTCGGGGTCATAGTGACTCCAATAGTTGGTATTGTCGCGATTTTCGTACCAACGGTAATTGGCAGCATCTTCATCGTCTTGTTGGATCCAGCCGCGCCACAGGTATTTGATACACTTTTGGTAGCCAGAGGAGCCAATCACCCTGAGACAGTGTAAGTCGACAGCGCGCTCGATAACATTTGCTGGAGCAGATTCTTCGTCTTTGCGTACGACGCTATAGCGTTGCAACAGGACTTTCTGCATCAGATACTCTTGGTCTTCTTCAGCCTCGATAATGCGTTTGGCGATGACCTCGCAGGCTACAGCGCGGACTTCGTGGAGGTCTGCATCCCATAGTTCGAGTCTCGCCTGATGTCGAAACCATCTGTTACAAACAAGTAGACAGTACACGACGCAGGAGGCGTAGTCCTTCCCTCCAGCTTCACGGGCGGTCTGCACCACCTTCTTGGTGATGACCCCAGAGTTGGCGGCGGTGATCTTGTCCTCGGGGAGCTCAATGGGTATGACTTCTTCAATCTGGTATTTCAAGCGGAGGGCAACCTTGGTGACTTCACGAGCTGGGAAGGCCGGGGAGGGAATGTCGTTGGTATGACTGGGGAGTACTGCATAAAGGACATCAGAACAGCTCGAAGCCTCTGCAGAAATGACTTTGGTAACTTACACCTCCATAGTTCCTCGCGTGTATCGCGAGAGTCGCGCTCTGCGCCAAAGAGCCGTGACCATTTTACCATGACGTAGCCGCGTGGAGATGGATTTTCTGCTCGAGATAGGTAGTTTTCTTCTGCAGACAAGTCTGGTCACGAACAACAAGAGTGAGAGGTAGAGATATGGCGGGCAATTGGGATGAGCTCCATCCAGCTACGTCGAGCAAACAGCAACGGGAGATCGCCAGATATTGACTTGATTGACCGCCACAGCCACAACCTTTGGCTAGTGGGATGGAAATCAAGTTATTGACACGGTGAAGCTCCCCGCACTACCACAATGTTGCCCCTGTCGGCGCCTATACCTCGAGCTCTCTAGGCTGGTGGTGGCTTCGATAAGCGAATCAGTCTCCATGAAGCGAGCTCAGAGAACCACTGCCATCGCTGCCAACGCCTAATGCCTCTACCTATCTAGTTAGCACCGCCCTAGCTAAAGTCTCGTGTGAGCCTCAATAGCCCGGGCCTTTCTTCAGCTACCAAGCAAAGGATATGGTCCCAGGGAATTCTACGTGATGACTGAGTCTACCGTCACAAATTGGAATCATCAACTTGGATATTCCGCGTGGCTGCTAATAATGCAGTCCGAAAGATCATAGGATCTCAGAAATCATGTCTCAACTTTTCTTCTTCCATGTTGACATAAATTCGTTGACATCGTCCAAGTCCAAGTCCAAGTCCATGAATGCAGATGTGGATGCTTATGCGACCTCCGGGCCCTCGTCACTCTCGCTGACATCTTCGTCACCACTGACTTCCTCGTTCTCCTTGGCTCTCTTGTCCATCAGTGCCTGGAGCTCGGCGTCATCGTGCTCTGTCACAGCCTTAGGAGCCATCTTCACAACACATCCACCCCCAGCTTCCTTGATGCTCTCGTCAATGTCCTTGATTGCTTGCTCGAGTAGTTGGATGCCCATTGCTTTGTCCAAGCACTGACTCGTCAGGACGTAGTGAGGGGGTGACACCAGCTTGACCTTGACCTGCGTGTCAGGAGTGTTCTTCGCCTCTGCTTTTCTCAGCGCCTCCTTGACTGCGTCGATGCCATCGTACTTGAAGCATGTTACTTCAACGTCGGCACGTACTTTTGTTGGATGGGGTGTCAATTTCTTGCTGATGTATGAAATAAGTTCCTCCTTGACGACTTCATTTGGGAATGTTACATCATTCCACACCTCGGGATTTGTGATTGATAGCTTGAAGGCGTCGTTGGCATGCACGTACTTTTTGTTGAGTGGCCAGCCGATGTTTTCGTACAGCTTCAGAATAGGCATCTTGGTCTTCTCTGCGACGTGTCGGAAGATAGAGTGCACGGATTTGCTCTTGTTGTATCGTTCTTCGCATCGGACGATGTCTTCGGCGGAGACTCTTCGCTTGGACAGATCGATGTATCCCTTCTCTTTATCCACTCTCAGCACGACCACTACCTCATTGCGACCGATTCTGATCAGTTTTTGTATCGATCTAATACGTCTTCGCGACAGTTCTGAAAGTAGGATCATGCCATCAATGTTGTCGTATTCTAATAGTTTGACGTAGGCTCCCATCTCTGCTATCTATGCACAGGCATCAGAGATGACCCTTCCTTGCCGTATATCCCAGGGCTTTCTTACCTGTTTTACATTTACCATCACGAAACTTTCGATTTCGGGGTATTTTTCCTCATAGAAGCGGCAGTTGGTCAAGGAGTCTGGGTCCGACATGATGGCGGTATTGTCGCAGGAGTCTTTCGATGCGTGTCGTCTTCTTCTGAGCTTCTGGGTGTGTTTGAACGGGGGAGAGAAATGTTTGGCGAAGAGGTGTGTGGTCGCTGTGACTCGAAGCCTTGAGGCGACCTGGACTGTGACTGCATGTGCGGCGACACTTCAACCGCCTGCCCGCCGGAACTTTTCTGCCAAGAACAAAGAGTCACGTGCTGATTAGTCATTTCTTTGCTAATCCGCGTTCCTTCCAGTTGTACGGAGTACCAAGCTTTTCCTACCCACGCCCATCGACGTCACCCCACATGACCAAAACCCGGCTAATGATTGGAGTGTTGTCGGGACGTGTCTCTCTCCTTCTCCGCCCCTGTGAAGTCGCTTACTACGACCATTTCTGTGCAGGTATTTTGGAGTTTTCCTGCTTTGCGGTTAATCGGCCGAGGATCAGAGAGCTGCAGCTGCAGGAGTGACAGGTTGGCGGCTTGTTCAACACCATGGAAATACAATAACAACAGCTGAACTTGTATCTACACTGTACTCCCTCACTACTTGTCGACTGCCAGTCACGATGATCAGTCGTACACCGTCCTCCTCGAGCAGTTCTAGTCCTCCACCATCCCCCCGGCGTCCTTCGCAGCCGCAGGCTACCAGCACCTCCCGACTGCAGTCGTCCCAACATGTGCCAGTAACTCCCAGTCGATTGCGAGAGGCTACGACAATGGTGGGGTCACAATCCAGCGAAGAGGTGGAACCTGTACCCCCAGGACTACGCCGTAACCAAGAGATACCGACGGTAAATGAGCCGGAATTCCTGCTGGAAGATGCGGAGTCTTCAGCTCACGGTCGGATTGAGGAGCCTTCGCCCGCAGAGCTCAACGTCAGGAGCAGGCTGCTCGGCAATTACCATCAAAACCATGTTTGTGGACGACGCAACTGTAATCACGGCACGTTTTCACCCAGGGCGCCATCGTTACGGAGCGAGGACGACAGCCTTGACAGCTCTGCTGTGCCCTTTGGTGGCGTATATCCTGGTACTTTGGCTGACGATGGGGGCCCAGTGGACACGATCCATGGTATACTGGGAGATTCCATTGCCGACTCTCTGACGGGAAGTAAGAACCCGAGTACAACCAAATGGCTCGCACAGAAGCAGGGTATCAAAAGTCAGAAGTGGATGTATTTCTCCTACTACTTTCCATTCCTCAAATGGATTCTTCAATACCGGTGGCAGTGGCTGCGGGGAGATATGGTTGCAGCTCTCTCAATGGCTTCTTTTTATATTCCAATATCCCTGTCTCTCGCCTCAAACTTGGCACACGTACCTCCTATCAACGGCCTCTACTCTTTTATTTTCAATCCCCTGATCTATGCATTCCTCGGAAGCTGTCCTCAGATGGTGGTCGGACCTGAGGCAGCCGGTTCGCTGTTGGTTGGTCAGGTTGTCAAGACTTCAATCGATCGGGGACATTCAGGCGATGATGATTCCAGGCTCCACGCAGAGATCGCCGGGGTTGTGACAGCTATAGCGGGCTCGGTCATCTTCATTGCTGGAGTGTGTCGACTGGGGTTTCTCGATAGTGTGCTCAGCCGACCGTTCCTTCGAGGATTTATCAGCGCCATTGGCTTTGTCATTATCGTTGATCAGCTTATCCCTGAACTTGGTCTCGCCCCTATTCAGGACGAAGTTGCTCATGGAAGCAGTGCTCAGAAATTGGCATTCTTGGTCAGGAATATTGGCAAGGCTCATGGACTGACAGCTGCTGTGTCGGCAATAAGTTTTGCGGTAACCTTGCTCTTCCGGTATGTCACATACCCGCAGTTACGTTCCCGCACTAACGTTGCAGCACGCTCAAACATACTTTACAGCCACGATATCCCTCGGTTGCCTATTTCCCAGATCGTTTCATCGTTGTCGTTCTTTCAGTCATCCTTACCTGGGCCTTCGCTTGGCACAAGAAGGGCTTGTCTATACTGGGTGATATAGAGTCAGACGCAGGGTCAGCCATACCCTTCCAGTGGCCTTTCCAATTCAGCCATATGACCCACATCGATACTGCTCTGAGTACGTCCGTTCTGATCGCCCTTCTTGGATTCTTCGAGTCCTCTGTGGCGGCGAAAAGTCTCGGAGAAGGCACTTCTGGCCTTAAGAACATGACCTTGAGTGCCAATCGAGAAATGGTTGCCCTCGGCACAGCTAATCTTGTCGGAGGTTGTTTCATGGCTCTCCCTGCTTTTGGCGGATATGGGAGAAGCAAAGTCAATGCGTCCACTGGGGGGACGACCCCTATGAGCAGCATCATCCTCAGCATGCTAACACTGCTATGTGTTTTGTACCTCTTGCCGTATTTCTACTATATTCCCAAAGCGGTGTTGTCAGCAATGGTTTCAGTAGTGGCATATTCACTCATTGAGGAGTGTCCTCACGACATCAAGTTCTTTCTCAAGATTCGAGGATGGACTGAGTTGTTCTTGATGGGCGTTATCTTTGTGGCCACTGTGTTTTATTCTCTTTCTGTCGGCATGGCCTTGGGCATTGGACTGTCTTTATTACAACTCATCCGGCATGCTACCAAACCCAGGATACAAATCTTGGGCAAAGTTCCCGGCACCACCAACCAGTTCGAAAACGCAGAGCTCAACCCCGAAAACATCGAGTATATCGAGGGATGTTTGATCATCAAAATTCCCGAGCCTCTAACCTTTGCAAACACGGGCGAATTGAAGACGCGTCTGCGCAGGCTGGAACAATATGGGACGAACAAAGCCCATCCATCCTTACCTCGCGTCCGACACGAGGAGAATAATAGAAACGTCATCTTTGATGTTCATGGTGTTACGCAGATTGATGGGTCGGGCACACAAGTATTTACTGAAATAGTGGAGGATTATGTGAAACGAGGGATTCGAGTTATATTCTGCCGCTTACCGCACAGGAGGAGCAAGGTATTTTTATCGTTTGAGCGGGCGGGCATTGTAGACCTCTGTGGAGGAAGAGGCCATTTCGTTGGCAGTGTTGAAGAAGCCTTACAATTGTCGGAGGCCGAAGATATGGAGCGATATATCGAGGAGCGCGCTGTTCATGATTATCGCAGAGACACACAGTGGTAGTGAAGCGACTGACACCAAGTCACTTTTCATATCGCCCCAAAAACAACACAATTGCTCTCTACAGCACCTTCTCTGCCTCTTGGTTTCACACCCATGTACCTGCAAACCACTAACACCCTTGCACGGAGCACACCCCAATGGCTCCCTGGTTCCTCGGGGCGGCCGTCCTTTTGATCATCTGCTTGACTGAGTCTGGTTATGGCGCGTTGCATTTACCGCTGTACAGAAGAGGAGGACGGCTGTCTCGACATGAAACCGCCAACTTGACTCGTCTTGCTGCAATCGTGTCGGAAGTGGAAGCTCGTTACGCACGCTGTCAGCGCGAAGTTGGGAACAACCGAGTTGTCCGCAGATGGCGACCGTACGAAGGCAAAGACGAAAATGATCCTCAGCTCATCGACGTCGCTGGACATCAAGACCGATGGTTGGGAGCACACCGATTCAACGGCCACCTATTGACACATTTCTAGGTACGCGGAGCTACAAGTCGGCGATCCGCCACAGGTCCTCGAGGTCGATATCGACATGTTGAGTCCGGACTTCTACACCATAATGACATCCAGCGGTACGGGATCGAAATACGATACATTTACGTCAGGGTCATACGGTACGTTTTCTCGCGAAAGGTGCCTATTGCAAGCCGTCTTCTGCTCTGCTACGGTTGTTGTTTGCTTTCGTTGTGGCCTGATCACCGACGATGAACATCCGCGATGTACCTGTACATACCAACTAACATGAGCTGTGATTACACTTGTACAGAAGAAACCCACGGCGCCAGCGACAGAGTGCACTCACTGTGTCGCCGTACCAGTGACCATTTCCACTTTCAACAAGAGTCCAAGCAACAACGCCCGATCCGTCTCAGTTTTCCCATCTGCACGCCCTCCAAAGCATCAGGCGCCACACTCGCGCACTCCGGGACCATCCTCGGACTCTCACCAGACCACGGCGACGTCCACAGTCACAACGCGCTCTCCCGTCTTTCCTCCCCTTCTCTTCTCGACCAACTCTTCGAGCAACACATGGTGCACCAGAGAGTATGGTCGGTGACGCTCCTCGACGCTGAATCCGGCATCCTCAGCCTCGGCGGCACCATCGCGCAACAAGTCGAAGAGGCAAATGTCCGAGGATCCGTCGAGCTCGAACACTTTGGTGACCCGCAGGCGACTTCGGACTGGGTGGAGCAGGAAGTCGCGAAGCGCATCGACTTTCTCATGACCCCTGACGCTCCGTGGGACGGGCACTTCAAGTGGACAAACACCCAAGGCGCCGCAGGCTGGTGGACGGCGCTGATGAGCGGCGTGTGGATCAACGGGGCAAAGGTGCTCGAGAACCAACCGGTGCTCTTCGACATCAATGTCCCTTTCATCCTCGCGCCGCCTGTCGCCGCGCACCGGTTCTACGAGGCCATAGGCGGCGCGAAACGACTGGATCCCCCGCCGTTCGACGCGTTCTTCGCGATCCCGTGTCTCAACACGGTCAATGTCGCATTCGAGATTGGCGGGTGGAATTTTCCCGTCATGGCCGGCGAGGGGACGAGGGAGGATGCACTCTACGGCCCTGCTGGCGGCAAGGTCAGCTTGGGCAAAGTGGGTGACGGTACGGGATATTGCGTCGGTGCCGTCCTCGAGACCACGATGGGCGTAAGGGACGAATGGATCGCGAGTGGCGTGAGAGACATGTGGGTGCTCGGAGAGCCGTTCTTCAGAGGGCTCGGTGTTGCGTTTGATGTCGAAAAGGGCAGAGTTGGAGTGAGGGTTTATTGATTGCTCACCAAGGTACTCGTACCTTTATCGTGGTTTGTTCGTGCAGGTACCTACGAAGCTATTGAACGCTGAACGCTGATGGCACACGCGAAGTTTGACGATGATGAAGAGCAAGCATATGTGATTGGACTTTTTTGTGTTTTACGATAAGCCACACCCCGAACACCGTGACGATGAACCTGACGAAGCCTTTTTCTTTTGTCAAACTTGATCTTTTTCTCCTTCCATCATTACCCTATACCCACCCACACCACATCCCGCAATGCCAGCGATACAGCACATGGAGCTTCATTTCCCGCGCAGCTCACCGGCCTTTGGCTTTGGCAAGATGCCCTCCTTTTCCAACTCCTCGAACGTCTCTTCAAAGGCGTCCCACGTATCCTGATAGCCTGTCCACCCCAACTTCCTCGCCTTGCTCATGCTCGCGACGCACGAGTAGTTCCGTCCGAACAAGAAGGTCACAAAGGTCCAGGTGGCCTTGTCCCAGGTGTCCTGCTGAAGGCCGAACCTGTCTCTAAGCTTCTCCCAGGCCTCGACCACGTCGGGCCTCTGGGCCCACTTCGTCGTGTCGATCTGCTGATGGATGACGCTGTGCTTGCCCTCGAACTCGTCCTTCAGGCCGATGGCTTCGGCGTACACGGCCAGCGGCATCGGCGTCGGCAGCTCCTGGCGGGTGGCCTCGAACCCGTCGTACTTTTCCCCGGGGAACATGTTCGCGGGCACCTTGGCGCCGTACCGCCCGGCCATCTTGGGCCACAGGTTCTGCCAGCTCTCGGTGTCCCCGTTGATGACGTTGAAGGCCTCGTCCCCGGCCTTGGGCTCGAGCGCGGCCCAGGCGCAGAACTCGGCGTGCGTCTTCGCCGACGTCCAGCAGTTGAAGGCCAGGTAGTTCTCCTTGCTCCCCGGGAACGCGAGCTCCCCGCGCGGCAGGGTGGCCATGACGCTGGCGTACAGCCCGATCGCGGTCGCGAGGTTCATGAAGTTCCCCTTGGCCACGCCGATGACGTCCTGCGGGAACGTCACGACCCACGTCCAGCCGACGCTCTTGAGGTCCTCCCTGGCCGCCCGCGCGAGGATGTCCTGCTGCGTGTAGTAGAAGTTCTCGGGCCACGGGTCCCCCCGCAGCCGGGGGTCGGACTCGTGCATCGGCTGCTTCGTGCGGCCCAGGTGCACGCCGTACTGCTTCAGCCCGTTCACCAGGATCAGCCGCTTGAGAGACTTGATGGAGCCGGTGTGGCGCAGGGCGTCGATGAAGTTCTGCAGCATCGCCCCGTTGACCTTCGCCGCCTCGGCTTCGTCGTCCCGGGCCAGGTACGCGCAGAAGAAGATGTACTCGGCGCTGATGCCCGACAGGGACGACGCCATGGATTCCGCAGACGATTGGAGGTCGAGGGTTGCATGGTGGATCTTGGGGTTGGAAGAATGCGAGGACTGCGATCGGGAGAGCGTGGTTATGCTTGTCCATTCAGGCGATGAGAGGAGCTTGTTCGTTATGGCGCGTCCGGTGATGCCGGTTGCACCTGTCACCAAAGCTGTCGGCATTGTGAACCGATAAATTTCAAAGAATGTATATATTCTTGGTCCTAAGGTAGGACAGAAAGGTCAATGCGGGCCGGTCGCTTGTAATTGAGGTTGTCGATAGTCTGTCTGTCTTTCTGAACAAGGCTGACTATGATAGGGGGGTTTGGGGCCCTGCCTCACCGTGGTTGTTGATTTTATTGACAGTCAGAGGACGCCGGAAAAGCTGTTCTTGGAATGTGGTGGTCTTGTAGTTAGATGATATAGATCATACTTTCAGGTGGACTATCGTTCGATTTATTACGGTCCATGATCTAACTGTGACGCTGAGTCCCTCCCACCGAACGTCATGTCAAGGCTAAAGTGAGCATCCCGGGATGTGATATCCGTGGGCGTATAGCCGACCGGACCTGGTTGTCATTGGTCATCAGTGAACAGGATACGGGACTGCTGCTGCTGCTGCTGCTGTCGGATTATAGTGTAGGTACTTGGACGTGGGTGTGTGTGTCTATCTGTGCGTTTTATTCTTTGCCGACCGGGTACGAGGACTGGTGCCTACTTCTCTTTCGTCCCCTCTTTTCCGGGAGCCCGCGGGTTCCGCTTGACAATCAGCAGTTTCCCCTGCCATATCCTCGTCAAGGTGAAGACAAGATTAATGAAGAATACAATCACCAAGAACACCACGATGATAGTCGTGACGACCCGGAAAAAGGGAGAATCCATCTCCTGTGCCAGGACCAGCAAAGACGTGACCAAGGTCCCCGTCGGGAAAATAATGGCATTCCAAGTCGGCGTCCACATCAACTGCCCATGCACTGCACGATCAAGCATTCCGATCAATGCCAGGACCATCCAAACTGCACCCAGCGCGGTCATGAACAGCGCCAAAAGAACACAGGCGACTTCGAGCACGGATGCCGCCGTACCGGTAAGGAACAGTCCCCGGTGATAGTCTCCGAAGGCGCCGTGCGTGTTGGCCGCCGACCCAAGCATCTGCAGCGCCGCGGCCGACTGGCCCATTGGTCCGATGAACATGAACAGTGTAGGCGTGTTTGCCGGCGCCGGCCAACCCTTTGCGAGCAGTTGGTGAAACAGATACGTGGTCAACTTGAACCCCAGCAGGATACCAATACCCACGGAGCAGAACGACGTGATGATGATGGGCACCGCGAGTCGCGCTGAGATGTCGTGTGAGTCGCTCGATACGACGGCGCCGACTAGCGCGAGCGTCGAGACTCCCACGGCCGGGATGATGATCAAGGCCGGCAGTTGCTGGTCAGGCGAGACGATTGTGTGTTGCCGAATGAACGTGGCGAACGCGAAGAAGAGCATGCCGTACATCCACGCCGTGGCGATCCACCACATCACCACCGCGAGCATGGTGAACGCGTGCCCTCCCCACGGCGCGTTGCTGACCGTGAGGCTGATGAAGGAGGTGAGTGTCATCCAGGCGATGCACCAGCACGGCAGGAGACATAGTTCGATCACGCTGCCAGTCAGCTCGGCGTATGATTGTCGTCGGTAGATGAGGAAGTGTAGGGTATATAAAACCGAGAAGACAATGTAGAGAACCAGGTCGACGCAGAAGGCGACGGTCGAGAGCACTCTCAAGCCGGAGAATTGGTACGGCAGTTGATGGAGAAGAACCCCAATCACGCCGGCGTTCATGCACCATGTGAACCTGTTGCGTACCCGAACTGATTAGTATCTGTCATAACTTGGAATCTATCATACGTATCATATCAGACGCCGTGGGACAGGGGTCTGCAGAGCCGCCACAAGACTCCAAGTTAGATAGAATGTGAGAGGGTGTGCTAGTCCACGTACCATATTGGACTAAAATCCTCTACGAGAGCACGAAACGCACTCCTTGTGGCTGTATCGAGGTTCTCGTCATTCCGCTCGAGATCGCGCTGGGTTCTGTTGGCGGATTGTAGGTCGGGGCCATTGTCCTTTCCCACACGCTCTTCGGCTGCTTCGACCGTCATTGTTATAGGTTGTTGTTTGCGTTCAGGATGATCATCAACCTGTGCGGCATCTTCCTGTTGATTTTATGCCACTGTCGGGGTATATTCCTGCGCCATTAATCTTTCTCTTTAATCAGCAGCTTATTGATGTCCATGGTTCGATTCTGCTTCTCCGCAAGCAACCAGACTCCCTTTTCCGAGGATTAGGACGGGGTGTTGGCAGCCGGGTATTCGCCGTTTGAACACGGGATATGGTAGTAAATGTCTCGTACAAAGTACGCCAAACTAGCCACCTTTGGGATGCAAGATTCGGTCTTCCGGCCGCTGCGTCACGACTTTGCATTGGGGTCAAATACTAGCCGTGATCGCTGTGCGCCTTGTGTTTGATGTTGTCATTGGTGCGCGCCCTTGGTGTTTGGGGATGAATAGGGGTTGTATGCCGACGTCTAAGTAGACCCCGGATACTCCGTACCAGTGGAGCAACAATTCACGAGTACATCAAGATGGAAGATTGTCAAACAGAAGGACGCAAGTCCTGATAATACATTGCTGTCTCTCCACAGCAACAACGAGAGTATTTCTCTTCTGACGGACATCTTCAGCAGTATTCAATGATATTGTTCTAGTAGTCCTTCTCTACAATGTTCCATTCTATCTAGAAATACAGTATCGTCCGAGTCCAACTTTCACTACTTGCGTCCGGCGGCTGGCCCAGTGCTATTGGCGACTCCTCGTCTTTCCTCAATTGCCGCAATCCGTTCCTGCTCGGCCTTCTCCATGATCTCTCTCTTGCGCTTTTCATCTCGGGCCACTTGGTCCGGTCTCTTGATTGCAATGTCCTTGGGTCTAAAGTCACTGAAGAGGTATTTAAAGACTTGCTCAACGACCCAACAGCCACAAAAGTCAACAATCATGAGCGTGGTCAATGTCCATTTGAAGTCGCTCCTGAAGGGTACAAGGCGTAGCTTGTCATTGAGCTCTGGCAAGAACTCCGTGCTACCGGCAAAAGCCACAAAAGAGCAAGACAAGAGACCCCAGTACATGCCTCGGTTCTCTCTGATACTCTCACGGAATGGACGGCCTTGGTAATTGATGGCAAAAGTCGAGACTTGCTGAATAAGCTGCATGAGATAGACCGCACTATTGAGCAAGCTGGGTTCGAATTCACCTTCCAGATCAATCTCGTCAGATGGAGGAACGATAGAATACACAACTCGAGAGAGATAGATCAATGTAGCACAGTGAATGGCGAATTGGCCTAGGACGGATCCCAAGATGTAGGCGTTGAGGATGTTTGGCTGAGGTCGTTCGCGTGATAGTGCCTCGACAGGCTTTGCTCGCGATATCGACAAGAAGCACACTGACATGAGCATACCACTGATCGTGACCTGCCCGTCACCGAATTTGATGCCAGCAAGATAAATCACGGATAGAGAGTATGCACTGATCAAGCAGTTGAGGGCGAGGATCTTATACATCTGAATGGTTGCAACCAGTGTGCATCGACCTTGGCGAATGATGTTCGGGATGGCAACAACATTGGCCAACTTGCTGGTAAATGGTGCGGCAACTGAAGCATCGCCTAGCTTAATTGTGGGTGGTTCGCCGTCGTCAAGCTCATTTTCCATCATAGACGAGGTGAATTTATCCGCCCAACTGGCAGCTTTCTGTTGAGCTTCTTGCTGTCGACGTTCCTTGGCTGTGAGATGGGTACTCGACTGTTGGATGGCTTGGGCTCCAGGTGAAGTGATCGTCTCAATGCCCCCAGTTTCAGCATCGCCATTCTCAAGGCTAATGCCCTTCTTCTCAGCAATAGCCTTGATCGCCTTTTCGTGATGCGGGTTGCTTGGACCAGGCGGGTAAAGATGAGCGATTCCAGGCGGGACAGGTGGTGCGGGTTGGTTGAACCGCTTCATGAGCTGAACCTGTTTCTCATAGATCTCCTTCATTTTGGTGGTTCTGAAATGCTCACCGATCTTGGTGAGGTCTTCCTGTGAACCATTGAGAAGTGCCACGCCGACATGAGCCTGTTTCAAAGCACCAACATCATTCGTGCCGTCACCGCACATCAGAGTGGTATAGCCTAGATCTTTGAGCCCAATCAATATCTCCTCTTTTTGCTTCGGAGACACTCGGGCATAGACCCAAGTGTACCTCAGCAAATCCTTGAAGGCTTTCTGCCCACTAAATTTAGCAAGGGCATAACCTGTAACGCACAGATCTTTCGTCTCAAGGATTTTTGGATCGATGGCCCCAGTCGGATCGACAGGGATGATTGTTTTCTCATCGACACTGCGCCAAACCAGCTTCTTGCCTGAATCGTCGTCTTCTGGCGCATCCAAAATCAGACAGTCGCGGTCAACAATCTCAACTTGCCGCGCTACATGAACCGCAGTCAGGGGATTGTCTCCAGTGATCATCACGACTCGGTGACTGCTTTCGTTCAACATCTGGACAGCTCTAATGGCGTCCTCCTTAAGAGGAGTCTGAAGAACCAAGAACCCGGCGAAAGTCAGTCCAGCTTCCACTTCTTCCCGGCTTAGATCGTTGATACGTTTCTGACCAAGTTCCGCTTCGGTAGAAAGATACTTGTAAGCAAGGGCAAGTACTCTAGCGCCATTTCTGGTGAAGTATTTGAATGTTTCTTCGTACTTGGGAGGGACATCAACGAGCATCTTAGCAATTGTCTCAGGGGCTCCTTTGACACCAACGAAAGTACCCTTGCCTCGTCGTCCCGTCTTTGGATCCGTGATAGAAACCGTCGCCACAGAGCTTTGACGCTTGAGAGCAGATGAGAATTGAAAACGTCGTTTGATCTGAACGATGTGAGATGCGCCCGCAGTCGAATGTGCCTTCTTTGACTTTGATGGAGGAACATTTGTCAAAGTATCATTATTGCCCAAAGTCCAATTGAGGGCTGTCAGCGTAGCCTTTTCCATTGGGTCACCGACAATGTCACCCTCGTCGAGCTTGACCAAAGCATGAGCTGTAGCCAAAACAAGAGTTGTGTATACACCACAGTCCGGAACCTTCGTAATGGTCGATTGAGCTCCATCAGCTTCAGTCGGGCGATTTGCTTTGCCTAGGCCTAAACCGGCAATTCCGTCGACAACCAGGTCTTCGCCCGTAAGTGTTCCGGTCTTGTCAAAGCAGGCAATGTCAACACGTCCAGCGAAGGGTATCCTGAAAGGTTCTGTACAGAAGATGGCAAACTTGCTGAGGGCTGCCAGACTAGTGTTGACCGCGAGCGACAGCTCCATGGGTAATTCGGGTGGCACAACGCTGGTGACGATCAGGATACAGTCGAGAAGTAGCTTTGATCTCTTTCTGTTGTTTCGAACGCCTTCCTGCCATACATATCCTGATGCTGCCAGTGCGAAAATCAACAAGAACAAAATGAACCACAGAGCCTCGGCATTGTTGGCCGAAACACGTTCTGTGGAATAGATCATAGTCCGGACAAGACTTCCTTGATTAGTTTCGAAACCAGTCTTCAGGACTACAGCCATAGCTCCATTGTCAGGCGGAGAGGGTACTCCTGACTTGACGGTCGGGATGCTGTCCGGTGCATCCTCGCTAGCGGCAGGATGGGTAATCTGCAAAACTTTTGTCCCGCCCCAAAGTAGAGCATTCTTGTCCAGCCCTTCCGGCTCGATTGGTGCATCGCCGGGTCGGAGCATGATAGACTCTTTGAGAAGCGGAGTGCTTTCACCAGACAACATAGCCTCGTTCACAATAGCAGTCCCCTCAATAAGAATCATGTCGCATGCCACACCAGAATCTTCCTGGGTTCTGCCGACAGACACAAGGTCACCAGGAAGCAGTTTGTCGCTTTTGATCTCCACCCATTTCCTTTCTCGGTACACCCAGATATCATAAGGCTTGATGCTCATACCGCGGAACTCATTCAGAGTTCGTTGTCTTTGCCAAACCACGGTGCTCTCGAACGCCACCAACATGAACAGCGTAAATAGTGAATAGTACCAGTAATCATCAAGCAACCACAGGCCGACACAGAAGACCTGGAAGATGAAGAATGGTGCAACAGCATGCTCTTTCCACAGCTCCATGAAAGTAGGGACAGGGATGTCAAACGTGTTGTCCCCGTAGTGCTGCTGGGTTGTTTCGATTTCGGCCGCAGATGTCAGACCTTTGGTCAGCTGGAACTCTCGGAGCAAAGGCTTCTTCTGCCCGTCCAGAGTATACGATAACGGTGCGAATGTGCCTTTCTCCGACGAGTAATCGAAACGTCTCTTCTGGAAAAGGAAGAAGATCCTGCCATCTTTTCCCTTTTCCAACTTGCATATCGACGGCAAACCGGAATTAACGATAGGAATGACTTTGATAAGCTGCGCATTTTCAACCTTTGTGGCTTTTGTCGTAGTAAAAGCGGTATCCAGATTTACATTCCATTTTGTCGAGAGCCAGGCCAAGGACTGAAGAGTGGTGATAGTCGCTATCCATACAAAGGTCCATTCTTGGCCATCGATGTATTCGTCGTAGAGATCTTCATTGAGATAGAACGCAAGGAAGATTGGCCATAGTATCGTGAAGGGCCACACGTATGCCTTGAGATAGATAGGTAGAGGGTTGTGAAGACTAGCGGACTGGATTTGGTCGTTGTCGACGAGTTTCGCCCTACATTTCGCTCGATTAGAAGTGGCCACGCACTGCAAAGATGTCCAACTCACGGTTTCTGGGCCATGGCGAGCGTCAGTCAAGAGCTCGCGCTCAATCAAAAGTGCGCAGTTGTATCTGCTCAGTGGCAGTGGCTGCGATAGATCTTGGAACACAGTGTCCTAGAAAAAAACGGTACAGTAGACTGACGCAGTTTCTGGAGTCTTCGGCCAAATGCATTCCGCCTCCCTAAACATGCCGCTTTAAGCCGGAGAACTTGGCATGTTTGTCACAGCCTCATCGATAACATAAAACACTTCTTTTGACTCATTTGGCCAGCGGCGATATCAAAAAGGCCAATCCATACATCGACGCCTGAACACCCAGGAGTATCGAGGTGCTCAGAGAACACATACGAGCAGCTTTCTACAATTCCCATTAGTGGGGTCCTTTTGAGGAAATTTGGTTCTGATAAATTCGGTCTCACGTGCCAATCATTGAGACGACCCCCCCAACAGCGTTAGAGGCACGGAATTTCTTATATTCCTGACACCTCTCACATTGGTCTCCTAGTCCGGATGGCTGAACCAGTTGAGGTCAGCAAGACCTTGCCAGAGCGGCTCAAGGAGAAAGTGGAGAATGTTGTGGCAGACAAGAAACCCAAGAAAGAAAAGGCACCCAAACAGCCCAAACCCCCCAAGCAGCCGAAAGCGCCGTCAGAGAAGCCTTCCAAAGCAGTCAACCCAACACCTTCGGGCCCAGCAGACCCGACTGCTATGTTCAAGGAGGGATGGCTTGCGGCTGTGCGAAAGGAACGGCCACTAGAGGAACCCGTTGTAACTCGGTTTCCACCAGAGCCTAACGGCTATCTTCATATTGGTCATAGCAAAGCGATCGCCATCAACTTTGGATTTGCAAAGTTTTATGGCGGCAAGTGCAATCTTCGGTACGATGACACGAACCCAGAGGCCGAAGAAGAAGTCTATTTCACCGCCATCGAGGACATTGTGCGGTGGCTTGGTTTTGATCCAGCGCTCATCACGTACTCGAGCGATTTCTTCGACCAACTCTATGCGTTGGCGGAGAAGCTGATCACCCTGGATGGCGCATATGTGTGTCATTGCACCGACGAAGAACTCAAGGATCAGCGGGGTGGAACCGACCCGAAACACAAGCACGAAAGATACGCTTGTCGGCATCGAGATCGACCTATCGAAGAATCGCTGGCTGAGTTCCGAGCAATGAGAGATGGCAAGTACCGACCCAAGGAAGCCTTCTTGCGGATGAAGCAGGATCTCACAGATGGCAACCCACAGATGTGGGATCTTGTTGCATACCGGGTGTTGGATAAGCCACATCACCGCACTGGCGACAAGTGGAGAATCTACCCTACTTACGATTTCACACACTGCTTGTGTGATAGTTTCGAAGGGATAACCCATTCCCTCTGCACCACGGAGTTCATCCTCTCCAGGGTGTCCTATGAGTGGTTGAACAACAAAGTGGATGTACCACATAAGCCAATGCAGAGAGAATATGGTCGACTCAACATCACAGGGACAGTACTTTCGAAGCGAAAGATCAAGAAGTTAGTGGATGAGAAGATTGTCAACGGGTGGGATGACCCAAGACTATACACCCTTGTCGCATTAAGAAGGCGAGGTATTCCCCCGGGAGCAATCTTGTCTTTCGTTAGTGAGCTTGGAGTCACCACTGCGACCATCAACATTCAAGTCAAACGGTTCGAACAGTCGGTCCGTAAATACCTGGAAATGACAGTACCTCGTCTCATGCTCGTTCTAGATCCAATTCCAGTCATCATTGAGGACCTGCCGGACAATCACTATGAAGAGCTAGAGAATGCGTTTGGACCAAAGGATGTAGACATGGGTTCTCACAAGTTGCCCTTTACCAGAAAGGTGTACATCGAAAGAGATGATTTCAGGGAAGTTGACAGCAAAGACTTCTTCAGGATGGCTCCAGGGAAACCAGTGGGATTACTGAAAGTACCCTATCCGGTGGTTGCAACAAGCTTCAAGAAGGATGAGTCTACCGGCTTGGTCACAGAAATTCACGCGAGGTTCGAGAAACCTGAAGAGGGCGAGAAGGTCAAGAAGCCAAAGGCATACATACACTGGGTTGCTGATGCGCCTGGACATGGTTCGCCAGTCGCATGTGAAGTTCGCGTTTTCAACCCCCTCTTCAAGTCAGACAACCCTGATGCAGTTGAGCCAAGTTTCATGGCAGATCTCAACCCAGACAGCTTGAAAGTCTATCCCAACGCGATGGCCGAGGTCGGCTTGAAGGAGATTCGAGAGCGAGCACCATGGCCGGAAGAGGCCGGGGAGAAGAAGGACAATTGTGGCTTTGAATCGGTCAGATTCCAGGCAATGAGGACTGGATACTTCTGTCTTGATCCTGATACGACGGGGGCAGGGGGTAAAGTGGTGCTGAATCGAATCGTCAGTTTGAAAGAGGACGCTGGAAAGGCAGCATGATTGACGAAGGAAAGTTGCATTGTGCTACGAGAATCAATGGGGCATGTTACGATGGGGTTTGGGAGGAACAGCCTCACCAACGCTTTGAAATGGCGTTGATTGATCGGAATGGTGCCCCTAGGTACCTATTTGAGATAGAATTCACTCTACATATGCTCTCTCCTGGTGACAGTATTTCTACTCAGTGGTACTCACATTTGCCCTGACTGAGATCGCAGCCTGCCCTTTGGCCCAGCCCACTTGATTGGATGACAGTGCTGCTCGCCTCAGCCTTGCACTCTTTCCCGTCCAATAGACCGGAAGGCTTCAACTCTCAAGAGACCGACAAGCCACTGTACTGACTGATGTGAGAGCGCCCGCCCTCCTCTGTAACTTATAGTACTCTCTTCCTAATCTAGTCAGGCCTAGTATCGCGGTGCAGAGATGTAGAGATTGGATTTGCTTTCAAACACAAGATAACTGCCGGAGGTCAAGGACTCAAGGGCTTCAGTAAAACGGTCTTGTCAGAAAAATGACCTATACACACGGCATCGGCGAGTCTTTAGCCCTCTGAGGTATGGCTCTCGAAAGCGAAATGCCCATTCGATTGAAGTCGGTGGGGTGTACTTGTGTCCCGACTTAGATGGGATCGAAGTGACCGTTCCGTAGACATATGGCTGCTTATGTAATACAGATGTTGCGATTGACGAAACGTCGTCCGCCGAGTGGTTGGCCCATCCCCTCCACCACCTCAACCACCTCAGCCACCGTAGTGAAAGGCATCTTCCCCGGCTTCATGGAAGCTACACCCGAGTGCAATGTCCCGGCGCACCATAGGCGGAGGGAGAGTCCTAGGAAGCGGTAGGACTCTTGGACCGCCTGTTCCTCCACCAAAGCCGACCTCCCCTCTACCGTCGCACGTCCTTTCGCCTTCTGACTCGACTCTGTCATTGAATACATCCGAGAGTGAACCGTCTACGCCTCCTTCATCAGATCCTCAAGACATCGCCGCTCGAGTCTCGCTAGACCATGGCGGGCCAGATCTTTCCGCTGCGGCCGTGGCTGCAGGCGACCGTCTGGTCTGTCCTATCTGCAATGAAGAGATGGTCACACTGTTACAGTTAAACCGACACTTGGACGATGTACATAAGGAGATTGAAGAGGAACAACAAGATGAAGTGAAAGATTGGTTCAAACAACAAATGGTCAAGGCGAAGAAATTCCAGCCGTTGGCTGTTTTGAACCAGAAACTCAAGGGCTTGGATGTGTTCGAATCCAATCACGATATGGCTCGGAGCAGTACGCCTCTCCCTAGGATCGATTCCATCGCAAGGGAAAGTGTTCCTCCTCCTACTCCGCCGAAGCCGACTCCTGCGGTGATTGACCCGGACGATGTCATAACAAAGCAGCATTGGCAGAAACGAACCGGATACGATGTATGCTCAGATCCTTCATGTGGGAAGAGATTAGGCGCAGGAACCGGCGTTGTGAATTGCCGGCACTGTGGCAAGCTCTTTTGCGACGAGCATACCATGTATCAAATGAAATTGTCAAGGTCTGCCCAGCATGAACCCGTTCGAGGACTATGGTATCGGGTATGTGAAACGTGCTATAAGAGCCGCGAAGGCTACATGGACAGGCACGGTCTTGAACGAAATCGGATGGAAGACTTCGAGAGTGTCAGGCGGAAGAAGCTCAGTCATCAGGAAATGGAGGTCTCCAGACTTGAGAAGAGACTCTCCAGGTTAACACAACTACTTGCAAATCCACCTGAAGAAGTAGTACAGCCTTCAACGAATAAGAGATGGTCGCTGAACTGGGGCCAGAACGATCCTCGAAAAGCCCTCGAGCAGAGTATCGTCGTTTGGCAGAATGACACCGATGTCCTTCGATGTCCGTACTGCCAGCAGGATTTCACGCAGTACACATTTCGACGGCATCACTGTCGGACATGTGGGAAAGTTGTTTGTGGAGATCCCGTTACTGGCTGCTCGATAGTTATCGGTCTTGATGTTGCTAAAAGTAAGTTCATTCATTCTTACCCTCCCAGATCCTCTTACTGATATTCCATGACAGCTAACCCCCGTCGCTCTACAACAGAAAAGCCGGCCCCGGACAACACTGTCGCTCTCGATATCCGCCTGTGCAAGGAATGCAACCACACGATCTTCTCGCACCGGGATTTCCAGACTTCACTGACCTCACCGGCCATTCAAACATTCTCCCGAGCATACAACAACCTCCTACAATTCGAACGGGGCATCCGCTTATTATTGCCCAAATTCCAAAAACTTCTCCAGGCACTACAAGATCCCGACCACCCGCCATCTTCATCACAAATCTCAGACGCATCACGAACACGGAAGCGTCTAATGGATTCATTTACGCAATACGACATCGCCGCCCGGCGGATGCGTGATCTACCAAGCCAATCTCCCACCCAACTCAAGCTACAAAAGGCGATCTACCAGAACGCCACCCAGTTCTTACACCTGCACATGCTGCCTTTGAAGTCGCTGCCGAAGGTTCTTAAGCACGCCACCCCCCATGGCAGTGGTAGTAACAATCCCAAACTCGACCCTCGCGACCCCCGATCGTCCCTCGCCGTGCTGAACAACAACCATGTCCGACACGACAGTTCATCAAACTTGTCTGTGGTTAGTTTCGCATCCTCGCGCGTCAGCGAGCTGGAGGCGGAAGAAAAACAATTGCGCGAGCGACTTATTGTGCTCGAAGAACAAAAGTTCATGGTGCAAGAAATGATTGCAGACGCCAACAAACGACGCAAATTTGATGAAGTTGCCGCTCTGGCTGGCAATGTGGAGGACCTCAGCACAGAAATTGATAGTGTGCAAAAACTCGTAGATAACTTACGAGGAGAATTCGACAGCGTCTATACGGGCGGCGGAGGCTTGGGCAGCGGTGTGAACAGCCCAGTCCGAAGAGTCAGCGACATGGGCACGAGCCCTCAGTCGTCGACGGGCCACGGAAGGTTGAAGAACGTCCTCACTGCGGGCGAATGACCATAAAGCATGCATGCGGCTTCACATGCCCTAAATGAGTGTACTTAGTCCTTTTACAGCGAGCGGGCGTCGGGCATCTGAAGCTTTTTTGTTTTTTATTTCAAGCACCAGAACGTGACGGGTTTCGGAAACTTCATGACTATAGTCCGGAAAAGTCGAGGCGGGCAAGATAGAACCTCGGGGCCTCGACCGGGGGCCAGATATGAAGGTGACAATGACATGACAAAACCTATAGAGAGGACGTGATGGTTATGAAACAGTCAGCGGTTTCCGATACACATTCAAGGCTTCCATCTACCCGAGTCTCATCTTATGACTCATCAATTGGTGGCTTTTCGTCCACTCATCCTGCAAAGAATCACCAGCTCCTGATTTTTTCCCATGCTCATGACGTCCAAAACCAGGCTCTCGTTTCCAACCCCCCATTATCCACGTTATTCTTGAAACAATCATTCGTAATTCGTCAAAATCTATTGATACAGAAGCCATTTGGAAAGGAAAGAGCCACAAAAAGAAAAATTAAGGTCGTCGAACCGCCGTTCAGCCAAGCAGAGCCCGTCGGCGCGCCTCGTCGAGCACCGCAACGAGGAGTTCGTGATTCGCAACCCGTACGCAGTTATCCTGTGGCTGTTGTTCCGGGCCGTCGACCGCGTTGACTGCCCTTGCCACGAACTTGACGCGATGGTCACAGGAAATGGCGTAGGCGGCGGTCGATATCCTGGAGATCTTCATCGGTTCAGGCTTTGCCTGTTCAGGTTCGTCGACACGGGTCGCGGGGCCCGTGGCGGTGTACTCGGTGTCGACTGGCAGCTTGAGACCAGTGTGCGCCCAGATAAAGTTCGCTATCGTGCCCATGAAGTGGTCCCTGTTGTTGGGCAGCCCGGGTTCCGGGATGGCTTTGAGCACGGCGAAAGGAGCCACGGCCACGTCAAGCGATTTCAAGTGCGGTGCGACCGGGGCGGAAAAGGTTATTGTGAGTTTAACACTGCTGATGACGTCGATGAAGAGATCCTGCATCTGCGATTGCGTTAGGTCTGACGAAGACGACGACGAAGTCGTGAGTGATGAGGAGATCGCCGAGAGGTAGGTTTGCAGGGTGCCCTGGATGAACCTGGAGGGCAGGTGCAGAGAGTAGATGTCGGGTAGCGGCGTGAACTTGTCGCATAGGTAGGAAAGAAGCGCCTTCAGGACCGCGGGCGATGACTTGGAGAGGAGGACTGCAGTCTGGTCTTCTACTGCGACGGACGCGGCGCTCAACGGCGCAGTCCGGTTGCGCTTCGAGGCGATGGCAAGACTCGTAGTATGGGTGTAGATGATGAATTTGTAGGTCGACTTCTCGTATATGAGACTTATTGAGATTCCGTGAATACGGGAACTAGTGTCGTCGTCTCGTCTTCGCTTCCTGCCCGCACTGTAATGCGTTGGGGTCTGCGCGGCTGCAGACGTTCCTTGTCCCAGCTGGGTCCATTTGCATTGCCTCAAAAGACCGAGCTTCTCCTTCTCTTCCTCAGACTCGTAGCGCGGGCGGTCGCGGCTGATGGACTCTGCGAAGCCTTCGGCGTGGCTGGAGAGTATGTCTGTTTGTTGTGATCGCTCCGAGTCTGTCGATGTTGGGGCAAGGAGGGCGAGGAATGAAGGTGTGAGCTTTCGCACACTGTGGACGAGCCACGATGTGTCATAAAACGCGTCTTCCATCTCGGAATGAGGCGCTAGAGTGTTACGAAGGTATGTTCTTTCATCAAGTACTGGTGCTCGCACTGATGTTCTCGCCATTGAAACTCCGTCGATGAGACGCGGTTCGAAGCGAGGAAACGCGCTGTCACGTGATGATTATAGTTAAAGCTATCGCAATCGCTATCGCTTTCTTCGAGGGACAAACTCCAGCCATGACGCTCAACCAACCCAACCACCAGACGCAGCATTTCTAGAGGTAGCGCATGAAGCCCAAAGGCATAATGGATATTATTTCCCAGAATCATTACTGTCGGCCCAGCTATATCATGGGGACATTCCTTGCAGTAAAAGATCCTACCAAACGACCCTTGACCTGTTCATTTGACATCTTTGGATTGCAACATGCATTGACCGCATCCGAATTGCCCGGCGCATGCTGTGGCGAGTACAAAGGCCCGCCACTCATCCTCATCCTCTTCCTGATTTTATCTAAAACTTCGAGCAAGATCCCCATGGAGTTGTCGATGATCTTGGATATCGAAAAGGAAGCGTACTGGCGTTACGACAATACGAATCTAACCTCTTCCGGAATAGCTCTGAGATAAGAACTCAAACGACTATTTCCTCGCATCAGCTTGTCAACCCAGTTGAGATCACAATGTCCCCGCGGATCTTCTCGATCCAAGCCACTTCAATCGCTGGAGTCTCGGGTCGGTATCAATGGAAAGTATTACCACAGCAAGGAGGCGTCATTGCCCTGATGCTTATGATGTATATTCTGGGAGTGGGTTGTCATTCCAGTGGTTCTGTTTCTCTGCCTTTTTTCTGCTTTTTGTGTGTTTGCTTTCAGACCAACTGTCCCTTGGCGCTACCATTCGTGCTCCCCTGGGACATCCCTATGATATAGGTGATATCAGAGGAAATGGAAGACCCAAAGGGCAATTCAGAGCACATTGTCGATAAGATCAACAATCTAGATACCCAGCAACCGAAAGATATTCTTCCTCCGTCTCCCCCACCCACAGATGGCAATGTCTCAGAAGCCGAAGATGAGAGCGTCGACATCCCATTACCTCCTCCCTCTACCATTCCTACAAAGACATTAGACATCGACCTGAAGACACCTGACAGCCACGTGCCTCGAGATCCGAGACTGATAAGACTAACGGGTGTACACCCTTTCAATGTTGAAGCACCGCTCACAGCGCTCTTCAATGAAGGATTTCTAACGAGTCCTGAACTATTCTATGTCAGAAATCATGGAGCTGTGCCACAGGTCAACGACGAAGATATCATCGACTGGGAGTTCACAGTAGAAGGCCTGGTTGAGAATCCTCTGACCATTACACTCAGATCGCTGATGACGGAATTCGAGCAAGTCACATATCCAATAACGCTAGTATGTGCAGGCAACAGACGGAAAGAGCAGAACATGGTGCGGAAGAGCAAAGGCTTCTCCTGGGGAGCCGCTGGACTGTCAACTGCACTTTTCACTGGAGTCGTCATGTCCGAAGTGATTCGGCGAGCCAAACCAAAGAGAAAGGCAAGGTATGTATGCATGGAAGGTGCAGACAAGCTCCCGAATGGATACTACGGAACATCAGTGAAATTAAACTGGGCTATGGATCCGAATCGTGGCTTTATGCTCGCATACAAGATGAATGGTGAAACCCTCCGACCCGACCACGGGAAGCCTTTGCGTGCCGTTATCCCTGGGCAGATCGGTGGTCGTTCCGTCAAATGGCTCAAAAAGCTGATAATCACCGACGCACCCAGCGACAATTGGTACCACATTTACGATAATCGAGTATTGCCGACCATGGTCTCGCCGGAAGAATCGGCCAATAACCCAAAGTGGTGGACAGACGAAAGATATGCTATCTACGACCTGAGCCCCAATTCAGCGATCTGCTACCCTCAGCATGAGGAGCAGTTGAGCCTAGCCGAGGCAAACAGCACCTATACCGCCAGAGGATACGCTTACAGTGGTGGTGGAAGGCGCATAACCCGGGTGGAGGTAACTCTCGATAAAGGCACAACATGGAGGCTTGCCAATATCGATTATGCCGAAGATCGATATCGTCAGGTGGAGAAAGACATGTTTGGAGGTAGACTCGATATGTCGTGGCGTGAGACGTGCTTTTGCTGGTGCTTCTGGTCAATCGATCTTCCCATCTCTGATCTCACTGGATCAAAAGATATCTTTGTACGAGCCATGGACGAGAGCATGAATGTGCAACCACGAGATATGTACTGGTCTGTGCTTGGCATGATGAACAATCCGTGGTTCAGGGTCACCATTGCTCTAGAAGGCGAATGTGTGAAGTTTGAGCATCCTACGCAACCTGCACTGATGCCAGGCGGCTGGATGGAGAGAGTCAAGAATGCCGGGGGCAATCTTGCAAACGGATTCTGGGGCGAGAAACTTGAAGGTGAGGAGGCGGCTGTGACCAGCAACCAGCCGACGAAGGAGATCTCGATGGTGAAAGAAGGCCTGAAGAAGACCATCACGATCGATGAACTCAGAAAGCATGACGGCGCTCAATCGCCCTGGTTTGTCGTCAAAGGGGAAGTTTACGACGGCACAGCCTTCCTAGACGAACATCCTGGTGGAGCACAGAGCATCATTTCAGCAGCTGGTCTCGACAGTACCGATGAATTCATGGCCATCCACAGTGAGACCGCTAAAGCGATGATGCCGAAATACCACATTGGCTCGTTGGACGATGCCGCAAAGACGGCACTAACAGAGGCAACGGTGGAACCAGACCAATCAGCTACACCAACAGAAACATTCCTCGATTCGAAAGCCTGGAAGAGGGCTATCCTCAACGCCAAGAAGAGTGTATCCTGGGACACACGGATCTTCACCTACAGGCTAGATCACCCTGAACAACGGCTTGGCCTCCCAGTTGGCCAACACCTGATGGTCCGGCTGCGAGATCCTGTGACCCGAGAAGCGGTGATTCGAAGCTATACACCAATATCTGAAATCAACGATAAGGGACATGTCGACATGCTGGTCAAGGTTTATTTTGAAGATGCATCTTGGAAAGGCGGCAAGATGTCTCAAGCCATGGATTCACTTCCGATCGGCCACTTCATCGAGATGAAGGGCCCCATTGGGAAGTTTGAATACCTAGGAAACGGCAAATGCCTGGTTCAAGGGAAGGAGAGATTTGTGCAAAAGTTCGTCATGATTTGTGGGGGCAGTGGTATCACGCCAATCTATCAGGTGTTTCGCGCTGTTATGAACAATTCCGAAGATGAGACACGATGTACCATTTTCGACGGCAATCGCCTACTCGAGGATATCCTTTGCAAAGACGAGCTCGATGCTCTGGCGAGTAGGAACGAACACCGGTGTACAGTTCTGCATACTCTCACCCAGGCTCCCGACGACTGGACGGGACTCCGCGGCCGCATCAACGGCCAACTGATTCAGGACAACTGTACCAGGACAGACGACACGTTGGTGTTGGTATGTGGTCCAGAAGCGATGGAGAAAAGTATTCACCAGGCATTGTTGGAGCAAGGCTGGCCCGATGACCAGCTGATGTTCTTCTGATGAGTGTGCTACTGTTACGATGATGTATGAGATTTATGGAAATAAACAACAAGCATTTGGTTAGCGAGCATGATGAGGACGTCGGTATAGCGAGTGGCCATTGAAGTTGTTAATTATGAGTAGATGAGTAGATGAGTAGATGAGATGGCAGCGCCCACGATCTACCTCTGGCTGAGGCCCCTTAGGGGCGAGTTGTGATGTCAAGGACACTGTCGCTACCTTATTAGTAGGGGTACTTTGTAACTTACCATACATAAAATACATGACATGGTGAGGCTCGCTTATCGGGGCTGCGTGATTGGCTCTTGGCGCATTTTACCTCGAGATCTACATGGGTGGTGTCGGCCAATCATTCACTCCGACTCTGCTTATCTCTCGCGCTTATTATGTGTTATTTCTTACACGTGAGAAATCTTCAACACCGTGGAAAAGCTCAAAGCTCACCATGGCTGCTTCTTCTTATCGAGAACTTACTCTCAGATGCCGGTCCGTCTGTCCGCTGGGTCTGCACTGGCGACAGCGATGATCATGATTTTGCACATCGATTCATTGGCCCTTCCAAGGGCGGACCGTTGCTCCGTGGTTTGGTCGAATATCTTTCTGGTGGCTCCTACACAGCGATCTGGACATCACTCCATCCCCGCGGGCCGTCAGCCTCGACTGATAAGCTGACTTGCATCTCGTTTCGTTGGCTGGCCTTTTTCTATGAGGCTCTTCTTGCTCTCCGCGGACATTGACCTCACACAAGTGGCGCCGTCGAATCACATTTCAAGCTCGTAGTTTTGCCATGGCTTGATCGACTATCTGCGCATCTCTGCTTCAACTCTGCTCCCTGCTTTTGTGTCTGAGTGCTTTTTCATTCCTTTCTTCCTTCTCGCTGTGCTTATCGAAGAAGCCTTTGTGCTCTTTTCTGCTAGATGCTTTGGCTATAATTGATCAGGCGAAGAGCCGAGCTATTAACGCATTACCTCCAGCATTATCGGAACCAGGAAAGCCCTGGGCGGGTTAATTGCCCGGTATGGCTAACAACCAGACACCAGAGCGAAGCGAGGATGCCCCTAATGGTGGCCCACGCAAAAGGATCGTGGTAGTAGGCCTGGGCATGGTCGGCATAGCATTCGTGTATGTTGTACTGCTCTGGATTATTCCCAAGATATCATTATGACTGACTTCTTTCCAGTGAAAAGTTGCTGAAACTCGACGCAAAAAGACATGAATATGACGTTGTGGTCATTGGCGAAGAGCCTCATCTCGCATATAACCGCGTTGGATTGACCAGTTTCTTCCAGCATCGACAAGTCGAGTCCCTGTACTTGAACCCCGAGACGTGGTACAAGAATCATCCGAAGGAATCTTTCAACTATCATCTCAACACCCTCGTTACAGAGATCAGGCGCGAGGAGAGGACTGTCATCACAGCCAAAGGTGACGAGATACCATACGACATACTCGTTCTTGCCACTGGTTCCGATGCTCTTCTCCCGCGACATACCCCCGGCCACGACGCGAAGGGAGTATTCGTCTACCGGACCATCGACGATCTCCAAAAGCTGATCTCCTTCTCATCAACAGTGAAAGGCACGACGGGATGTGTTGTAGGAGGCGGTCTTCTCGGCCTCGAAGCAGCCAAAGCCATGATGGACCTGGAGGAGTTCGATAAAGTCAAGCTTATCGAGAGAAACAGATGGGTGCTCTCCAGACAACTAGACGCCGACGCAGGAACCATGGTCGTCGAGCTCGTCCGCAAGCTCGGCCTGGACGTCATGCTAAGCAAGCGTGTGGGCAAGATCTTGACAGATGCCGACAACGCCGTCAAGGGCATCGTCTTCGAAGACGGAGAGCAGATCGATTGCAGCTGTGTCATGTTCGCCATTGGCATCAAAGCAAGAGATGAGCTGGCCCGCAAGGCTGGCCTGAAGTGTGCCGACCGCGGCGGTGGCATCACAATCGACAACGACCTGCGGACAAGCGATCCCAACATCTATGCCATCGGCGAATGTGCCAGCTGGGAGAACCAGACATTTGGCCTCATCGCACCGGGTGTCGAGCAAGCAGACGTTCTCTCCTTCAATCTAACACAAGCCAAGTCCCATTCACCTCGCACATTCAAGAAGCCAGACCTCAGCACCAAGTTGAAGCTCTTAGGCGTCGAGGTCGCGAGTTTCGGCGACTTTTTCGCTGACCGTGACGGGCCCAAGGATCTCCCCAAGCGACATGTCAAACGTGAAGAGCGCAAAGCCTCTGAATCCCAAGCTGGTCAAGCACAGGATAAAGTCAAAGATCTAACCACCGGCCCGCCTCCTCCTGCCGTCAAGGCCCTCACTTATCGAGACCCCTTTGCTGCCGTGTACAAGAAGTACCTCTTCACACTTGACGGCAAGTACCTCCTTGGTGGGATGATGATCGGTGACACAAAAGACTACGTCAAGCTCGTGCCAATGGTCAAGAACAAAAAGGCCCTCGACGTGCCACCATCCCAATTCATCATCGGTGCCAGTAAAGACGGAGACGAGGGAGGGGATGATCTTACAGACGACACGCAGATTTGTTCCTGCCACAACGTGACAAAGGGCGACGTTGTACAGAGTGTCAAGGATGGTTGCAAGGCCCTCGGCGAAGTAAAGACTTGTACGAAAGCAGGCACAGGATGTGGCGGATGCATGCCGCTGGTGACCAGCATCTTCAACAAGGCAATGAAGGACATGGGTAATGAAGTGTCGAACAACATCTGCCCACACTTCGCCTACAGCCGCGCAGATCTCTACAATATCATCTACGTGCGCAAGTTGCAGGATTTTGGCAGCGTCATGCGCGAGGCCGGCAAGGACCCTGAGAGTCTAGGCTGCGAGGTGTGCAAACCTGCCGTTGGTAGTATCCTGGCCAGCATGTTCAACAAACATATCATGGACAAGCCCCTTCGCGGACTGCAGGACACGAACGACAGATACCTGGGCAACATCCAACGCAACGGCACCTTCAGCGTCATACCCCGTGTGGCCGGTGGTGAAATCAGCCCTGAGAAATTGATCGTCATCGGGCAAGTCGCAAAGAAATACAACCTCTACACCAAAATCACAGGTGGCCAGAGAATCGACATGTTTGGCGCAAAGAAGCAGGACCTTTTGGACATCTGGTCCGAGTTGGTCGCCGGAGGTCTCGAATCAGGCCATGCGTACGCCAAGTCGCTACGAACGGTCAAGTCTTGTGTCGGCACGACGTGGTGTCGCTTCGGCATTGGCGACTCGGTCGGAATGGCCATCAGACTGGAAGAGAGGTACAAGTCGATCCGGGCACCGCACAAGATCAAGGGCGGCGTTTCAGGATGTGTGCGCGAGTGTGCCGAGGCGCAGAACAAAGACTTTGGGCTGATCGCGACCGAAAAAGGGTTCAACATCTTCGTCGGCGGCAACGGCGGAGCGACCCCGCGACACTCGGAGACGCTGGCCAAAGACGTGCCGCCGGACGACGTGATCCCCATTCTCGACCGGTACCTGATGTTCTACATGCGCACGGCAGACAAGCTGCAGCGCACGGCGCGGTGGGTCGAGCAGCTGCCCGGCGGCATCAAGTACCTCCGCGAGGTCGTGCTGGAGGACAAGCTCGGCATCTGCGCCGAGCTGGAGAAGCAGATGCAGGAGCTCGTGGGGACGTTCTTCTGCGAGTGGACCGAGACGCTCAACGACCCGGAGAAGCGCCGGGCGTTCCAGCAGTTTGCCAACTCGGACGAGACGCGCGAGCCCGCGGTCGAGAAGGTCGAGGAGAGGGGCCAGGTCCGGCCGGCGTACTGGCCGCGGGACTCGGTGCACGACGACTTCAAGGGCACCAAGTGGAGCAGCCTGACGTGGCAGCCGATCGTCGAGGCGCGCAAGTTCCAGGACCTCGACACCGGGTCCTCCCAGACCGTCATCCGCGGCGACACGCAGCTGGCGGTGTTCAAGCTCAAGGGCAAGTACTACGCCAGCCAGCAGATGTGTCCGCACAAGCGCACCTTTGGCCTCTCGGACGGCCTGATCGGCGAGACGACGGCGGCGGCGGCGCCTGACTGCAAGGAGGACAGCAAGCTGTACGTCAGCTGCCCGTACCACAAGCGCAACTTCCAGCTCAACGGCGCCGTGAACTTTGACAAGCCCGACGCCGGCGCCGGGTCCTGTTCGAACGACACGTCCATGTCCATCGCCACGTTCCAGGCCGAGGAGCGCGGCGACGGCTGGGTGTACTTGAAGCTCCCGCCCGTCGAGGAGATGGATGCCGTGCTCGGGACGAGCAAGTGGGTCGTCAAGTCCCAGGAGGCCCAAGACCCGTTTGAGAGTCTGGACAAGAAACTCGGCCTCCATAAAGGGTTGAGGCCGTCGAGGACCGTGGGCGCCATGCCCGGCACAGGAAACGTCATGGCCGCCAGGAGGACAGTGGGTGTCGCCGCACAGAGGAGGATTGATTGGTGATCCGTTTTCCCCCTCCCCAAAAGGAAAAACAAAAACCAAAAATATAAAGGCCAGCCGTAACGGAACAGAGGAGGAGGCACCGATTCATGATGGGAATGGACGGATCACAGCGGTACTACCGGGGAGCTCTTCCCCCGTGGATACCTGTGTACAGTAGGAGTGAGTGCTGTGCTGTATTTGATTCTGGACTGCTGTGGTATGGAATGGCAAGATGCTAGATGCGGATACCGACATTGATACGGATACAGCTTACCGCTCCAGATACGGATACGGATCCTGTAGATTTGTTAATAGTTGACGACTTGATGATATAATTAGATATGAAGATGAACAAGAACAACAACAACAACAACCGGATTCTCCTCGATATCATTGCATACATACCTATTGTTTCGTCGTCCTTCATCATGTAGTCTTATTTGTGGTGTTCTGGGCTCATACTCGTTCTCGACGTATTGAATTCCCACACTATTAGGAAATGGAGTATTATATAATGACAATGTTTCGTAGATTGGTATAGGCATAATTAAACGATTAAAGTGCATTTCATTTCATTAGGAGTCATCATTCATAAAACCGTTACCGCAGACACTCACTACCTGTCTCCCTGATTCACGGTAGGTACCTATCCAGAAAGGGCCAAAAAGGAAACGCTGTCTCTCTAGAACGAGCCACGGTCCCCCCCTAACTAGTCAGGGGGATATCCTCACACCTCACGCGCCCATACACATACACGACAATTGTCGCTTCGTTCATGCCCGCAGGGGGACAAGCTTTTGCTTGCTCATGTTTGTTCACAGATTCAACCAAATATCCTCATCGTCGTCCTGCTCGTCACCACTTTTCTGAATCCGGGTCGCCTCAGCACGCCGAGCTTCTTCCACACTCGTCTCTGCCACCACCGTTGTCATTGGATGACTCGTCTCATCACTCCTCATCACACTTTGACCATCTCGAATATCGTCCCATTGTAAGGGAACATCTTCACTCTTCTGACTGACAACGACTTCAGCACATTGTTCCGCGATGCTCTTCAACCTCGCCTTTCTCTCCTCGATCACTTTTGCCCATCGAGCACGCCACGCTCTCTGAATCGTCACCGCGGCTCTCACACGCTTTGACGGCGTCAAGAGCCTCGAACACAGAAACGCGAGCGCAGCCAGGACAAAGCCACGATCAAAGATGTGCGTTGTGCCGCTGGATCCCGCCGAAAACAGGCTTGAGAACTGGTCACTGCATCCTAGTCGGCGCAGTCTCTCTGCGAGACTGAGACGGAGGCCGAGTATCGTGGGGTCAGCCTTGTCGCTTGTCTCCTTGGTAGTCGCAACCTGGCATGCTCCTTCGTACTCATCCACAATCGCCTCAAACACTCTCCCGTCAGCAAAGCTGGTCGTGAGATTCTTCACTACAAGTCCGTGTTTCCTCGCCACCGCTTTCGCCCAGGCCTTCAGTAGCATCTTGTATCGCACAGGATCGTTCTCGTCTTCGTCTTCGATCGCGTCGAGAATGTCTTCATCATCATCGCCCGCCCCACCAGCCCTACCCAGGCTCAGTCGGCGGAGTCTCTTGACCTCGCGTTCCAGATCATGCCAGTCCAGAAGTCCACATAATCCCCATTTACTAGTCAGCCCCCAAAGAAGCTTGACCGTCTTCTCTCTGAAGCCGTCCACGATGTCCTCTGCACGAACGTCACGCACGAGCGGAGCTATGCCCTTGACGCCCTGCAGTGCACTCAGGGCAATTTGGACATTGTACAGCTTCGTCGCGCGACCGAGGCACGGGAACTTCAGGTGCTGGGACAGAGGCCAATCGTTCTGCCCTTCAAACAGCATCAGCGTCTCGCCAGAAGGCAAGAGGACCGTTGTCGTCGTCGTCGTCGAGTCAAAGTCCCGCGCGTGATCTAACCCGTGAGACGCCGAGGGGTAGAGAAGAAGTTCGACTAATCTTGTCAACCGGACACCGTCACGGAGGTCGATCGCGAGATTTTCAATCTTGTACCCGTACTCTTCCAGGGGATACTGAGAGTGCGAGACACCGTAGCCGACATGGCTCAACGATCTGATCGGGTCGCCGGCGCTGGGGTTGAGCTGCTGGAAAAGAGCCTTGACGACATCAACTGACGATTTGTGCGGAGAGGTCGTTCGAAATAGGCACGAGCTGGTCAATGGAGGTGAAGCTGTCTTGATATGGTCGAGGAGTCTAATAACCATCAAGCTTCGCAAAAGTGTTCGCTGATACGACCAGGCTGAATCATGCGGTTTTGATGAAGCCTCGTCTGGGTTGCGATCTTCGTTTCGGATGAGAAATGTCTCGATGAACCGCTGCACCGTTTGACGACTCAAGTCCTTCTCTTTGTCCAAGCTGCGTCTTGTCGCGGACACTCTGGCAGAGGTGGTATTGCACTGTCTGCCTACGACGACCTCAAGAACCGCACGGAGGGAATTCAGTTCATATGTCTCAAGCCATAGGTCCGCAAACGCCTTCCGTCTCCCCAAGTCCGTCCCTAGTCGGATTGCACCCTTGAGAATATCATTCGGTACGGCCAAGGCTCCATAAAGCAGTGCTCCCTGCAGTCTCTTGAACAGCATGCTGGTTTCGGAGTTGTTATAGAGTTCTAGTAATTGGACTCTGAGCATGCCGTCTTCGACTGGGCGGGACGTCAGTGACGACGACGATGCGTACAGGTTGTTGACAAGCTGTGTAATGGCAATCTCTTGATGATTCAACCAGTTGTCCTCGTACATTGACGGAGACGCAAGATCCTCTGTGAGTACTGGATACGAGTCGAGGATGGGCTCCGCTTTGATCACTGGAGCCACGAAGCGAGTAGGCACAGTTGGCTTCGTAGGGACGACTTTTTCTTGTAGTTCCACTGCTGGCGACGGCGAGGGTTTCTTGACTGGTACAGGTTGACTTGTGCGGACCCGTGCACCAGAGTTCCACGACCGCTTTGACCCTGCTGTGCCGACGGTGCGACCTGGTTGCTTTTCCACCGCTCGACTCATCGAACTAGCCGTTTGCTCATGGAGTCTGGATGCAGCTGGCTTTAGGTCGTGTTTGATTGTGGTTCTTGTGGGTGGATAACCCATCGTCTGTGTCTTCGCCTTGTCGACCTTGGCTCCTGCCAGCAAACCCGACTCGACATATCCAGGCGGGACGTTCTCTTTGCCCCCTCCCTGCCCTATCCGATCTTCGACAACGGCGGATTCCTGAACGTATCTCGAAGAAACGCGAAGAGGTCCACCACGTTTCGGGGACAGAGCGATCATAGAGCGACGTGGTGCGGCTCTCTTTCTGGCCATCTGCGCCGCGATCCCCGTCACCTCCAGCTCAGCATGCGTATCTGCTGGTTTTGGGTGCGCGTCGACATTCAGGTTCTTGATAGGACTGAATATCCCCATGTACATGCTCGGCATCGTTGTGTCGTCGTTCGGAATGTATATCGTGCCGCGCCGAGCTGGCTTGAGTATCGTCGGTGAACGCAGGTCCATGTTGATGTTAGCTGTCGTATCTTCAGGGAGACTGGGCAGAAGCGACATGTCGTGGTTTCCAGTCGCATGGTCTGCTCCGTGCCGTCGGGGCGCCTGGTGAAGTTCGACTACCCCCGAGGGTCTCGATGATGGACGTGCTGACTCGTGACTTTGCACCGAGACCGACGGAGCAAAGGACACGCGCGCGGCAATCTTTGGTCGTTGGGGTGGCTGCGAAAGCCCTATCGTGCTCTTCCGTCTTGCCGGCTCCCTCTTGAGCTCAACAGACTTCTTCTGTATCGACTCTGGGTCCTCGTGAATCGAGAAATCGACATTCTGGGTCGCCCTCCGCACTGAGGCCGCGTTACGCATACGCCGTGGCTTCGTGTTTTTCAAGCCTCCAAATGCCGACGTGAATTCGATGTTTGCTGTCGTGTCACCATCACCGTCGACTAAGCTCAGAATTGAATTGTCTGCATTGCTTCTGTATGGCGGCATGGGACACGGTGTGCCGGAGATGTGTCGTAGCATCGTGGCTGATTTGGATTTGCATCCCTTACTTGACGCGTCCACTGACTATCGGTGTAAGCAGTTATCGAAGTAGCGAGATTCCTTTTGTTACTTTGGTCGACGTGGAGAATTAAGACGCGTCTTCACAGAGTTCGAGATCCAAGATGAGGCGGCCCAAAGTGGCCAACGGTGGTTGCGAGGGGCAACGCCGAGTGCCACTTTCAAAGCGCCACAGCCTGAACAGCATCGATTATTGTCATCATAATCAACCTGGGCGTCAGAAGGAATATCGAAAGGTATCTGGATGGCCGAAGCCTGAATCATTGAATCTGTGGAACTGAAATGTCCTTCATGTGAAATCCCAACGCCAACGCTATGCTATGCCATGCTAAGCTATATCTACATCTCAAAAACACCCGACCGAACTTCCCCTTTGCCCACAATCAAGAATAATACTACAGCTCGTCCCTGGTAGGAAAATGAATATCCCATGATCGCGGAGGTACTGGCAATCCCAGCCACCAACTCCACGCTCTTTTCATTTCAAGGATAAATACGGCGCTCAACTTGAAAGGCATATCAACCCAACTTTTCAACACCATCTTGTATGCACGCCAAACAAGATCAAGCTCGGTCCAGAAGGCGTCAGAGATTGATGGGGTTGGTTTGCGTTCAGGTTCAACGTCGTAGGGATCGTCGTCGAGGTCGCCAAAGTCATCAAGGTCTGCGGTTGCTGCTGCGGAAGGCATGCTGTCTACTTTCTTCGGGGCCGTCAACGGGCCCTGGGTCTCGAGTACGCTGTAGTCACCAGTATTGACTGCCATCCGGAACTTCTGAATGGCATCAAGACTGTGGCTGACCCGGCCCAGCGTGTTGACCAGAGCGACGAGCTCAGTTCGTCGGAGATGCGGGTTTTCACCGTTCTTATTTTCATCGTACTCGAATAGGATCTTAAGAGCAGCACCATAGCCTGCAGTCTGCACTTTTCCCCACAGACGACATTTGTCGCATCCCACGCAGTCCATCAATCTGGACACATTGCGGAATTTGTTCCTGAAGTCCTCTTTGAGGTCGATGACGCCAGGGTCTTGAAACATGACAGTTTCGTCAAACGTGTGTGGACCAGCCGCGGCCTGATCCGCCAAAGCAAGCACTTTCTGTTTTGTTTCAAAATCGATCTCGGGATCTCCTGAACAGAAAGTATAGGATTCAAGATGCTTCCTAGCTTTTGCTAGAGCTCTTGTCAATATGGCGTAATTGAAATATAGATTTGAGATGCGTTCAGGATACTTGTGAAGTCGTTCCTTGTAGCACTCGACATTGTGGACCCATTCGCCGGTCGTCTGATTAAAAAATTCCCAGCAGAGGTGTGTGGATATGGAAGCGTGCATGCCGCTCACAATGCGATAAAAGGCTCGCTGTTCCAGACATTCGTCATCTAATGGGTAGAGATCGTCACCGTCATCCACGTGTTGTCGTCCGTACTCTTGAAAAACATTCTTCAAATTCTGGGCCGCTCGTAGGGATTTCGAGTTGGACGAACTACCGCGGCTGGATTGGGCCGAGAAGCAATTCTCCTTGTATATTGCGTCCCACACCTGGCGAGCTCCCATGCCGGAGTAGCCTGTGTATCTTTCTGTGTTGTTGACGAGACTAACATAGTCACCCTTTCCGGTTGTGCCCTCGTCTTCTGGTACACAGTAATCTCTGTCGTCGCATTCATCATCATCTTCCAGGACGCAACTTTCGTCCACGTTCTCTCCCAGCTGGTACTGTAGGGGTCTGTCTTTGGGTCTCTCTCTTTGTTGGGCTCGTCCGGGGTGCTTTGCCCTGGCACCCTCGAGTTTGCTAAGTTCTTCCGCCCGCCATATTAAAGGAATGTCGCTCTCGTCCTCGATTGTCTCTACCGCGCATGCACGGTTCCCACACATGGAATTTTCATCGCTCCAAAAGGGACAGACTTTGTTGTACAAATTTAATCTATAGTAGGCAAAGAAATCGGTTTTCTGGGTCAAGTCTTCGAGCGAGGGATATAACTGGGCGTTGAGCCTTTCTAGGTCGGAATAGGAGGTGCAAGCGTCGCTGACGATCGAATTTGGATCTATTGCGCACTGAGGCTCTGCCCCGGCACAGTGAGGCCGGAGGAGGAGATAGAAGGCGAGGAAGAATTGGGAAGCGCCGTGTAGTCGCATGACGGCGGTGTTGCGCACATGTGGCGAAAGGAATGATTTGGGAGAATGAAGAAGAGTGAATTATCGCGGTATGTATCAATTAAAGAGAAGACTGGATGAGAGGCAAAACACTCGGTTTAGTTGTAAGGAGGAATGAGGGCGTGTCGAGAACAATCTGGCCTCAAAGAATGAACACATTCATCCGTCCTCCGTGTTGTATCCGCCCTCACTCCATCCATGAAATAATTATTAAACACCCGTCATCGCAAACCAGCAAGGGGTTTATCATCTGCCGCCTTTGACTGGTCAGGCCACTAACTCTCCTCGCAGCACAGCCTTCCTCAGCACCAGACCCTGTCAATAGAGATTTTATGCTCGTTCCCAACTGGCCTTTTGCGCGGGCTGTCTCGGTGACAGCGCCCAGCCAGCAAGATACTCCAGCAACCTCTCCTCTCCCTCACCTTGCTACATATATATTATGGTCCTAGGCATGGCCACTTCCATAGTTTGCTGATGTCCTCGGTCCGCATTCATCAGGGCTGTTAGGCACATCATACCACAGCAAGCGCTTCGTGTACCAGTCATATCTGATGCCTAGGAATCATCATTGAACGATCCGCTCCTTATGCTCCTGCTCAGAACGGCGCCCTGGAGCGTTCAGAAGACATTATTGCTTAAGTTGCTAGAGCCCTGCGAGTCCCTGCCAGGCGTGTGCCTATTCGGCCAACATGCCCAGTCTGTACTCCGCAACTCACTAGCCTACATTACCTAGAACTTAGTGGCCTGACTTAGTAACTGCTAGTATGTGACCCTTGCCCTCCCCTGTCATTTGCTCCCAACGGTGCTCAACCTCATTGAACGCCGACATCTTGGAAAGGCTTCTGTATGGACAACCAAACCTACGGTGCTGTCGGCGAGGGTCACGTCTTGGTCGCCGCCACATGGCCGTGGTTGAGTCGTGCGCCACTCTCTGTTAAACACACATACGAAGGCTTTTTCGTCTCAAGTGATAATGATCTCAAAATTCCAGCGGCATCTCATCCTGACACAAAGCCTTGAGAAATATCAGCTTGCCTTGAACCTGGATCAAATACTCAACCTGGGTTCGATCCAACAACGTTATCGATGGCGGTCACCACTCCTGCACCGTTTTCTTCGCTTCCTCCTGAGATCCTCCTTCACATACTCAACCATCTGGCTTTTAGCGACATTTTGAGGTTCGCGAGAACATCCAAACAGCACTATGCGGCCTCGGCACTCGCTTTACAAGAGCTTCAACTCGCAGTTCTCCCCAGGCGTGTTCACGGCAAGTTGGCTTTCCTCCACAGCGCCAACGTGAATGACCCCGACTACGCTTCTGGCCTCGAGGGCCAGGATTCGCTCGCTCGGAACCAAGTCATCGTCACTTCTTGTCTTGAAAACCCGGTGATGTGGCAAAACAGGCACGAATTACACCCTTCGCCCGCCCGGTATCGAGAGGAACTGATCCAGTTGCAGAACGCTCTGGCGTATTCGGCCCTGGTTTCTTCCACACTTGTCAATCTGCAGTCCTTGACATTGCACATGTACGACATAGTGTCGGCGCCGTTGACGGAGCTACTGGCCACTCGATTTCTCAAGCTTCGCCATCTTCATCTGAACTTCAAGCACCGTTATATTCACGACACATGTCTACCTGCAGGTTATTGGGAGCACGCCGAGCTTTTGCGGGGGAGCCCGGCGTGGAATGCACTGGCAGGTCTGGGCCACAGGCACGAGTCAAAACTAAAACTCCACCATTTGGAAAGTCTGACTCTTGAGAGGGCTGGCATCACAGAGGCACAGCTGAGAAAGTGGATTCAGCAAAATCCTGGCCTGAGAGAGTTGCAGCTGGTCAACTGTCTGGGTGTAGATTCCTCATTTGTCAAATGGCTCGGTCAGTACTACAGCGACAACTGGGATAGGTCTCCTCATCCGACAAAAAAGTTGAAGCATTTGGCTTTTGAAGAGTGTGCGTATCTATCCCTCGGCACAGCAGAATCATACAGTTGGCTCGACTCACTGCTGGTTCCTGGTGTCGGTGTGCAAAGCACCAAGATCACAGACGACTCCTCCGCTTCACCTTTGCGGACATTATCACTGTCCAAGTGCCCACTTACCTCGACATTTGCCCTCCTTGAATATCTAGATCAGAAGCCCCCACTGCTTGATCGGATTGGTCTACCCAGCGATCGCGTCCTGGTTCGAGACTCAGCCTCGCGTCCTTCAAAGTACCCGCCCGCCGAAAGTCGGCCGGACCGAATGACACTGAACACGAACACCGTCAAGACTGCTTTCGACACTTTGGGACCGTGTAACTCGAACTTCCCCATTTCTAAGTACTTTGGCGAAAGCCTGTCGAGGTACAAAGAGTTGAGCGGATATGGTCGCGAAAGTCCTATCTCTGCAGGCCAGATCGAGCCGGATACTACATTGTGACAAATCGTAGTACTACCCTCGGAAGATTCCGAGCCTGGGACACAAGGTCATTGCTTGTACGATCCCCAACGTCTTGTCGACCTCATTAGACTTGTCACTTGTCCTGTGGCCTCTACAGCTCAACAACAATCTTTTCCAAGTTCACACCGGGCATCAGTATATCAAGACCTTTGTTCAAAGATTCCAATCCCTTGCCCACAATCCTGGGTTTTGGTCCGGGGATGAACTCGCCGCTGGCCAAGCGAGGAGCCAGCCAATCATTAAAAGTCGCCTTGTATTGTTTGTCCCTTGCGTCTCTGTCGCTCGGGTTGATGACAAATTTGAGATCAACGCCCTCGGCTTGAGGTGTGTCTTCGCCCAGAGGACCGACAGCCGATGCGATACTACCACCACCCGAAGCGCTCACGATGTTTAGGAGCGGCTGGACGTCTGAGCCACCGCGGTCACCAGCGGCGCGGTAGATGGTGCTAAGTTTGATGGCGTCCTTCTTGGCGGCGGCGAGAAGCTTCGACACTACCTCGGGGTCCTTGTAGTCGAACACCTCCTTCGCACCAATGGACTTGATGTAGTCGAAATTCTTAGGGCTGGCGGTCGCGTACACGGTGAAGCCCATGGCTTTGGCACTTTGCACGGCACAGATGCCCACGCTTGACGCGGCACCCCATATCACGACACCCTTTTTGTCGGCCGGGCTGAAATGTGTGGACGTGTTTAAACCGATGATGTGCCAACCACTCCAGGCCGTACCGACGCCCATCTATAAAGTCTGTGTCAGTTCTGGACGAAAGGAGGACTGGGCACGCACCGGGGTGGGGCTGTTCAACTGTCCGAGTAAAGAGAAGAGCGAGTCAGTTAACTTACGGGGAGGGTGGCGGCGTCAATGAAGTTGAGTGAGTCCGGGATGGGACAAGCAGCCTCATACTGAACAAGGACTTTGGTCTGGTAGGATGCGTAGTCGTTCGCGTCCGCCTCGCCGCGGCGGTAGAAAGCGGACGCGAATGCTAGCACGCGCCCTCCTACCTTGAAGGGTTCGGGGACTGATGAACCAACTGCTTCGATTGTGCCTGCGATGTCGGATCCTAGGATGGCCGGGTAACTGGTGAGGAAAAAGCCCAGCGCCCGTTGGTAGCAGTCGACTGGGTTGAGCGCAATGGCAGCCACCGAGATCAAGAGATCCTTGGGACCTGGCGTGGGAGTCGGGCGGTCTTCAATGACCAAAGGAGATCCTGCCGAATGGAGGAGGGCTGCTTTGTGTGTGGACATTGCTGTAGTAGTTTTCAGGGCTTGTCGCAAGTCTCGCGTTTTGAATCACGTTCCGAGGTATACAGACAGTAGAAGCACCCCGAGTCACCGGGCACGGGTTCTTCGCGAGGAGTACAAGGAGAGAAGAAGCTTGAGCAGACGAGAGGCGTGTTGAGGGGTGTTTATATGTTCCTATGTTCCTTTCTGGCCCCCTTCCCCTCTCCGGTAGTCACACAGTGTCGATCCTTTGGCGCATTGAGCGCTCTCGGTGGGATTGACCAGTGTCGGATCGGGCATCGCAATATCATTAAGCGGGCAGAGACAGAAGACCCAATCGTGTGGTCGGATTTCGTGCATAAAATACGATTCTGGGTTAGCGTCAGCCTTGTCGCAGTAACTAAAGCCGGAGGTGCTTGAGACTTTACGTAGGACAGGGACGTGTGCGTTCGTCTTCTCGTACGAGTCCCTCCGTAAGCAGGTCGGTCCATGATCTTCAGCTTTGTCAAGCATCGTCTCCTACAGGCACAACATTCTTAATCCCCCTTATATCCTACCGCCGTAGACTGTGAATTTCGTCCGTGACACGTGATAGCAGCGTCGAGAGAAAGTCTCCGGGGCTGTGGACGCGGGCAGTCTTTGTACCGAGATCAGAAACCACCAGCAACATACGAGTACCGACGGGGGACTTGATGGTAGAATTGTAAATTCTATTTCTTTTCTTCAGGGGGAGAGAGGACCCGATGGATCTCCGTACAGGAGACATAACGTATTGCGAGTGACCGAGTTCGGCCAAGGGATCTGAAGCCATGCATACTCTCTAGCTTCGAGTCTTTGAAATCGTGAATATGGATGATCCATCCTTGATCGACGCCCCGCGCGTGGTTACAATGATGATCCTCGTGTCGGGCAAGCCACATCGACGGCGGCGTGGGCGGCCGTGGAACAAAGTCTGCACAGAGTCGCGCAGCTGACCTCGGTGCGTGAGGCTGAGATTGCCTTTTCCAGCACACTCAATACGCTTTGTCCCAGGCCTCCGACCCATACTCGACTCTCTTGTGCTCAACCATCGCACAATAAATGACCTCAAATCACCAAACAAAAAGACACACCATGCCTCAGAAAGCGGCCGCAGACTTGGAAACCGGCTCGCCGGCGTTAAAACCCAAGGACTTCGACTACCTGTTCTCCCGCGACGACCGCCACGAACTCTTCTTGGAAATGGTCAAGGTCGAAGTCAGCAACATCCTAAGCGACTACAATCTTCCTTCCGACGGGAACGCTAACAGTACCAACCCCTCCTCGTCCTGCTCCGGCGGCAACAACAACAACAACAACAACAGGACCATATTCACCACCTCCGATGGTCAGCTGCTTCGGCGCATCGCCGAGACCCAGATGAAGAAGGCCCTCGAGGACAGAATCAAAGAGAAACAGGACGTCGACAAAGGTATCTACACCTTACTGGGCCGGGAGAGCATCGAGGCGGTCCGCGCCATCAACCAAGCAGTGGTCACCATCGCCGCCCTGGGCGCCGGTTTCACCTTCACGGTGATATTTTCGGGGCTAGCTCCGCCGAACAAGGGCTCTACAGAGGCCAGAGTTAGGCTCTCCGTCGCTGTGGCGTGGCTGTTGTTCGTCTTGGCCATGTCCCTCGCCAGCTACGCCACCGTGCTGCAGGCCATGAGGGAGCAGATGGTGACGGTGACGTACCGCTGGCGAGTAGCCCAAGGGCTCATCTTGGCCGGGGCGCTTTGTGCGTCGGCAGAGGCCGTGAGAGCTTACGAGGCTGCCGTGGGCGTCACTGCTTTCGTGCTGATTCCGACGGTGACGATTGGGTGGATGGCTTGGACTAATAGGTTCCGGGTATGGAAGTTGATCAAAAAATAATCTGCGCAGTAGGTGTTCTTCTAGGTGAAAAATCTTTACGAGAGCCACAATCGACCATTCCGTCGCTGTGAACAGTAACGTGGAATGAGTCGGGGGTAAAAGTTGTTCGACAAGATTGGCCAAGAATGGGTTGACCGACAGTTACGGAGGCACAATCGAACTGGAAATTCTTCGAACTCATTCATACACATGATTACATTCCAAGTTGTCGGCGATGGAGGCATCATTGTTGATCTTTGAGCAGGCTAAGGAAGAAAAGATACACGGTGTCGCGTACATCCTCCTGTAAGCTCATGTGGATCGTCACAAAGGTCTCTTGTCAAGTGCGAGGCTCTCCTGAAAGCATTCACGGTCGAAAAGACTTGGGTTCGATACTATGTTTGTCAATGTTTGGCAGCTCGCGCATCCCTAATACAGGTTGCTTTTTGTCGTCGGCCAGATAACGATAAGATCTCCTTGCACGTGACCTGAAAATCTCTAGTACCGCCTACACTTCAGTACTAACTAGGTAACTTGGCCGGGTAAACTCCGCAGGCATTGCAGGGCCAAACTTTTTCCTCGACTCGTCCTCGCCATTCTGTAGTCAAGCGGTGAGACGGTACTTTAAAACCCGCCGACTTCTTGCAGAGTACTTTTCTTTGCCCTTTCTTTACTAGGCAGAAACCAAGTCCGCTGGTCAGGCGGCATCACCCACCGCCACCATGCCTCAAAATGAGTATATGGAAAGATTTCAAAAACTGCACGGCAAACGTCTGGACCACGACGAGCGAGTGCGCAAGAGACAAGCAAGAGAAGGGCACGCACAATCCGAAAAAGCACAGAACCTTCGTGGGCTGAGAGCCAAACTGCACCAGAAACAGCGCCATGCCGAAAAGATCCAGATGAAAAAGGCCATCAAGGCGCAGGAGGAAAAAGACGTCAAGTCGGCCGGGGCCAGCGAACCGTCCTCGACGCCGCTACCCAACTATCTGCTCGACCGATCACAGGCCAACAATGCAAAGGCGCTGTCGAGCGCCATCAAGAACAAGCGCAATGAAAAGGCCGCCAAGTTCTCGGTGCCGCTGCCGAAAGTCAAGGGGATAAGCGAGGAGGAAATGTTCAAGGTGGTCAAGACGGGCAAGAAAACCGCCAAAAAGAGCTGGAAGAGAATGATCACCCAGCCGACGTTCGTGGGGCCGGACTTCACGCGGCGACCCGTCAAGTACGAGCGCTTCATCCGGCCCATGGGCTTGAGATACAAAAAGGCAAACGTCACGCATCCCGAGCTGGGCGTCACGGTGCAGCTGCCCATCATATCCGTCAAGAAGAATCCACAGAACCCGCTGTATACGCAGTTGGGCGTGTTGACCAAGGGAACCGTTATCGGTAAGTTTGTGGACTTTTGAGAGAGACTGCTATGCTCTCTGCTCTACTTGGTGACCGGGCTAACAACGACGCTTTCTAGAAGTCAATGTGTCCGAATTGGGTCTCGTCACGACAGGTGGAAAGGTTGTATGGGGTAAATACGCCCAGGTCACAAACGATCCAAGCAGAGACGGATGTCTGAACGCAGTGCTATTGGTTTGAAGCGGATGTTGTTGGTTTTCAACTTGGTCGAGACGTCTCATTACCCAACGCACAATCTCGATGTTACGGTATCCAAAACAAATATCACGAAATCACGAAATCCCTTTTGTGCACGACCGATGGAAAGCAAAGGTTTGGCGGATCACTTAAGCATGCGCTACTGCTATCCGTACTAAACACTATTCCGCAAAGATGGCAGCAGACTACAACTCTTCTGTGAAGATGGCATGGTCAACATAGCCCATTGCCTTGACCGCAATCTTTGCGCTCTGCAAGACTCTTCCTTTCAAAGTCAATGTTTGGCCAGGTTTCTCGACTACACATCGTCACGTTATTACACGGATCATCAGCCACGGGTCTCTTCTTGATACGGCATCAACGGCATAGAGAGGAAGACTTACAAACGTTCGTTATTTTGGCCATTACACCATACGTCGCCTTGAACTCGAACGGCTTGAGTGCTTTCCATACCTGCATCACCGTGTCCGGTGGCAAGGGGATGAAATTCGGAATGCTCCAGAGGAACTGATAGGATATGGTATCCTTCCTCTTCCCCGGGTCGGGGTTATGTCCCGACGCCACGGCGAAAATCGTATCGGCGACGAACAAGGTCGGGATGGGTGTGTTTGGTGGTGCAGAGTGCAAGACCATACTTCCCGGGAAATGACCTCCGCATATCGCGGCCGTGAGACCTGGAAGGAGTTCCGTCGTGGGTTCTTTGAGCAATCTGAGTGTGGCGGTCGGACAGTCTTTGCGGTTCATCCAGACCGAATCTACTTCGGTGACGTAGACGGGACATTTGAAGGTTGTGGACCAGTCTGCCCATGTTCTTAAGAGATCAACACGGAACATGTTAGCTGGGCTGTGGGGTCTTTGCAATGGGTGACATGGCTCTACCAGTACTTGGGATAGGCAGTGATAGGACTGGAAAAGGTGATGGAAAAACGGGCCATGCGCATGCGGGTACTGGTGTTCATATTTGTTGCTGGTTAGGGGCCGATGGGCGCTCACGTGTAAAAATGCGGATGAGAAATGACAATGAACTTCAACCCGCCCAGTTCTGTGATCTAATTAGAACGGCAAATGCTTGAGTTAGCACAGAGTACTCGTAGCGGGGATTTGAGAGGGACTTGTTCATGTTTCGTCCGCCATACAATTCAGCAAATTCACGATGGGGGATGTGCTGTGCTGTGTTGTGTTGGGGGTTGGGTTGGGGTTTTGAAATACCGAGTAAGGTATATATATATACACATAGAAAGATAGGAAGGTAGAGCACTTTACCTTGTCCACGGTTTCCTGGTCAAGAAAGGCAATGAGATCCCACAGGACGTTCCCGTGCGGCGTACGAATGAGTCGAGCGCCTTGACCTATACCGAACTTTGAGGGTGGCGTGACCAGTCATTAGCATTCGCGTGTCTCATCGTATCAAGTAGTTGTTCGCCGTCAAGGAGTCAAGGAGTCAGGGAAAGTTGCCGGGTGGTTTGGATTTCTTTCGTGGGTGGGCACCGGGTCCATGGTGGGCATAGGTGTAGGTGTAGGTGTAGGTGTAGGGGTAGGGAGTATGAGTGACAAGGTAGGTGGATAGGTAGATAGAGCTAGGTAGGTAGGTAGGTAGGTAGGTACCTTGGGTTCCGTATGTATCTCAATCACCGTGTCGTTATGAGGACACTGCTCGAACACGTTCTTGTACCCTGCCGGGTCGGCCCTGAGGTTGGCCAGCGTCGTGAAGGATTGACCTGACGGCGGGATGAATTGGCGCGGGTCCTACGAGACAGAAACAACCAGGAAGATGTCCAGTCAGCACAGCACATATACATCCGTTCTGCACGACAGGTATGGTGAGGTACGTGTGTGTGTGTGTGTGTGTGTGTGTGTGTGTGTGTGTGTGTGTGTGTGTGTGTATGTATGAAGGGCATGTGCCCAACAATATCAGCCAGATGGCAAATGGCTAACAGTACATCGGGGGGATGAAGACAGAGGACGACCAGAGGACTAGAAAAGAAAAGAAAAACCAGCAGTCAAGAACTTATCCGTACATCACATATCCTACACGTATCTTTCCCCTCGGACTCGTCGACGTCGTACTGGGCTCCGCAAGTGTTGCAGACCAGGAGGGTGTCACTGGTGACCAAGGCCGGAGGGGAGGACATGGTGTCGTCTGTGTTTGTTGTTCCTCAAGACAGACAAAGTAAGTATCTGATTCGAAAGGCGGCGCAGGTATTCCAGTGCCGTGGTAGATAGTTTATATATTATCGCATATGCAATACTCCCATACGAGGGGTCCAAGCAACCAGATACCTAAAATACCTCCGAGTCACAAGTACGAATACGAATGACTTTTGTACGAAGGTGCTCAAGAGTGGAGGGAGGGAGGGAGGGAGGTTGAGTCAGCACCAACAGGTCTAGACCTCGAACTTCAGTAAGCAAATACAGTCAGTATTGACCTTGACTACGGTCGCTACGTGTATGTTCACTTTTACACCTCACATCTCCACACGAATGAACCTCGACTCGATTCGAGACAAGTTAGAAATCATTTTGGGTTGCGGAGGATGGAGGATGGAGTCCGGAGTGATATTGCTTTCTAATCCCCTTGGTTTCGACCTGGATCTAGAATTCATACACCTCCCCCCACTCCGCAGATGTTTTTGTTCCAGACAGAGTGATGACCAGGCGGTCCAGCAGTCTTGCACAGTTCCAACTCGATCTTCGTTCGTTGTCGGAATCACCACACCATGTGTTCTTCGTTCCAAGTCCCCAAAAAGTCCATCATTGTCGTAGTCACCAACGCAGGCAGCAGGACACCACCTCCGAGGACCGGCGCCTCACATGTCCAGATAGACCTGCAGTAGTAAAACCGTGATACCAACCTCTACATGTACAGACTTGCTGTAAAAACCACATCTCGTCGGATCAACTCCCTCGCCTTGTCCATCTTCTGGTACAGGGACGGATCCCCGATGAGCCGCGCGGCACTCATGACTTCTCTGCACGTCTCGTCCAACCTCGTGACGACTCTCACAATCGTCCCCTCCATGACATCAGTCAGATCAGTGATGCGATTGAAAGACATTCCTCTCGCCCACTCGTACACAACTTCCACCAGACCAAACCTCGGCCGAGACTCGAAATCGTTGGCATCGTCAGAGGACAGGATGACCTGATGCAGGATCTGGTACTTGTTGACCTTTTCCGCAATCTGGATGATGGCCTCTTTGCCCCGTTTGAGGTTCTCGCTGAGCTGAGGTTCATTGTCGGTTTTCTCCTGGAACACAAAACACGACAAGAGCGCGACGATCTCTTCGGGTTCAAACCTGGATAACCACACCGTCAGCACAAAGCAAACTCGATACCCACACCCACATCGACATGCACAACGACGAATGCAGAATTTGGGATTTTGGGATTTGCGACATGAAAACAAAAGCACCACGTACTGCGCCAACACATTTTCCAGAATCAGCTCCGTCAGAACCAACTCATCCGCCGAATGGATCTCACAAGCAACCTTCCCTTTCAACTGGACTCGAGACTCTTCGTCGACGAAACCCAGATCTTTCAAGACTTCGGTTCTCTGCTGATAGTCCGGCAGCAACGACAGATTCTGGTCAGACATCAACATCTTCAGCGCTTCGATGTTCTCCTTGATCAGCCATTCGTCGTGCTGCATGCCGTAATGTTTCAGAAAGTTGGGACAGTCAAGACACTGCGCATTCTGCGCGACAGCCGCCACCTTGGTCCTCTCGGCGAGCAGTTCGCGGACGTGCAATTCGGGCACTTTGTTCCAGTCTTGCTCATCCCACACGCTCGAATCCCACGATGGGTACATGTTGACAAAATCCTCCTCGGCAAATTTCTTTTGCACTAGTTGTGAACTTAGTAACGACCGTAAATCGACCTGTTAACAATAAAATTGTTTCAAAATTGTAAGCATTACCTTTCCTGACTTTCAGATACCAAGGGGGTCCTCTAACCTTGACAAGCGTCTGGGTCACGCATTGCACATCGTCCAGCAACACTTGAATCACGCTTTGCTTCACTTTCTCTGGCTTGTCTGGCAACGGGGTGAACATAGTTCGGAATCGTGGGAGGTAGGGCAATAGGTCTTTCGTTGATCGCTGGGGGTCGATTTCCGAAATCTCCAGGACGTTGAGATGAGGCACAGGGCCGCCTCGCGAGCCGTCCTCGAGCAAAACGCCGACTTTGCGAATACCGTCCTGTGAGAAACACTCAGTCATCCCATTAACGGATCTGACGGAACCAACGACGCTTACCTTTTTGTACACGATCAATTTGCGGGCTTGCCAGAGACGGCGACCGACTCCCGACGACAGTAGGTTGATGTGTAGCTCCTTCGTCAGTTGTTCAAACCTCATGGCTGCTGCATGACATGTTTCTAGGTCAATGTCGCAGATATCGCAAGGCTCACGCTTGATCTTGTCGAGGTTTGCCTGTGAAAGTGCCACCTGTTTCTCATGTTGCGGGAGTAAAGCTTGAGTCGCATTCTCAGAGAAACTGCGTTTGATCATCTCCTCAATCTTCAAAGCCTCGACTCGCATCAGATTCAGTATCATGTTGTAATGCAACCGGAATTGACTACGAAGTTTCGTCGCGGGTCCGGTAATCATCTGAGTCAGTTCACCTGCGGGAGGAGCCTCGGATTTTCCGGGACAGACGATGATGACCGTGCCGACCGTGTCAAGACCTCTGCGACCAGCACGGCCAGCCATCTGAGTGTACTCGCCCGGAAGTAAGTTACGAAAATCGCGTCCATCGTGTTTGCGGTAGCCCGAGAAGACCACCGTTCGCGTGGGGAGATTGAGGCCCATGGCGAATGTCTCGGTGGCGAACAAGACTTTCACCAACGTCCTCGCAAACAATATCTCGACGATTTCCTTGACAATAGGTAGGAGGCCGCCGTGGTGTACCGCGACGCCACGTCCAAGCATCTCTCGCAGTCGTCGGATCTGTGGCAATCCGCGGTCTTCGGGCTTCAGTCGCGCAATCGACTTTTCTATAATCATGTGAATGGCACTCTTCTCAGTGGCTGTGCAAAAGTCTTGGTTTGATAGAGAGTCGGCATTCTCCTCGCATCGCTTCTTGGAGAACACAAAAATACACGCAGGCAGAAGATTTTCTTTTTTCAGGTGTTGCACGAGATGGACCCAGAGATTGCGATCTTGGGCCGCAGTTGTCCTGCCACCACCTCTTCCTGTGCGTGCGATGTTTCCGTGTCCGCGATTGGCGACTTGCCCCCGTTGTTGCGAGCCCCCTCTTTGGTTCTGACCTCCTCGCTGGTTCGACCCGCCACGCTGAGGTCCACCACGTGCTTGTTGCCCACGGCCGCCTCTTTGAGGACCACCTCGGGACGGAGTCTGCGCCTCAATTGCTCTTTGCTCTTTCACCTTGTCGAGGCCGGAGAGAATATCGTTCGCTGCTTTCCAACCTTTCTGGAGGAACCTCTTTTCAGAGTCAACTATCTTGTGCATCTCTTTGCCAGCCCACAAATAATGCTCGAGAGGAACAGGTCTTTTGGGTGTCGAAATGACGTAGATGTTCTTCTTTTTCGTTCGACCCACCCAAGAAGCAAACTCGTAGGTATTCGGTACAGTGGCCGATAGGAGAATAAGAGTGACATGTTCAGGGAGCATGATGATGACTTCTTCCCATACAACACCACGTTCAAGGTCGTTGACGTAGTGGACTTCATCAAAGATGACGAATTCGACGTCGCGGATGAGATCAGCTCCACGATACAGCATGCTTCGCAGAATTTCTGTTGTCATAATCAGGCAACTAGCCTCAGGATTGATCTGGACATCGCCAGTGAGTATGCCCACATCGTCAAAGACATTCTTGAAATCGCGGAACTTTTGGTTGGAAAGCGCCTTGATTGGAGACGTGTAGATAGCCTTTGTCATGTGTTTTGCGGCCAATGCAATCGCATACTCTGCAACCACCGTCTTTCCAGCCGAAGTGTGTGCAGCCACAAATACCGAGTCTCCGTTTTCGAGGTGGTACACAGCTTCTTTTTGAAAAGTGTCCAGCTCGAAAGGCCATGTCCGAGCCATGTCAGGAACAAGTTCATGGAAATTGGGAATGTCTTTGTTGATGTCGACTACATGTGCCCATTCTCGTCCGGACTTCTTTGTAGATGCTGCCGTCAATTGACTGTGCGGTTCAAGAGAAGGAAACTCGACGGGCAGCAAGTCGTCGAGGTCGGTGTCCTCGTCGTCGTCGTCGTCATCATCATCATCATCCCCCTTGGTCTCCTCGGTCCCATTTGTAAGTGGCGGTGTGGTTTCTCCATTTACTTGTCGCTCCTGAGTGCTAACCGTGTCATTATCGGCCTCTGCCAGTGTCTTCTCGACATCTTCGTCGTCTTCTTGAGCCTCTTTCGTCTTCTGATCTGCAAACTTCATACCACGAGTGAAACCCGGTGGGATCTCCAAGAGGCCATTCGCCCCTCCAAAGCTGATGATCTGATCGAGTCCACGCTTCTTTCTGACCGTTCGATTCTCCTCCTCCAGTAGGCTCTTGTCCTCGTAAGCTTGGATAGCATCAACTCCATCAAGCCCACCTGGCGCAAATGGAAAGAATCCCGCAGCCCCTCGGACAAAATCAGCTCGATTGGCTGGTCTTCGAAGAAGTGACGTAGAATTCTTTGCCGTTGCACTTGAAGCTGGTACAGTGACCTCTTTGTAGCCTGTTACTTTGCCTTCAAGTCCCTCTCGCGTAAACCGAGTAATTGTCCTCGTTTGTGTTGGAGCCACCTGGCAAACTTCGGTGTAATTTGGTGTTAGGTAGTCCCATCTTTGCTGCAATTTATTGAGCCACTCTGGATTGAAAGTTGTCGGAGGTGACAAGAACTCTTTCTCAAGATCACTCTTGATCTGCTCCGGCGATCTTTGGGAAGCTCGAGCCCCTGCCATGATGAATTTCTGTCCTTGGCTGCACCCTACTTCCTTCGTCAGGACACCAGGACTCGACTGGATGCCGGTGTCTGAGACGATTCTCACTTCGACAATGATGTAATTAGTGCACGAATAACAGATGTCGGCGTCGATGGAGAAAACAAAGAACAGATGCCAAGAGCGGAACTCTGAGTTAAAGCAGCGCAAGTACGCGCATTTTGTAGGCAATCCAGTGTTGACATACTGTATTCACGTCCATGAGGACCGAGAACAGGCTCGGGCAAGTCAGGGGAGCATAAACCATCGCAACATCACCCGTCCATTGACAAATGAACCAGAGAGGGTGAGATAGTTGTCTGTTGTCAACAAGGCGGGTCAAAGCTGCAGAATTTTGGCGTCGTCGAACACCCGCGTCAACTTGGCCTCCTCATGTGTTGATGCGCTCTACTGTTCATTTCAGCGAGCCGACGGTGATTCTGATCGAGTATTGAGATTTCAGTCGAGGCTCACAGTGCGGAAGAGGTAAACGCCCTCGAGAGGATTTGGCCGACACAATGCAAAACTATTGTCATATCTCCACCACCCAGATACAATGACCTAACCCTTTGACCTGTCTCTACTCTCTTGCTCTTCTGCTTTGGTCACGGCAATCTTGGACAGCATCCTTTGGAAACACGAGAAATCCCACCCTGTCCGCCATGAAGCCTGCAACAGCTACCAAAGAATCTTTTCTACTACCCAAGTTGAAGTACAAACACAAATCTCCCGTTCAGACTGATCGCTTCATTTTCTACGACGTCAAATTCTATCCGTATTCGAGTCCGACGGAAGAGGAACCCATCTTTGCGGTTTTGCAACAGAAGGGAGCCCTTATTTACCGAATCTCATCAGAGCCTAGCCACTTCTTGACAACGCTACAAAATGTGGTGGATCAGCAGGAGATGGACGACGAATCCTCTCCCGGTCTGAATTCTTGCTCTTGGTGCTACATTGACCGAGAAAGGCCTTTGCTCGCGGTGGCTGGCGGCACGGGTCAATTGAAGATCATTGATGTCCTCGAAGGGGACCTGTTCACCACGTTGTCAGGCCATGGATACGGGGTTATCAACGACATTGCTACTCACCCGCTATACCCCTGGATTGTGGCCACCGCTTCGATGGATAAGAGCCTTCGGATATGGGACCTCCGGCGTTACGCCAGCCCGCACGAGTCTTCCACCATAATCATCTGCGGTCAGGCAACCGGCCACTGTGAAGGTGTTCTGACCGTCTCATGGCACGCAAGTGGCCGTTACTTGGTCTCTGGAGGCCACGATCAGCGAATATGTGTGTGGACAATGCCAGACTTATCTGACGGCTCGTCCTTCTGGCGCGAGATATCGCCACAGTACAGAAAACGAAGCTCCAACGAAGTTTACACCATCTATTATCCTCATTTCACCAGTTCAGCTGTGCACTCTAATTTTGTGGACTGTGCAAGATTTTACGGCGATCTGATCATGTCAAAAGCTGCGAATGAGAACAAGATAGTTTTGTGGAAAATAACGGGGTTCGATTCTAGTCAGCAGCCTCCTACTTCGGTCACGGCGCCAAAGATCGAAGACTACCTAGACACTCGCAATGGCTTCATGCGCAAGTTCATACGACGGGACGATGGACTCGTTGACGTTGAGGTAGCGGAAGAATACGATGACGAACCATTGTATGAGAGGCTACTCGAGTTCGAGACGAACGGAGCCGAACAATTCTACCTTCGATTTGGCCTTCTATTGCCCTCGTTTGCACATCCGGAAGTGCACCCTGTTTTGGCCTTCGCGAATGCGACATCCGAGCTACGCTTTTGGGATCTTGAGCGCCTGTCGCTGGGACACGCTGGAGGACTGGACGAACATAAGGCTCCAAAGCCCAAGAAGAAGTACAAGGGTGTGGCACAGCACATTCGACCACAGGATCGTCTGAACCGTGCCACCGCGACATCTCAGAATCCCATCCATGAATCCTCGCCAGCCTCCATGAGTTCCAATACAAGGCATACCTCTACAGATGCCACCAGCGAGATTTCCGAGGCAAATGCATCCTCGTTCGCTTCTAGGGATCACGATCGGTATCCCATCCATGATGCTCACGACCCCATCAGGCCCCACGCTAAAGTGTCTCTGCTTGAGTTGCAGTTCAAAAATCAGGCCTATTTCAATGCCAGAGCCGCCGACTGGAGCCCTTGTGGAAAATGGTGTGTTGTTGTGGGGGAATCAGCCAGAGGTACTGAGCAAGGCATGGAAGGCTTTGGAGGGTTTGCTGTACTTCAGCGATGAGGCTTTTGCGGAGGACATGTGAGACCTGTTCGTGAAAAGACGGACATGACGAGGAGGCTGGCGGCGTGAGGAGCCGGCAGAGCCTGACAGGGGATGCCAATCAATTACAGTACGATCGGCGGTACCTTGCAGGCTTCGTTACGGGGCTTGTGGGGATCCAATTCCAGGCGACATGCCAGCCTAACAAACAATAACAAAGTGCGACTGGGGGGCTTCTCTGGTCCTCGCGCATGTTTCTTGTTTTCGCATTCCTGAGTCTTGACCATTCACGCGACAACTACATCCTCACTTCTCCTGAGCCACCCAGCCGCGCACCTGAGTAGAATGACAGTCTCGATGCCTTGTCTTCGGAACGACCTTCTACCATGAATACGGACGCTGGCGAAACTACTGCGCAACTACAGAAATTCCTGCGCTATAGATCAGTGCGCAAAGCCGCCTCGACAGATCTTGAACTTAAAGCGACTTCTCCTCCACCACCTGTACCGAACAGCTTGCAATCTGCTTTGACACGATTACCATCGAGATACCACCGCAGGCCGAAGCCGGCGGCTGAGGACCCTCTCGTGCCCTTTCCACCACAAAATGTTGTGCAAGTTTCCAGCGCGACTCGGGATCCGGTACCCGCGCAGCATATACCAACAAGTCCTCCACAGAACGAGGCAGGTCATAGCCACAAGCCCAATGGGGCCCGCCGAATGGTCATAGGACATGGCCGGAAGCCTCTCTCCAATGGCGAGAAGTTGGGAGCAATGGCTACCGAGTCAAAGCCGGGCATGCGCCCAACTTCTCCTGAAACTGTCCGACGATCTCTAGAGATTGCGCGAGAAGAAGCTCGATTGACTCTGGAGGGCGACTTTGGTCGCTTAAAGGCACTTAAGCAGGAGGAGGCTCAGCGACGACGCGATGAACGAGAGCAGCGCCGCGAGGCAGCGAAGATTAACGCGAGAAAAGAATCTGTCGGGGTGGTCTCGCCGCCGGACCTTGGAGGTCCTCAACACACAAGGCCGACTAGACAAGGTGCAGAAGAGAAGCAGCATCCCCGAGAAGCTCCAAAGCCCAAGTTACGGACGATGGTCATTGGAGGAAGCGACGGGGTGTTGCAGGACAGGCATCACAAACGTTCTTCGTCAGCGATGCAGAGGCAGCATACCGTGCGTGAGACTCACACCAGGTCGAGCAGCACCGGGAAGATGTGTGAGACACGCAGTACTATGCCGCAAGCAGCAGTACCGCAATTTGATGCTCCTATCTCTGCGGTCAACGCCGGCGAGCGAAAGGTCAAGGTGAAATGCAAAGAATCAATCATCACTCTGGCTGTTACACCTACCACCACGTGCAAGGAAGTACTTCGGTCTGCGGCACTATGCTTGACGGAACCCATCGATGCCCGAACAGCAGTGCTGCTTGAGTCGTTCTCTCAACTAGGCCTGGAAAGACCATTGCGTCGATATGAACGTATTCGAGATGTCATGAACTCGTGGGATCATGACGACCAGAATTATTTGTTCATCATGGCTCAGTCGGAGTGTGCTGCGGCCGGGATCGACGATGCAGACGCCCCAAGGCAACAACCTACCGGCGTATGTCTGCAGATATACCACTCTCACCGACCTGGTAAATGGGATAAACGGTGGTTGAAGTTGAGAGAGGATGGTCAGATCACAACCTCCAAGCACGAGCACGGTCTCGATTCTACGAAAATCTGTCATTTGTCCGACTTTGACCTGTACACCCCGACATCAAAACAACTCAAGAAGCTCAACCCACCAAAAAAACTGTGCTTTGCATTGAAGAGCCAAGAAAAATCATCCATGTTCCTGAACGGCGTTAATTTTGTGCATTTCTTCAGCACAAAGGACAAGGGGGTGGCTGCAAAATGGTATACAGAAGTCCAATCTTGGCGAAGCTGGTACTTGTACAACATGGTGGGCGAGGGCGTGCAGAGTCAGCCCCAGGCTGTGCGCCCACCAACGGGAAAGAGCTCCAAGGAGTCGTTGCCGCCCCGTTCAGCTGGGTCGTTCAAGCCACTGCTCGGTGTCGACTCTGGCAGACCGAGTACAGAAACGGCTGCCCGACATGACGGTGTCCCTCATCGTCGTTTTTCCCAGAGTAATGGTAATCGACCGCTCCTTGATTTCGGCCAAGACAGGCCCAGCCTTGATGGAAGACCAGGAAGCCCACGTCAGTCGAGGAATCAGAGCCTTCCTCCGAGCGCCTATCCACGCAAGTTGACCATCGGCTCCACGGGTGGAAGTACATCTGAAGAGAGCCCTTTCTCTGGGACTGGCTTGATCGCACGTAGTGCCAGCCGAAAGTCACTGGGCAGGAACCGACCGGTCGGCGGCGGTCCTGGAGCTGACGGGAAACCACTGGTCGATCTTGCTCCGACTAGCGAGTTCACCGATGGGAGTTTGTTGAGGAAGATGGAAGCCATCGCTGTTCAACAAGGGAAAACGGGGCCCAAGATCTTCCGGCAACAAGGAAGGGAGATTAGTGTATCAGTAGGAGAAGGATTGGATTGAGGGTTCGGGCCACGAGGGATGAGCTACGACGTATTTACGAGTCAAACGAACCTACACCCATTGATGCCTGAAACGGATGACCAAGAGGGATGCCTTGACTGCTACGTACCCCGGTCTAGTATGTAGCTACAGCGATAACAATGATTGCATCATGAAGCATCCCCGTCCACAGCCTCACCACCGAGTCGCTGACCCGCCTGACCTGATAACGGCGTGAACTGTGAGATGACACTAAACCCAATGCAGGTGCTTGGCGGTGATGACATCAACTCACACGTCGGCGACCAGGTGATGGAGACACATGCAGTGAACCCAACAAGCCGTTGCTGTGTGCATCTTGTGCCGTATCTCACTATCTTGCAGACTTTCCATCTCGCTGCCCCAAGATCAGACCTTGTTCGAGCCCGTTATCTTTTGTTTTTTCTGTTCTGTCCTTCAGCAGTGATCAGTCCCCCCGGCGTTACTGAAAGCCCCTGCCACGCGTCTGGTGCCCTTACCGCAACTCCTACCTACTGTTGTAGGGACAGAGCCACCATGGCAGCGATTTCGTATTCCGCCGACCCTACACTATACCTCTACACCTCCCTCACAGCCGGAAGCTCTCATATCATCACTGCAACCTCAAGATTAGAGACAATCCTCAAAGCAAACAAGATACCCTTTCGGGCAGTAGACTGTGCTACAGATGAGAAGGCTCGCATGCTGTGGGGTAGAAGATCAAAGGGCCGCAAACTCCCCGGACTTGTTAAGTTCGGCACAATCGTTGGTGTAAGTGCTCACGCCTTATCGCACTCTACGTGCCCTAGCTCACACAAATGTTTCCCAGGACCTCGAACAGATTGAAGAATGGAACGAATACGGCGAGCTCCAAGATCAAATCGCAGGATTCTCGGAATTCGGTGGCCCAGTACCTACTCCTGCCCCTGCCCCTACCCCTGCCACCCTCGCTCCAGAGCCAACAACCAGGAGCGCGAACTCATCCGGACCCCCTTCACGAGCCTCGTCTGAGACAAGACATATCTCGATCGCCGAACCTAAAGGTAAAGACTCCGCAGCTTCAGAAGGCGCGGCGTCAAAGCCAGCCGAGACACCGTTGAACATAGCCATGAGGCAACTTGGTGCAGAAGCAGCTGCCAAAGCAGGTCAAAAGAAAGCCGCGGCACTGCAAGCCGCTAAGGTGCCCACCAAGACACCAGACACGACAGAGAAGATCCCCGTGCCCGCCACAACGAAACTGAGCGTCGACGCGGCCGCCGAGGACCCGGAGACAGTAGGCGAAGTGACAGCAGCAAAGACACCGGCGTTGCTCGCAGCAGAAGGCGCCAAGCGAACGTCCATAGACAAGATCGCCGAGTCAGAGGGCGGCGCATCAAGCACCAGCAGCAGCGATGCTGAAGGCCACTCGACCGAGGCCCAGATCGTCGAGCAAAGACGAAAGAGCAGCATCACCAAGCTGAAATCGCGGTTGAGCGAATCGACACCCGCCGACCAAGCCGAGACTGTTGTTGTGGATTCGTCCCCCGCGCCCAAGTCAGAGACAGCCGTGCCAGAATCCGAAGTCAGTGCCGACCCGCCCGTAGAAACACCCAAACAGCATCGTGGAAGTGACATCGGAGAAGCGAGCGTTGAAGAGATAAAGGAGATTGAGAAGGAGACGAGCATTCCTGAGGCTGCGGAGGAGGAGAAAGACAAATCGGGAGCAGTAGCCACTTCAACAAATTCTACGGAGAAGGAGAAAGAACAGGTTGTTACGAGTACAGATGAGACAGAGGAGCAAGTCACAAAAGGCACTGATCCTCAGGACTCGAGGGCCAAAGACGCGGACAAGGCAGGTGTCAGTGTGGGTGATTAAATACCTATGTAGAGTATTCGGTACGAAGTACCTCCCTACTCTTGCCAGGATTATGTCACTGTGGTGTGGTGGTCAAGTGGCGTTTCTGTGCAAAGCCTTGGGGGAAATAATGATATACAGCATCAAGTATTGCCTTTTTTTTGTTGTCTCTTGATGGCGCAAGAGGGGGGTTCAACGTACCTTATGAAGCGGTGTTTATAGTGGCTTGAGTTTGTAGGCTTTGCTAGTGTATGCAAATTGCGATGAAGATGGTCGAATTTGTTCGCTACTTGCAACTTACCTGTACCTACCTGTACCTACCTACTTGAGTGGGACTACCTCCACGAGGTAGCCGTGCGTGCCTAGGTATCTAGATACCTCGGGGAGATAGATAGGTGCGAGAGTAAGGTAGTCGACCTCAGGCATTGCCTCAGGGTACTAAGGCGAGGCAGGCAGGTAGGTATGTACTGTAGGGACGTGTGTGTGTGTGTGTGTCCCAGGCACGACGCGCGGAGTGATTGATGATGATACCTAAAAGGTACATAAGAAGGCACCGAGTTTTGTACGTCCCTTGCAAGGTCAACGACTTTTGTGCCTTTGGTTTGTTTCGCTTTCATTCGATCAACTAACCAACTGACCCTTCCATCCACCTATCCGAGTCCTTCTCATGTTTGCCCCCCCGCGCCCCCCTTTTTTTGGGGTTTGGGTACATCTTCAGGTAAATGTGTGGCGGTAGTGACGTAGATGTACCTAGCTACGGGCTATCAATTCAGTTTCTCCAGCTCGGTGGTTGGGTACCTGCACACGACGTGGCTACATCAGGTGTGTATACCTGCAGTTTTAGTTTCAGGTACAGATAGACAGATGTAGTTCCTCTTCCCTTCAAGTTGCCCCTTGTCGGTCAGCCAGCCAGTCAGTCAGTCAGTCAGTGCCTCGGGAGTGTTGTCATCATCCATTTGTGTAGAGAAAAGCAGAAGAGAAGAATCGAAGATGTCAATTATTTCCTCGTCATCACGATATTTTGTTGTGTTTTAAATCATCCTCGGTTCGGTGGTGGTGGTGGTGGTGGTGGTGTCTTTTACAGCATGGCCCTCACGGCTCCGTCGCCCTTCCAGCCTGCCTCTTGCGCGACGATTTCAGCACACCTCTCACCGACGGCGAGCACGGTCAACATGGGATTGATGGTGGTCATGGCGGGGAAGACGCCGGCATCCGCGATCCTCAGGCCCTTCAGACCCCGGACGTTCAACTTCTCGTCGACGACGGCGAGGGGGTCGTTCTTGACGTCGCCCATCTTCGTCGTGCCGGCGGGATGGTAGACGGTGTGCGCGACGCGTCTGGCGTACTCGCTCAGCTCCTCGTCGGTCTGCAGTTTCGGGCCGGGCGCGACCTCGCGCTTGATCCAGTCCTTGAACGGGGCCTGTTTGGCGATCTTGCGCGCCGCCTTGAGCCCGAACACGAACGTGGCCGCGTCGTAGCCCTCGGGGTCGGTGAAGTATCGGAAGTCGAGCGCCGGCTTGACGCTCGGGTCCGACGAGGTCAGGTACAGCTTCCCGCGCGACCGGGGACGGGGGATGTTGGGCGTCATGCAGAACGCGTCGATGGGCGTGTCGTAGCCCAAGCGTGTCGTGTTGAGGCAGAAGGGGATCTGGTAGCAGTGCATCATGACGTCTGCAATGTCCCCATCCGGAAGGGCTTGCGGGTTTGTCGGGATGGGTTTGGCGCCCGCGGCGTTGGGAGCCTCGCGACGGAGGAAGATGCCGGCGTCCGAGTCCATGGTCGTCTGGTTTGGTGGGACGGGTTGATTCAGCTCCCATATGATGATTGTTTCCGGGTGGTCCAGAAGATTCTCACCGACGCCGGGAATGTCCTTGACCACTGGAATATGCAGAGATTGGAGGTCCGAGGCCGGTCCAAGGCCTGACAGGAGCATGAGTCTGGGCGTGTCGACTGCACCGGCACACAAGATCGTTTCGGTCTTTGCAGTCAGAGTCAGATTGGTCCCTGACTGGAGGGTCAGATCGATGCCGGTGACTTTGTCTCCGGAGACATTGATTCGGGAGACCCATGCGTTGGTGAGGATCTTGAGGTTCGGGCGGTCTTCCTCACCGCGGAGGATGGGGTGGATGTACGCTACGCTGGCAGATGAACGTCGTCCGTCGTCTGGGTTGTAGGAAACGGAGAAGAAGCCGACGCATTCCTTGAGAGACCCGGTGCTCGAGATCTGCTTGTTGAAGTCGTGCACCACGGGAATGTTCATGGCCGTGCTGCAAGATTCGACCCAATCTTTGCACAGCTGATTGCGGTGGCGGGAGTGGACAGGTTGCACCGTGTTGCGGAGCTTGTTGAGCACGCGCATGAAGGTAGGGAACGTCCAGCCTTTGGCGCCCAGGGACTCCCAGATTTTGCAGTCATACTCGAATGGCCGGAAAGAAATCAGTGTGTTATGGCTGGAGCAGCCACCTAGAACTTTGGCACGAGAGTGTCGAATATGGGAGTTACCTGGAAGCTGTGAGCACAAGCCGAACCTACGTGAAGTGCAACAAACCCATGGGCTGCTCTGTGGTGCCATAATCATAGTCGAGTTCTCCACCGAGCAAATTGAGCCATTGCTTAAGATCCAGGACTCTGTCGTCCATGAAATCACTGGGTCCTGCTTCGATCAGGAGGATCTTCTTGTGAGGCAGATACTCTGCCAGACGCGAGGCAATGACACAGCCCTACCACGGTCCAGGCATTAGCAAGACGTTTTGTCTATCTGACAGCATGCAGCCTTGTGCACCGTGTCTTCCATTCGATGGCCCAAGGCTGTGCGGCTGGTTTCTCGTTGACTTACCGCTGTGCCACCACCCACGACAAGGTAGTCATAACTGTCGACTTCGGAAGCGTCGAGGTGAGTAGTAGTCATATTGATGGTGGTTGACGTCAATTCGAGATCCCTTGTATTCCGATGTTTAGATGAGAAGATTGTTCATCCACCTTGATACTCCGTAAATCGAGCAGAATCAACGAAGGGGAGATGTAAAAATACAGTGCAAGTCCCCGGTATATATCCGTATCAACAAGAATTATCGATTCAAAGATGGGCTCCCGACCAGGCCCACCGTACGAGTAAAAGATCAGTCCACGGAATGGGCCGTTGTTTTGGGGCTCTTCCTGAAGATACGATTGAAATGTGAAATTTTTGACGAAGCACCGAGTACGATACCTCCTGTACGTAACAGTAGGGATGAGCCAGACGGCGGCCAGGGATGCAAGTTTGCGTCATGCACAGATCCCTGTAGTCTTGAGGCCGCTGTCTTGTTAATGGTCAAGTCAGACCTGGTCAAGGGAGCCGGAAGCAGCGGAGTGGGCGTCGTGGGCTCTTCAGCCTCTCGCGTTGAAGCTGATGTGGAATGAAAAATTGGCTGGACTGCAACATGAATGGATGTGGAGGCGAAAGACAAAAGGCATTAATTGGTGCCTCAAGGACGCCCAGAAGTTCTGCGTCGACTGTGCTCAGGTTGTAGTTTCCAGAAGAGGAGAGGATTACCATGGGCCATCGGGTGTAGAGACCTGCAGGCTGCTGATTGCCGGCCAGTGCTCGTATCGACACACACATTACAGGGAATTAGACTTTGTTTGCCTGCAAGAGGAAAAGAATCACTGAGATAAGCGGGTGGCCAAATCAGTCAGTGTAGGCGGCGATTGTCCCGTCCAGGCCTCAAAGGGCCTAAAGTCAAGGCTAAAACCGCCGCCCAGAAATTCTTGTCCCAGGCTTCGAAAAGGCCCTGAAAGACCGTCTTTTGAACTCTCACCCCAGTAATGAACGCCGCAGGTACAGCACTAGCTACCTTAAGATGAGTGTCCGTTCACAATCCCGACATGACATCAAATGTTCGATATCATCAACCGCCCAGGGATAAATCAATCAACCGACGAACGTTAAAGTCGGCTCACCAGGCGTCGAGAAGAACAGTGCAGCAACCCTTGCACACGCCCTCAGTCACTTGAGGAGCTTCAAGCACAGATCCAGGTCCAAGTGGCCATCATCATCATCTCCTCACTACCAACTCCTGTCCATCCAGCACAATGGTGCTCAACATCTCCCTGCCGGATCGCCACACATTCTACGCCGGCAAGGCACAAGAATCATCCTCATCCTCGTCAACCTTCCAATCAATCGATCCATCCACCGCCAAACCAGTGTGCACAATCTACGCATCATCCCCGTCATCCATAGACTCAGCCATCTCATCCGCCAAGTCGGCGTTCCCATCATGGTCCAGCACACCGCCGATTGAGCGGGCACGCATCCTCCAGAAGGCGGTGCAGATACTCCGGTCACGAAACGACGAACTGGCCAAAATCGAGACCCTCGACACGGGCAAGCCGTTCTCCGAGACGTCGACGGTCGACATCGTCACGGGCGCCGACGTGCTCGAATACTTTGCCAACCTGGTGGCCTCGGGGGGTCTGAACGGCGAGTCGTTCCGGCTCCGCGACTCGGCGTGGGTGTACACGTCCAAAGAAGCGCTGGGCGTGTGCGTGGGCATCGGGGCATGGAACTATCCCATCCAGATCGCGCTCTGGAAGTCGGCGCCGTGCCTCGCGGCCGGCAACGCAATGGTGTACAAGCCGTCGGAAGTGACGCCTCTGCACGCCCAGTTCCTCGCCGAAGTCTACAAGGAGGCCGGCTTGCCCGACGGCGTGTTCAACGTGGTGTACGGCGCCGGGGAAGTTGGCGCGTACCTGACGAAACACCCGGACATCGCCAAGGTCAGCTTCACGGGCCAGGTCTCGACGGGACGGAAGGTCGCCGGCGCCGCGGCCGGCGAGATGAAGTACGTGACCATGGAACTGGGCGGCAAGAGCCCCGTCGTCGTCTTGCCGGACGTGGACGTCGAGCAGGCCGTCGACGGAGCCATGATGGCCAACTTCTTCAGTACGGGCCAAGTCTGCACCAACGGCACGAGGGTGTTTGTGCCCGAGAAGCTCAAGGCCCGGTTTGAGACGGTCCTGCTGCAAAAGATCAACGAGGTTCGGGCCGGCGACCTGATGGACGCGAGTACCAACTTCGGCCCCTTGGTCAGCGAGGCCCACTACAAGAAAGTCACGCAGTACATCGAGCACGGCAAGACGGTGGACAAGGCGCGGTTGCTGTGCGGCGGGTTGGACCAGCCCGCGAACCTCCCCGTGCAGCTCAAGAACGGCTACTGGGTGTCGCCGACCGTGTTTACGGACTGCTCGGACGACATGAAAATCGTGAGAGAGGAAATCTTCGGGCCCGTCATGTGCATCTTGTCGTATTCCTCGATTGAGGAAGCCGTCGAGAGAGCGAACAACACGGAACTCGGCTTGGCGGCCGGGGTGTTCGGGAAAGACGTGAATCAGTGTCACAGTGTGATAAAGCAGTTGCAGGCGGGCATCACTTGGGTCAACACCTGGGGCGAGTCTCCGGCCGAAATGGCCGTTGGTGGATGGAAGCAAAGTGGTGTCGGTGTCGAAAATGGAAGACGAGGTCTCGAGGCTTGGGTCAGGAATAAAAGCACTCTGGTGGAAATGGGCGGTTCCGTTCCTACAGTTTTCGCGAACTTGTAAATCTTTTGTTGTTCAAGTAAAAAGGGGGGAAACGCTATCTTGTGAACGTAAAAATTTGGACCGTGATCGCGTCCTAGGATACAATTCCTTTGCTCGTCCTAGTGCAGAGGTCGTTCTTGACCCCAGAAATACCATTTTGCAATCGGAAACGCCATAGTTGAATCAATCCCAGAGCCAGAGTCACTAGTTGATTTTTGTGCTCGAAAGAACGATCAAAAGGGGAAGCCCAGAGAGGGAGATTTGGTTACGCAGCAAAAGTCGACACCCTCGAGCCCATCCTGTCAAACAAGAAATCGTCCATCTTTCTGTCATTCATACCGATGGCCGAATCCACCAACCTGGACGACATACTATCGGGCGTCAATTCCCCGTCTTCTGCCGCTACTTGCTCCTTCTTGTCGGTATTGATCTTGAGATCCATCAGGGCACTTCGCCAACTCTCGGCTTTTGTCGGTAGCCGTTGCTGAGGTGTTTCTTTGCCTGTTTCTTCCTCGTCGGCCACGTTTTCGATACTCTTGAAGTACTGTGAAGCTCGTGTTAGCATATCCTCCCCCATCTCCATGTCTTGTGTGCTCACCTTGACAGTCTTGACCAACATCTCGTCAGTTGCCGCATCGTCGCATACAATCATGGCGCGCTCGTGCATTTGAAGGGCGCTAGCCGTCCACATTTGACTCACTCCACCTTCGATGGTTTTGGAAAGGGCCAGGGCTTTGTTCGCGCCGAGGACGATGACCAGCACCTCTCTCGCGTCCATGACCGTACCAACGCCTACAGTCAAGGCTTGTTTCGGCACCTGACTCAGATCACCACCAAAAAAGCGAGAATTGGCTCGGATTGTGTCTTCTGCCAGCGTCTTTACTCTTGTCCGCGACCGCAAGGAGGAGCCGGGCTCATTAAATGCGATGTGTCCGTCCGGCCCGATGCCGCCGAGGAAAAGGTCAATGCCGCCGGCTTTGGCTATTCTCGACTCGTAGTCGGCGCATTCTGCAGCGAGATCGGGAGCGTTGCCGTTGAGGATATTGACATTGGCAGGATTAATGTCAACATGTGCGAAGAAATGCTTGTACATAAAGCTGTGGTAGGATTCAGGGTGGTCTTCAGGTATGCCGACGTATTCGTCCATGTTGAACGTCACGACATTCGAGAATGAGATCTCGCCGGCCTTGTGCGCCTGTACTAGATGTCTGTAGATGATCTCGGGGCTGCTACCGGTTGGGAGGCCTAGGACGAAGGGCTTTTCCGCTGTCGGAGAGAATGCATTTATGCGGTTGATGATGCATCTGGCAGCATATCTCGACGCGCTTTCCGTAGTGTCACGAATGATGACCCGCATTTCGCAATAGATACTCTGTTGGTGGTGTTCGCGAGGGAAGGTAATCTCCGCAGATTGCGCAAGGTGTTAAATGGAAAAGTTCACAGCGACAAAGAGATAAAATGGAAAAGACAGCAAGATGAGGACAAACCTTTGACGTAGAGGAGTCTCCAGTAGTCAATCGCGCCGCCGCTTACCTGGGCCATCTTCCTAGGAGGATATCTCGACCACTGAGCACCTTGTGTAGCCGCACGAAGAGACGAGGGTAGCAAGGCGACCGTGGAGAAATGACACGAGGATCACCATGGAAGGGTATGCAACGATGCAACAATTGCGTATCATCCAATCAATGGACCAGCGCGGCCCGGTTCGGACCCATCAGGTATCTCTCTGCAGCGTGATAACCATATGATGGCGGAGAATCAAGATGCCAGCGAGGACGAGCACTCGCAGCAAAGCGCAGAGAAAAATGGCGGGGCAGTCGCAGTCTGCGGCACGTGATCAAATCCCGCGCCGGTGTAACGTTAACGTCTTCGCCCTTCGGTAGCACTGAGAAAGCCCGGCAGCGCCAGCAAGGTGGCATCCGTCAAGCTTTTCCCAACTGTGTGTCTTCCATCGTCCATTGCCATCCTCACAAATGCAACATCACCTCGATTCCCCATTCCCACGTCTCATGTTGCTTCTCTAAGTTAACGCCATGCGCAGTGCTCCGGTGTCCCCCCCCAACGCCGAACCTGGAAGACACCTCACTGGTCTCGCTCGTGCGTCAATGACTCGGCTTTCTCTCTGACCCGATCACCTGTTCCCAGTCCTCACTCCCCTACAGCCCTCTCGTCCCCTTTCCATCCAATCAGATTATATGTGGGGACGAGCGTACTTCAGACCGTTATGGCCACCAACGGGGATGTATCCCCCGGGTGGAACGAATCGAGGTATGTCTCGAGCATGCCGTCATCAAAGCTGCCGTGAAATCCACAAGCTGATCTATATATCACAGGCAACTCGGCCAATTGTTTATGATGGGCTTTGATGGCACTTCTGTCACCGACGATGTCAGAACGTTGATCGAGAAGTACCACGTAGGCTCGATTCTTCTCAAGGCTCAAAACCTCAAATGTGCTACCCCTAAAACCTGATGCTACATGCTTGCTTCATCTCGTCGTGTCTTGCTTGACTAACGATATAACCTTGATAGCTGCCGAACAGGCGACTCAGCTTGTTCTTGAGTTGCAGACCCTCGCGCGCCGCTCTGGCCATCCCGTTCCCCTTCTCATTGCCTTGGATCAAGAGAATGGCGGCGTCAACAGCCTCTACGACGAGGTCTTTATTCGCCAGTTCCCCAGTGCTATGGGTGTCGCTGCTTCGGGCTCCAAGAAGCTGGCCAAAGACATCGCACGCGCTACCGCCCAAGAGTTGAACTCGTGCGGCATCAATTGGATCATGGGTCCTGTGCTCGATGTCTTGACTAATGCGAGAAATCAACCTCTAGGTGTCCGTTCAATCGGCGACAACCCGCAAGAAGTCTCTGCTTACGGCGTTGAGTGCATTCGAGGATATCAGGAAGGAGGAGTTGCCACCTGTGGCAAACACTTCCCTTCGTATGGCAATCTCGAATTCTTTGGTGCCCCGGACGACGTGCCTACTATCACCGAATCGCTGGAGGACATGAGCCAGAGTGCCCTGGTACCTTTTCGAACTGCGATTGCACAAGGTCTTGATTCGATGATGGTGGGAGGCGTCGCCATGGCCTTCTCACAGGTCAATGTCATGCATGCCTGCCTTTCTGAGCAAATTGTGCGTGATCTATTGCGCAATGAAATGCAATTCGAAGGGGTCGTGGTCTCAGAATGCCTCGAGATGGAGGCACTCAGTCGCAACATAGGTATTAGTGGAGGGACAGTCATGGCATTTCAAGCGGGCTGCGATTTGATACTCACCTGCAGAAGCATGTCAGTCCAGGAAGACGCCATCAACGGTCTGAAGACTGGTTTGGACAATGGCATGATTGACAGGACTCGAGTGCAAGAATCTGTTCAAAGGATCCTCAACATGAAGGCGAAGTACACGTCGTGGGAAAAGGCTTTCTCTCCACCTGGGATTGAAAATCTTGCACGGCTACAGCCGATTCACACCACTCTGTCGACCACAGCGTACAACAAATCCATCACAGTTGTTCGAGATGAGAAACATTATCTACCGCTGTCCAGAGTAGTCAAGGCTGAAGAAGAACTTCTCCTTTTGACGCCATTGGTGAAACCTCTTCCAGCATCGGCTATATTCCACCAAATGCAACATGAACTGTCTGCTGCACCATCGTTCAGTCGGAGCCCTAGCGTCGATGCCAACACTTCGATCATGAGCGGCGAGCAAGTATTCCGAGAACTTGGCCGGTCCTTAGCCAGACATCGGAACGGCAAGATATCCCACACCTCGTACACAGCGAACGGTGTCAGACCTCTGCACGAAAACCTGCTAAACCGTGCACAAGGAGTGGTCGTTGTCACTGCAGATGCTGGCAGGAACATGTACCAAAATGCATTTGCAAAACACATTTCAATGCTCTGCAAGCTGGCCGTCGGACCAGATGGACGGCCTAGGCAGAAACCTTGTGTCGTGGTAGCTGTCAGCTCTCCTTTTGATTTCGCGGCGGATTCCTCAATAGGGACATACATCTGCACCTATGACTTCACTGAGACCGCCCTTCGCGCCCTCGTCCAAGTTCTCTATGGTGAACTGAAGCCAACAGGAGTATTACCGGGAGCCTTTGGCCAGAAACCACAAACTAATCACTACCGGCAGCAGTGGCTTGTAGAGAGCTTCAGCGAGGATCGGGACTCAGCCGCGCTTGATGTTTTAATCGCCCAATGTCAGAATGACTCGTCAGTGCATGCGGTGCTGCTCAACAATGTCTTTAGTGGGACTTTTCTCCTTCGAGATCCAGACGTCGAAGAAGCGCATTTTGTGGTCCGAAACAGCAGCACTAAGGAGCTTTTTGGATTCTGTGCAACATATTACTCCAAGAGCAGCGCCATCGGCCACATTGGGGCTATTATTGTTGATCCTGCTCGGCGGCAACTGTCAATTGGCCATTCATTGCATGACCGAGCCGTCCGAGCCCTCTTGCAGAAGAAGGGCGCCGCCAAATTTCAATTGGGGGCCAGGTTTCCCAGCGTGTTTTTGGGCATACCCAAACTTGGTCCTGTTGAATACAAAAAACTACGGCAATGGTTCGCGAAGCTGGGTTGGAACACAGCGCTGTCGAGCTCTGTGGCCACCATGATAATACGCGATCTATCCACATGGTCAGTTCCAGAAGGGCTTGGTCAGAAGTTGGCCAACCCTGACGTAAAATTCGACCTTGTTTATGGCAACGAATACAACGATGTCATGATGGAACACCTCCAACGCTGTGCCCGAGACGATGTGCGATGGATTTATCAGATGGCCATGAGCAACAAGGAGGGTTGCGGCATCATTCGAGCCAAAAAAACAACAGATCAGTCAATACTGGGATCTATACTCGTTTGTCGGTCGGAATCAAAGATAGCAAAGTACATTCCCTCGCTATACAAGCAAACTGGGGTGGCATGCATCTCTTCGCCAGTCATATCGACAATGTTTGGCGACAGAAGATCGCTGTTTCAGGGACTCGTTTTGTTAGGCATCAAACAATTCAGGAAACAGGGGTTGCGGTCTGTCCTCCTCGACTATGTGAGTTGTACCACTGAAGTGAACTTGATTTATACTGACCAGCTGAAGATTCGAGAAGACCCGACTGCAGATAGCCTCAAAGCCTTGGGCTTTACTGCTATAAATACATTCGACGAGGTTTCCAGCGAACCCCTGCACTGGACGATGATGCCTGGAACGTAATCTGCATACGCCAATCACGTATATCTGCATTCTACAACCTCGATCCCGGGACTGCTCCATCAATCACTCTTACTGAGATGCAGGTCCAACCAAACATTCTGTCACAAAAGTACAGTCTCATAGAGACGACCGAGACAACCCGAGCACCGAAGGACCCACTGAGTAGCATGATGTGACTTAGGAACCAGGATACCCTAGGTCAAACCATGCCATAGTGGCAATACACCTGTCTTCTCCCCACGTGATCATCTTGTGTTGCAAGGATTCGGGGGAGACGACAAGTCAGACCAGTAATTTGCACGGATCCTGGGCTTTGTGCTTCGACGCCACCGAAAGCGTCATAAAGGGTTTCGAGCACTCTCGTCATGTCCAGCTGAAGATGAGGTTCGGATTTGATATATTGATGTATCTCGACGCAAAAGACCTGTCAAGAGGAGTGATAGTGTATCATAGCACTCGCCGCACCGACCTGCGGACTACAATGGACCGAACCGATCGCCCTCGAAAGCCGGGAAGGGAAAGCTGAGTGAGCGAGCAAGGAAGAGCGTTGGAAATGACGGGGCTTGGGCTGGGGGGCTGGAAGCCAATAATTGAACGACCTGCGACCGATTAGTGCAACACTGTGAGAAACTAGCCCAATCAGGGGAAGCGGAAGTTCGGAGGCAACCTTTGTTTGGTCAATCGGACGAGGAGCGAGCTTTTGAGCCTTTTTTTACTGTGCCACGCCTGTGTCGCCGGGTGGTCATGGCACCGGAAAGATTGACAGAGAGTGAATAATCATGTCTGATTCAGAGTGCGTCGCTAGCTCCCAGGACCCGATAGTAGGTTTACGTCGCAGCAGACAGGGAAATGCGGAATAACGGAACGTCGGACACTGCGCAAGCCCGCCCATTCGCTTGTCTCACTCCACGAACTTGAATCGAAGGTGGGCTGATACGAGCAGTCGAATGCCTTGTCCCCTCGCCCAAGGTCGCCCATTCGGGGTCATGTTCCCTGGCGCAGTTGGCGAGCCACATGCGATCTGACCGCCACAACGCATCTGGTACCTGGATGGCGTCTGTAGCGCGGCTTGACCGAAACCGATGCAGAATCCTCAGCTTCTCTTCTTTTTGTCTCCTGCCCTCAAGGCCTCCCGCTGTGTGACGAACTGACCTGTGACAGCTTGAAAGGGGCCAGCAGCGCCAGTGGCACAAGAAGTGTTGCACATGCGAACGATTGGGTCTGGCAGGTGGTCGATCACGATACGAGAGCTGCAAAGGTGCACAATGATGTGTTCTTCGTGTTCGAGCTTTTCCGTAGTGGGCAAGCGCATGCGTTTCGACAAGCTATAATTATGCATGTCAGGCCGTCGGGCGAAGCGATGATCAACCATTGAGACACAGGCGGGATCATCAGCGGCGTGCTAGTCTCCTTCGGAAAGCTCACTGACTGGTGGCTGGAGTCACTGCAGTGGGAACTCCCCCCGAGTGATGCAGACTAACAGGCTTCTGGCAGGGCTTCGGTGCATGAAGATGCATGTCCAATGGCAATCCAACCTCGGCATGAAGACTGCCAAATGCCGCCTGTCACGGCCATTCTTGCTCACCTGGAGTCTGAGATTGGACTTCTTTTTGTTTTGCTGAAAGGAGCATGTGGGCACGGCTGAAGAGGCTGAAGAGGCAAGTCCGTGGGCCCCCTGTGCCAGTCTTTCGATCCTGAGGAGATTGAGGGATGTGAGAGGAGTCGGTTGGGGAATGGTGTGGTCTGGCAGTGTACGGAGAGGAATCGAGTGGGAGATCACGCTCTAGAGAGTCGAGATAACGGCATTTGGTGGCATAGACAGTGCTCCAGTACCTAGGGAGGTACTGTACCTCAGGCACTACAATAATAATAATACACGGCTACAATACAAAGCACGACAGGCTACTACCTGGTACTCCCTACTCGTAGGGGCACCGGATCTCTCGCCACCTTTGGGGCCAAAAGATGGTTCAGTCTCCGTACCGTGAATGCCGACACACTACCTATGCCGTGACCTGACCTACCACTTCAACTCTACAGCGTAGCTAGTGTGAACTGTACATACGAGCCTTTCGACAGCAGAGGCGACGGGAACAATGATGCCTGGTTTAGCTGCGTTAGCTGGGCAGCGTAAGCCTTGTCTCTGCGGGCCCCGTTTCCTTCTAGAAGGCCACTTGACGCCTTCTACCGCAAACAAACAAACGCCTACGGTGGCCCCCAGCAGTCCCGTCACCGCCCCAGGCTTTCGCCGGGTGTCAGTGCAGCCTGTAGGGGCTCGCAACAGGGAGTGGGTAAAGCCCCTTAGCGCCCCTAGAGTCCCTCTTCCCCCCTCTGCACCATGCCCACTGCCTGTTACTGCCCCTCCCCTCTCTCAGTTCACTCTTTTCCGTAGCAGGTCTGAGAAGTTAGCACCAGCCACCGGCGTGGAGGCTGCGCACCGAGCCCACTCACTGGCCCTGGCAGCGTCTGGATAACCGGCTAATCTAGGTTTAGGTAGTGAACTCTGCAGGCGTCGTCGGGGACTAGAGATTCCCTCATATCCACTTGCACTTCCGCGCGCCATCGACCCAAGTCAAGTCAAGCGATGGTTGCGCATCTTGTCTCGATCGCAACCTCCGACCCTTTCACATTCATCACTGGCCACCGCGAACACACAGACCTTTGCTACTCTCTGCCACTGACGCCGTACTTGCGCAAGGACCGTTTTGGTCTATATACCTGTCAGATCCTTTGCGGGCACTATATTCCCTCTTGTGTCCCACACTTGGATTTTCCAATTTATCGACGACCATACGCACCCTCTCACCTGTAACTGCTCTGGACGAGCCGAATAGAAGCCGGTTTCTTCTCGAGGTCCTGACAGTGCTCTGCATCCTGACTACGAACGGACCAGACTGCCCCGTCATCATCCTTCTGCGTGTGGTGCGTCGAGTACTCGTTCGTACCTTCAACAAGTTTCGCCTCCGTCCACACAAGGGAATCGTTCCAGCCCTCGCCGCTCAAGCTGCTGAATAAACCCTCACCCTGGGCCGGCTGATTGATTTTCCAAATTTCGAATTTTCGCCCAACCCTTCGAGCAGTGGCGCCGGTCTCTCGAGCAGATTCTTCTTGCTCTTGAGAATGCAGACGAGAACGCCTACCTCTTCCCGATAACCCTGTTGTATATCCCTCCAGCAACTCATCGTCGCCCGTGTGCGCCCCCGCGACTCCTCTCTTCCTAATTCAGTCAGCCCAGTTCCATGGCCGTGACCATGGACGGCTTTGATCCCCTCGCAATGCCTTACTTGCACAGTCCAATGCCGTTTACCGACGGAAACCTCCAGAATCTGGATTATATGAGTGTGCCGTCAGTGATGGACTTGCAAGATCAATACTCCAACTTCGACTCTGAGCCCTATATGAGGTAAGTGGGCTGGCTTTTGCTTGGGGATTTCCTGTGCTGACCCGCCATCGACAGTGGTGACGATATGAATTTTGCTCCATCTTCGAGCATGCAGCCTTCCGCTATGCTAAAGCGCTTTTCGTCTGGTTATGATGATCCATTCGCAGAGAGCACAATGTCACAGTTTGATCAAGTGCCTCAAGAAGGGTTGCCCGAGAGTCCTTCTATCGACCGGGACAGCAAGTACCTCAGCTTCTCCATGCCGCAATATAACTTCACCCTATTAGACGACTCGTTCCGGCGCTCTTCCGTCAACATCAACGCCCAGCTACATGGCATGTTCTTTCTGGCGGAGTCTCAATGGCCAGCCACACCCGACGCACCGCCCCCTCCTCCTGAACTCACCTGTTACCGACGAAATCTCTTCCAAATCACGGGCAACGTCACCCTTCCCAGAAATCTTCGATACGTCTTTACCGACGATGGCTCCCGAATACCGATCTACGAACTTGAACTGTCCGTGTCGGCCACCGAATCTGTAGAGGGTAACCCGGTCAAGATCATCTCTGTGCCCTGGAAGACACCCGCCAGCGGGGAAGCTCCCAAGCCCGAAGACAAAATTGAAAAAGAACCGCCGACGATTCCCTTGGATAAGATGTCCGGACAAGACATCGACACTGACTTCACCACGTTTCCTATCCAATGGAAAAGACTGCAGTTCAGAATAGCCACGGCCAACAACGGCCGTCGGAAAGAACTCCAGCAACATTTTACCCTCCATTTGAAGATCCTCGCCTCTCTGTCCACGGGCAGCAAGATCCCCATTGCCGAATCTCACTCTGGCGCCGTCATCGTGCGTGGCCGAAGTCCTCGAAACTTTGCTGCTCGTAAAGATCTACCGTTGAGCAGCAGCTCTACAGCGCGAAAGCACCTCCCCTCGGCTTCAAGAGCAGGAAACAGCCAGACTTCGGTCCCGCAAGTAACATCTGCTCCCAAGATCAGGACGCCTCCCAATGACATGCCACCTTCCTCCACCGTAGGCTACGACAACAATACCAACACGGATTTCAAGCCCACTCCCGACCTCGACACCGGAAACTGGTTGTCTCAAATGGCTGCCTCGGAGCCCCTGCCCACGCCATACTCTGTGTCCATGAACCCACCTCTGGTTCCCACATTTTCGCATGACAGTACACCAGAACTGGGCACCCCGGGCGCGTTTCCATTCACGTTTACTCCGGACATGGGTGCTGGAAATTCGGGTGCCATGAGTCTACACTTTGGCAGCGACGACGAAGGCGGTAACGGCGGTAGTAGTCCATACCATCATCAACCCGGTTCAAGACACTCTAGTCGCCCTCCAACGAGCAATCCTAGCCCATCACTCGTGAACAAGCCTGGAGCCGGGACAACTCCGCCGGCACATCTCCAGCACCCACACCATTCACACACGCGACAGCGAATGCACGGTCATCAAGTCAGTGTGACGAGTGTGCCGAACTCGTCGGCCCTACCTACCAGCAACACTCATATCATGGGTCAGCAGCCGCAGCCGCAGCCGCAGCACCAGCAATCCCTTCCTCACCAAGGGGGCGTACCAAGACCCGATCTCGGTCTCACCAAGTCTCTCTCGTTCCACAATGAAGGGGAAAGCGCGGATCAATTATACGAATACTTCCCCCTCGGTCTGGATGACTGGATGCCGCCTGTCGACGCCGTGTTTAGACCTCACGTGGTTCACCATAGTGGTCCGTTACCGCCAGACCCCAGGAGCCCAGGACGACATACGAGTAAAAGATATTTTTCGGAGGTAGTTTAGGTACCGCGACTTGTCTGAAGGTATTCGTGAAACGAATGGAATAAGGGGCCGGGCCCATAAGTTGGGAATGAATTTTTAATGACTCTATGATCCTAGGTAGTTAGGTTGAGGGTATCTACTACGACTGACATTGTCGAAGTCTGATGGGTGGTGTTCAGGTATGATGTTATCAAAAAGAGATGGATTATGATGATGATGAAAAGAAAGAAGCATACAGCCAGCTACGCTCACCTAAAGCTACACCTACAGCTACATATATCTATATGACTTGCATGGGCTACGCGGTACGGGCCATGGATTTGCTCGTCGATGAATGGATAATTTGAGTTGACAACACGGGAGAGTTTTGACTCCTTTTTACCTTGGTGGTATTTTGGTTTTACTTTCTTCTTTATCATGATACCCAATTCCCGTGATGTGAATGAATGATTGAAACTCCCCCTACGAACAAGTACTCAGCGTGCCAGACAAACAATATACAAAAAAGGTGATAAAAAGTCTTCGTTAGTAGTATTCTCACTTGGGTCCTTTTATTGTATTGATTTGGTCTTTTTCTAGTCTACTTGAGGAGACAAACTTGGCTTGTTCAAGTTCTCTGAGACATTGGAATAGTGTTTCGATTTCTAGGTAAGGGTAACGTAATGTAAGGCGAGGCAGGGCAGGACAGGGCAGCGTAAGGTAGGGTAGGGTAGCCCGGAGGTGAGAAAAGTAAAGGTACGTTAGGGTCTATAGAGTATGTAAGGGCAAGGGTAGTTAACGATTCGATTCAGTCAGTCTGTAGTCAGGGGTTTGGCTGTCGTCAATTGGGACAGAGGGTGTACGGAAAACGGAACACCCCTAATACTTGATGTATTCCCCTGATTCCATGAGTTTTGGGTCCTTGAGGTTCCCCTGAGGTCTTGGATTCTCGAGTCCGTTTGTTCCTTTGAATAACTCGGGCGCCCCCGAAATAGTAGAGGCTTAGCTATAGCGCACACGGCGTTTGAGATTGAGACACGGGTGACACGGGTGACGCCACAAGGGCAAGGCTAAGGCCAAGGGAGGTAGTACTGTAGGTACCTACTGTACCTCCGGAAATAGAAAGTCTGAATTACTCTGAGTGATGAGTGAGAGTGAGAGAGAGAGAGTGCGTGTGTATCTGGGTGTGTTTGCGTTGCGACAACAAAAGTACCAAACGAGGGAACAATACTGTCGCGAAAAGTAAAGTTACAGTCCAGTACATGTCATGGCTCAAATATGGTTTCTCAGTTCCTTTTCCAAGTTCCAGGTCAGAGGGGGTCGGCGCGCGTGGATTGGGGGATCATAACGATGATCTATGTACGATGATAATGATACACTCTGTGTGTGCTTGTTTCTATTTTCACAATTGTTGGATTCCCAATTAAGATACTAATGAATGCCATTACATCGGTCTTGACTTTGGTTAATTGTCTTATCCACTACTCGTCCTCGGAACCTGGGTAGAAGCCTAGATCCTCCGTGCCTATCCTCTGTACTGATATCTCTGTTGACAGATATGTCGTGACAGTAGTAACGAAGTCGCCCTTGATGATGGATGACATGAGCAGTAGTCGCGTCTTGATAGGAATTGCCGGCACGCGTCCAAGAGAGTTCAATCAATCCCATGTCAACCTTTCTGTGTTGCGTCACCCTGTTAGTTATAACTTACCTTTATGTAGGGTTGGAAAGATTAAAACCTGAACTTTCATGTAGTTAGGGCTGATTAAAAAAAAGGTCCGAGCACGATTCAAAACCTGCTAAGCTGGCTGACCATCGGGGAATGAAGGCAGAGAGGGAAGCAAGGTGCAGTAGCGAACTGACTTAGCTTTCGGTCAATACTTCAACTGGTCAAGGACAGTGCAATCAGAAAAAAGATAACAATTAATGAATACCCGCCTTGTGTCAACCTCGTCATGCCACATGCCCATTGAGAGGACCCCTATGTACCGTACGGATATCTACCTTATCTATCGAATGATACAAGCATAAGAAGCTTGAGCGTGGATAGCGTGGATAGCGTGGCTCTCACCTGTCTTCCTTTCCCACTAGAAAGATAATCGCCCGGAGGGAGCCGAAGAGATAGCATATTTTTGAGCCCGGTGTTGTTGCGGCGGACGGATAAGCGAGGATAAGTGAGGATAAGTGAGGGATACTACCAACCTTCAAGGATGGGGGGGAATGGGATCAGTGGATGGATTCACCCAAGGGATCATCAACGGGCGTGATGGCTTGTGGACCATCCTTTGCGCTTTGCGGCAAGTCCAACCAACACGTCTGCAAGATGACGAATATGTCACAAAAGGCGGGGAGGGTTTCGATAGCCGATGCTCGTATTCTGTACTTACAGTATTCGGCGGGTGGACAAGGCCAAACCAAGGTTGACAGCCCGGCACCCGAGGACGACAAATACGAGAGAGAGTTGCCGGGAGGAAAGTATGAACTGTCTTGTTAGTACCGGGTACCCTTGACCAAGTCGACTGGCGGTGAGACTTCGAAAAGAAGTGTGTCTTTCCGTTTCAGTGTGACAATCGATAATGCCGGGGGTCGACTTTTGGTGTGCAGTCAAGTGTCAGTGTCAGTGTCGCACAAACGCCGGACATTTTGGGCCATCCCATCAGTGGGTACAAAATTCGAAACCGAGCGGATGAACCCACTACAACGAGTGAGAGTCTGCAAGTGCCTGTAAAGATTCTTTCCCCGTTAGCCCCTGCAAGCAACCTGCAGGAGAAGGATAAGAGAATCTTCCATGACTTGATGGCGTTGGCGTTGGCGTCGGCGCCGGTCCTCGGGTGGACATTCGAGGTGTGGAGAGTCGACTAGCTACACTACAGTAGTTAGCTGCATGAACTTGTCCTGTACAGCTCTGGCAGTGGAAAAGCTATGACGTGCCGTTCACGACCTACTCGGGAACGGAACTATACAGTGAGATTGTTCATAGTCAACAGGCGGATAAGAGGGCGGGCATGGTGTACGCGCAGTATTCGTACATTGACCGGTTCCGACGGTCAAGTATTGGCGATGCCGGGGTTGAACCTGACGCAGTGAAGATGGAGGCGAAACACAAGACTGCTCGTATCTTGATGGAATGCGAGAGAGAATCTCTCACCGGTCAAGAAAGGGTCGATCCTCGTGAGAGATTGGAAACAGTGAGGCGGCCATTGAGCACTCACCCTCACGATACCCGATTTTCGCGTCCGGTACAATCCCGGCATCGGAGAAACTTTGCCCCTGTACGTCGCCATGTGATCAACGTCTCTTCTCCGCCTACTGTACAACAACCTCGTGCCTGCGACGTCGACCCTGATCATTCGTTTCACTCCGTCGTCGAAACCGTCTCGCACGCGGATTCTTCCCGCCCCAGAGGCAGTGCACACATACAGTACAATACCTGAGAACCATGTGTTTGCCGATCACTCCTTCGCAGCATGAACTCCTCCTTGCACCCCTCCAAGGCACCCTTTGCCTTTGACCCGTTGTCCGACTGTAACCGTCAATCGCGATGGCTTTTCTTTTCCGTTCCAGTGTCTCCGCCCTTCGTCGACCATGTCACTGACTGACTACGGCAGCAACGGCAGTCTTTCCTAGCTTCCCTGTAGAGCACGTATGATCCAACCAGCTGGTCATACTGCCTCTTCGGATGGAGTCTACTCGCCCTCTACCTCTACCGCTGAGGGGTCTCCTCATGCCTGGTCCTTATGGCCTCTTTCTTGACCCCAGTACCCAAGGCCCGCGCTATACTATATCCATGTAAAAACGCCCGCGCAAGGCTGAATCTACTGGCTCGCGGATGAGGGTTCACTACCGTATTTCGTTATTCCCGACATGGAGTCAACATCCCGTGATGCTTTTTCACCTGCTACCCAGGTTCTTGGCCCTGTGAGTTACCAGCTGACCATAATGATTGAATCTTGGACCCTCTTTACGCGATGCCTGGATGCCTTACTTATACAGGTTCTCTCCTCGTCCTCAAGTCCAAGGTATGCGCTCTTCTTCCACCAAATGCTCTGTCTTTTTCGTGCAATACTGTCCGCTTATCCCTGTACAACACTTACCATAGCACCAACTGTACCAACATTTCGACAGGAAGAAATCTGTAACTAAAGGTTACCCGCATGAACCTACAAAGGTTACAGGGGTCTCTTGCTTACTTTTGCCACAACTATGTCTTGTATGTCTCGACCGGTCTTCTCTGATGGCCCAAGAGCCGTTCAGCCAGCCTATCGACGAGCTTCAGATCCTGAATCTTCCACAACAACCAATCGCAACCCTGTGTCTCAACAACCATCATGCAGTGGCGACTACTATCACAAATGCTATTGTGGCTGCAAGGGTTGTGGCTGTCACACCTCGCCTATCACAGATGAAGCGAACCATCATCGCCGTAACAGCCAGAAGGGTCGGGCTATCCCAATACCGGAGAATCCAGTGACAGTTCTTCCCTGGGCTCCATCATCTCTCAGTACCATCCACTCAAATGACCAGAAATTCAGCTTCGACAACAGTTTCGAGGTGGGCGACACTTATTTGCAAGCAGCCGACGTCGCTCAACATGAAGTTGACTCCACTATTGAACATGATGAGGATGATGACCCATGGACAACTGGTCAGTACCTTAGCCGGCCAGACGATATCGAGCTAGAGAATTCGTCCAACATGATTGGGGCTGAGGATATGGAATACGCCTCAATGTACGTAGAGGCCGGGGGACCCAGTTCTGCAGAGGACTCTATGCTCTCGAGCCAGTACGAAGCATCATTCCGACGCTCATCCGGAAGTGTCACTACCTCGCAGTTGATCAATGGTATCGGGGATGCCTTTGCAAGCCAGCTTCCTCAATCAGCAGCGGCCACGATGGAGTGCCAGCATACCAAGACGAGGCAGATGTGTCAAGTTTGTCGACACTATTGAGGCCGGACCGGGTGCCAGCTCTGAGCCGGGAGAGGGGCGTGGTCTTTTCAGCAAGCTCTACTGTCAACAATGTACTCTGTGCTTTGGTCTTGTACAACTGTTCTTTTTCTTCATGGTGGCGGTTTTCTCTTTGGTATTCTCAACACTTGTACAACAGCTACGAAGTTGGTGGTCATTGACGAGGACAACAGTGCTCAATTTTGATCCCAGCCAACCCGGACGCATGGTGTTTTTGGACGGCAGTCTTCTCTAGTTAATGATTTCAGAACTTTAGCAAGCGCACACATATCTGTATCTGATTTACTTGTTGGTCAAACTCATCTGCATCTGCATCGTAAGCAATTGAGGATTATTCCACAATCTTGTGTCCTCGTCCCGTAAGGCTCCGGACTCACTCCACCCAACGCTGCCCCTCCTGAGTGCGGCTGCTCTTCGGGGCGCTGCAATGACGCAGCTTCTCCAATAACTGGAACTTCTCAGTTGCAGGTGAAACCTCCCAAGTTACTGCACGATCAACACATCTGAGTGTCTTCGCCAGCCTTCCACCGTCTCGGCTGTTTGCCCCGGATTCCCATACACCTGATCACAACCCATTTCCACCGCCGACCGGCTCGTAATCTCATCCGCACGGCTCCAGTACCTCTCGAGAAATTGCAAAGAACCAAGCGGCGCGCACCCTACGCGATGTCTCCCCCAGCAATTATAGCCCCGTCGATATTGAGTGCCGACTTTGGCGCGCTGGGAGGAGCATGTTCAAGAACCATGGAACAAGGGGCCGACTGGCTTCATGTGGACATTGTATGTGTCGTCTTTTTTGTGACAGCCGCGGGAGGTTTGGGCGAAGAATGTCGGGCTGACGGCGCTTTCCACTCTAGATGGACGGGCATTTCGTGCCAAACATGACCTTTGGAGCTCCCGTTGTCTCCATGATTCGCACACATGTCGATCGGCCCAAGACCGCTGGAGGAAGAGGCACGTTTGATTGCCACATGATGATCGCAGAGCCGCATCGGTGGGCTGCCACATTCCGCGACGCGGGATGCGATCTGTACTGCTTCCACTACGAGGCAGCCGTAACGTCCGTCGCGGCTACAGAACCTGCCGACAAAACCACCACACGCAAGACGTCCCCGAAAGAACTGATAAAGTATATCCACGATCTGGGCATGCAGGCCGGCATTGCCATCAAACCAGACACGAGTGTAGACGTGCTGTGGGACATCTTGGAGAATGAAAATGCCGCAGAACGACCGGATGTATGTGTCATGATTCCTCAGGAGTGATACGAGGCTGTGTGGGAGAGTAGAGCTGACATGTGGCAGATGGTACTCGTTATGACGGTTCATCCTGGATTTGGCGGCCAGAAGTTCATGGCCAGCGAGCTACCCAAGGTGTCCGCGCTTCGCAAGAAGTACCCCGAGATGAACATCGAGGTGGACGGTGGGTTGGGTGAATCTACGATAGATCAAGCGGCAGATGCTGGGGCCAATGTTATTGTTGCTGGGAGTGCTGTGTTTGGGGCCAAGGATCCAGGTCAAGTCATCAGCGCTCTGCGGGAGGCTGTAGAGAAGAGAAGAGGAGGGAAGTTATAGTTGCGGATCAGAGGAAGTATAGAGTTGGACGGGGTTTTTGTTACGCTGAGAGCCAGGGCCATTGTGGCCGCTCGACGTCTAGAAGCGAATACCAACATTATTTTTGAGAATTCGCTCCCACGATTCCCTGAGATCGCTTTATTATTATTCGATTTCGCGTTGCATCATCCATTCGAGAAACGTGTGCGAAGGCATAGCCGCCATCTAATCTTCTCAAATTCGGCGTGGCAAGTCTGTAATCGTCAAAGGCGATCTCAACCACCCAATCTGGCTTGATCGTGGTCCTTGGGGGCAAAGCTATCAACGATGCGAGACAGCCACTCAGGCCTCGCCATGGTGTGATAGTGCTTTGGAGAAAGAAGGCAAGGGTGTCTTGACGGTTCGGACCAACCAAGTGGAATTCCCTTGAGGATGTTGCGTCCCCACGGTTTCGAAATCGCCATCGTGCCTTTCGCTGCCTCGGAGCCAGCCTGACGCCCGAATTTCGCTTCTTAAAGGGCCCGGGGATCAAGCTCAAATGTGATTGCACGGGGCGTATCGAGCTGGCCTTAACCGAGGTTTCTGCCGGGGGCCATTTCCATCTCCACATACAGCCCAACTAGGTCAATCACCGCGCCCATTATCGATGTACATGCGTTATACGACTGACTGGGACCGTATCCTCACGTGGCAGGGCGATCATGATGGCATGTATCTGACCCATCCAGGCAGCAAAGTGGGCGGACCGCTCGTGAAGCTGACAAACTCACTGGCGATCAACAACCCCTGGAATATAAATCATCTCCAACGTAATCATCTACCCTTACAAAGTACCCAAGAATTCAGCAACAACAGCAGCAGCAGTAGACAATAGTATTCTCGTCATAATCACACCATGACAGATATACAACCTTTCACCATCTCCGTCCCCGACTCTGCCCTGTCTGATCTCAAGACTCGTCTCTCTCTCGCACGATTTCCAGACGAAATCGACGGTGCAGAATGGGACTATGGAGCTCCTTTAGCCGACGTCAAACGGCTGACAGGCTACTGGAAAGATAAGTACGACTGGCGAGCGGCGGAAACCAAACTTAACGAGCTTCCCCAATTCACGACCTCGATCCAATGTGACGGGTTCGACACACTGCGCATCCACTTCATCCACGCCAGATCGAGCAGGAAGAAGGCTATCCCGCTGCTCTTCGTGCACGGGTGGCCAGGGAGTTTTATCGAAGCGACGAAGATTTGGCGCCAGCTGTCATCACCGTCACCATCGCCAGGATCCGACGACCTAGGGGAAGACGCGGCGGCGGCGGACGTACCGGCGTTCCACTTCGTGGCTCCGTCTCTGCCCAGCTACGGCTTCTCCGAGGGCGTGAACAAAAAGGGCTTCGCGCTAGCCCAGTACGCCGAGACGTGTCACAAGCTGATGCTCAAGCTGGGCTACGAAGAGTATGTCACCCAGGGCGGCGACTGGGGGTACTATGTCACGCGGGCCATGTCACTCCTGTACCCTCGGCACTGCAAGGCGACGCACATCAACATGGACCAGGGCCACGCTCCGAGCTGGACGAGCCACCCGGCGCTGGCGCTGCAGCACGCGCTCACGCCCTACTCGGACGCGGAGAAGCGGGGGTTGGAGCGGACAAAGTGGTTCACGGAGCAAGGGTCAGGGTACCGCCTGCTGCAGTCCACGAAGCCGCAGACACTGGGGTACGCCATGGCCGATTCCCCCGTGGCGCTGCTCGCGTGGATCTACGAGAAACTGCACGACTGGACCGACTCGTACCCCTGGACCGAGGACGAGGTGTGTACGTGGATCAGCATCTACTGGTTCTCCACCGACGGCCCCGCGGCGAATCTGCGCATATACTACGAGGTCACGCACCAGTGGGATAACCCGGCCACGAGGGTCACGAGGGATAGGGCCTTGGAGTACATCGGGGGCGGGGTGAAGTTGGGAATCAGCCATGCGCCGAAGGAGTTGAGGGTGTTGCCGTCGATCTGGACGAGGGGACAGGGGGACGTGGTCTTTGAGAGGACAAATGACAGCGGTGGGCACTTTTTCGCGTGGGAGAGGCCAGAGTATTTGATCAAGGATGTGAGAGACATGTTTGCTAAGAAGGGAGGTGGTGCCTACGGAGTGGTGAAAGGGTTGGACGGGTATTAGATTTGAGGATCGGGAGCTTGTCCGGTCAAAACGCCCCATTGGCCTACCCTGCAGAACTGGTACAATGGGAACCATCACTTCTACCAACCTTCTGGAAAAGGATGTGAGCCCTTAAAGTTTCAAGTTTGAGGAATGGCTCTCTCCTATTGAAGAACAATTGGCACTCGTCACGACGGGTGCCCCGAAACTACCGGCCTTAATGGCGAATAATCACTCCTTGCCACTTGACCCACTCTCCAACGTCAGGAACAAATTCCTCATCCTCAAAGGCGGCAGAGGTGATGTTTCTCCCAAAGAGTCTCTTATTCAGACTTGCCAAAAGACCTGGCATTGCTTTTCTTATATTGTTGAGAAATTGTCGATCATTGAATGTCTTGTTGGTAGAGAAAGTAATTGCATCTACAATCTCGGCCTGTCCAACTCGATGAACACGGGCAACCGCTTGCTCGCCCGTGGCTTTTGATGGTGGAGGGTCGAGAAAGGCTACGTGATGGCAGCGATGTTGGAGATTCAGCCCACAGGAGGTGATGACATATGAACCAATGAGCACCATTGGCTCATCTTCGCGGTTGAATAAATGCTGAAGATTGCCTTTTTGGTCGCCTGTCAACTGTGCATGGTAAACACCCGTGTTGGGATCTTCATAGCTTGTAGGATACTGAACTATATATAGTACCTGCTGTGCTGGAAGAGATGCAAAAAGAAAAACATCACACTTGGTGATTGGGTGAACTGGAAGGGTCGACTGTACAAGGCAGACAACAAACGCCTATCGCCCAACCATAACCAGCCGGTCATGCTGGACATGAGGTACTGATGAATTGTAAGCCTAGGGGCCACTGATGGACCATGGTGGAGGCTTCACTATGGAGTTAGAGAAGGCGCCATTCCCTTTCAGGGGCGTTTTACGCATTTGACTTTTGGACCCACTCCCGCGGGTTCCATCCGCAAACGCTTCTCTGTCTGTCTGCTCGCAGTGCTCGGACTTTGATGGACTTCATAAGTAACTTGAGACGGTCTGCGTGCGCAACAAGGGGCCAGGCAGCAGCCATCAGGAAATGAGAATGTTATAGAACACGTTGTTGGCCGCGTTGCAACTTCCGTCCTCCCCTTTATAAATTCAGAAAAGACGACATTCCGTACGTACCTACCGATGGAGGCCACCAAAAGAGACCAGCACTATTTGACCCAGCGAAGCTCTTCATAAGCGGTCGTCACTCTCTCACGTTATGAACTGAGTTGTGAAAGATTACAGGCATGGGCAAACTCAGGGAGGTTCAGGCCTTCGAAAAGTCGAAGGCATCGCCTTCATCGCATCCGTCTGTAGATCCTGCCTACGATTCGGATACTTCGACGCAGCACCTTCGCGAAGTAGTGATGCACAAGCTATCTTTCTCGAGTATGCATAGTTGGGGTTTGACAAAATCATCTCTGATCTATTTTATAGGCGACTTTACGCTCAACTTGGACATGATCAAAGGCCTCGACGAACTCTCGAGGGGCATCGAGGCTAGTTCCTTCACAACAGCTTCGGAAAACACACGGACGACTACTTTACCGAGCTACCAGTCGAACCAGCCCGTTCCACCACTTAATATCGTCATGCAGGTCGTTGGGTCTCAAGGTGATATCCAGCCATTTGTCACCCTGGGCCTGGCGCTCCAGAAGGAGGGCCATCGGGTCCGCATAGCAACACATCCAGATTTCCAGGCCTACGTTCAAGGCTGTGGCCTCGACTATTTCAACATTGGAGGTAACCCCGCAGGGATGATGGCGTACATGGTGAAGAGCCCGGGTCTCTTTCCAACACTAGGGTCCGTCCTTGAAGGAGAGGTTCGTCGACGACGCCATGAAGTACGAGATATGATGACGGCATGTTGGAAGTCTTGTTTCGAGCCGCTCGAGGCAGGGAAGTCGGCGTCAACGAATACCAGAGCAAGAGCGTTGTCGGACGCTTTGCCCTTTGTCGCCGATGTTATCATCGCGAATCCGCCGTCTTTTGCTCATATTCATTGTGCAGAGAAATTGGGCATACCAATCCACATGGTCTTTACGTACGTACCTTGGTTCTGGATCTCCAACTTTGGTCATTTTCTGAAGCTTAGCGGGTTGATAACAGGATGCCATGGTCGCCGACAAGAGAATATTCTCACCCGCTGGCCAACCTCAAGTCAACGAAGCTGGATGCCAAAGTCGTAAACTTACTGTCTTATTTTCTTGTGGACGCAATGATCTGGCAAGGCCTAGGAGACGTCATAAACCGCTTCAGGTGTGAAACTCTAGGACTTGAGGCCATACATCCTTCTCAAGCGCCCGGGCTCATACACAGATTCGGAATCCCGCATACTTACTGTTGGTTCGTTTGGTACTTGATTGAAATCATGTTGAAATTTGCTGATTCTGGGCCAGGTCTCCATCTCTCATTCCAAAACCGATGGATTGGGCGCAAAACGTCACTGTACCAGGCTTTTTGTTCAGCACACAGGCCAAAGCGTACTCCCCACCACAGGCACTTCTGGATTTCCTCGACGCCAAACCTGCCCCGGTGTACATTGGCTTTGGCTCAATAGTGGTTGACGATCCGGAGCGCCTTACTGCTCTCATATTTGAAGCTGTCCGCCAGGCTGGAGTTCGAGCTATTGTTTCCGGGGGCTGGGCGGGGGTAGGCGCCACGGGCCACTCTTTACAGAGCCACGACGATGTTCGTGACGTTCTTTTGATATCTTCCTGTCCTCACGACTATCTATTTCCTCGAGTATCCGCCGTTGTTCACCACGGCGGCGCCGGAACTACTGCTGCTGGCCTTGCCGCAGGAAGGCCGACAGTCATTGTGCCTTTCTTTGGCGACCAACCATTTTGGGGCAAAATGGTGCATGATTATGGTGCAGGACCTCCGCCCATTCCATTTGGCGAACTCACAGCCGAGAAGCTGGCGGCCAGGATTGCCACCGCAGCCACCAGCCCGGTAATGGCTCGATGTGCTGACCACCTCGCCGAGCGTATTCGCACCGAAGACGGGCCGCAGGGTGCCGTCGCCAACTTTCATAATAATCTGCCTCCATCGATGTACGACGGCGGCAATCTGTATGCTGGACAAGTGGCCGTATGGCGCCACGGTTCCCTCTCGAGGAAGCTCGGAGTTGATGTTACCCTTTCCGCGCTTGCAGCTACTGTTTTGCGCAAGGAGAAGCTTCTAGACTGGAAAGACTTGCAATTGAACCAGACTTGCGAATACAATATCGGACAACTAGGGCCGTACGAGCCGGTACTCGGCGCAGTTGGAGCCGTGAGGGATCTGCTCTATGACGCCCTGAGAGGAATGGGGGAAATCTTGTTTGACGTGGTGCGTGTGCCGTATGTTGGCACTCAGATGATACGCCAATCTCGCAAGAATGCTCGCATGGTGGAAATGGAAAGTCGACTCATTCTTCAGGGAGGTGACCACAATGCTGCTGAACGAGGGAATCACGGCGGGCCTTCCAAGGCAGACGAAGGCGCACCGCTCTTGCGAAAGGCCACGCAAGACTCCTGGCGCGAAGGGTCAACGACCAAAAAGACTGGGTTCGTCGGTGAAGGCGCAGTCAAGGGTACTCTGCGCATAGGCAAGGCGGCAGCCAGGGCGCCGGGCGCGTTCACTTTGGCAATGGCAAGAGGCGCGCACAATGTCCCCAGGCTCTGGGGAGACACCACGGTTCGGACGCAGCGGCAGGTCACAGGCATAAGCAGTGGTGTGAAGGAAGGGGTAAAGGTGCGTTTGGCTTTTTGTTTTTTCCTCCCTGCGACTTGAAACTTAAGCTTGGTCGACGTCAATCCCTGTGGTGATTTAGAACGAACCAAACCTTAAGCTAATGTGGGAACTAGGAGTTTGTCTTTGGCGTTAGTGACGGTATCACCGGTCTCGTCATGCAGCCTGCGCGAGGGTTGATGGATGATGGCCTGGTGGGCCTCGCACACGGTACTGCCAAAGGGATCCTAGGCCTCCCTATCAAATGGTATGCCGCAGCCAGTGGGATAGTAGGGTACCCTTTGAAAGGGATCGATGTTGAGGTCACGGAAGCTCTCCGGGGTGATCGAGGGATGAAAGCGATCCGTCAGTCGAGAGTACAGCAAGGAGAGCTGGCGTGGATTCAGGCGAGCGACTCTACCAAGGACGCCGTCATCGAAACATGGAAATCTCTCACATTGCGCGCGCAGAGCACCAAGTACGACTGAAATCCATCTTGAAGAGATCACGATCGTCCTATTGCCTCCAAGGTCGAGCTAACGAGAGTTAGTGGGAGATATCGGAGTCACAGAAGGCGCCGAGGCTGAGATGTGTTGATACCATGCAGGTATAACATGAGATTTTTGTCTCTTCTCATGGAAAAGGTATTGGTTCTACTTGTTTATGTTCAGAGACATTGATAGATATAGACTGTGGAATCTGGATAATATTACGTAGACCTAGATGAATATCTGGCCTTACACCCTTTACACCTTCTTCTATAGGGCATCTATTTAGGAGATTAAGATCTCTAGACTATCCACAGAAAGTTTATGTCTATGGAAATTTATCGTGCTTCGATAATTCTATATTTATACCCTGGATCCGCCACTCTAAATTATTAAATCATGTAGGATCTGAGTATAGATACGGCACTTGAAAGTCAATATTAAAGCTCTAAATCAGTTCCTCCGAAAACGTCTTCAAGTACTTCATTCCCGTGTCGCACATCAAGGTCACCACTGTGGCATCTTTGCCCAGGCGCTGGGCAAGTCGCAAGGCGGCAACCACATTTGCTCCAGTTGACGTTCCGCAGAATATTCCCTCTTCCCTGGCTAGACGAAACGCCATTGCCTTTGCATCGGCGGTAGACACGCGCTCGATGTCGTCCGCAATGCTGTCGTCCCAGAGCGGTACCACATAGCCTGCTCCGATACCATCGATCTTGTGTGATCCCGAGGGCCCTCCGGAGAGAACGGCAGACTCTGCGGGCTCCGCTGCAACAATCCGAACTCGCCCGTCGTATCCGCGGAGCGTTTTGGAAATCCCTCGAATTGCAGCTGCCGTTCCTACGCTCTGCACAAACCCGTCCAGCCGTCCATCTGTCTGAGTCCAGATTTCCTCCGCAAGCTTTTCGTAGGCGCGGAGCTGGTCCTTGTTCTCCATTTGAGCCGTGATGTACGCTCCTGTCTGATCGGCGATTTTGTGAGCTTCACGAATCATGTCCCTGGTCAATTTCTCCGTCTGCTTGCCGTTGTCACTCGGAATCAGCGTCAGAGTGGCGCCCAGAAGTCGCATGTGATCAAGCTTTTCTTTCGAGAAAGCATCCGAAGAAACGAGATGGAGAGGATGCTTTTTCACAGAACAGATGAGCGAAAGTGATACTCCAGTGCTGCCGCCGGTGTATTCGACCACAGCTCCACCGGGTTTCAATCGGCCATCGGCCTCTGCACCTTCAATCATGGCCAGGGCCATACGATCTTTCATGCTGCCCGTTGGATTTCGACTTTCTATCTTCAGAAAGATGCGTGCGCCATTATCAGGTTTGATATGGTGGAGTTGAACGAGCGGCGTGTTGCCGATTGTATCTAGGATAGTAGTGTTCTGAGGGATACTCATTTTGGACGCTGAGAGAGCACTGGTTGGGCTGATCTCATAATTTGGTTCCGGGTCAATCTGCCAACCTGGTGTTTGCTGAGACTTGAATCGAGAACTACCTGAGGTAGTACTATCGATTTCTCCCCCGATCCTTGGAATATATAGCATGCCACTACCTATTATATCATCGAGGTGTACGACGCTTAGATTAGTGATGTGGAGGTGCGATCAGTGATCTTATGTTGGAAACACGCCGAAAAGGGTATTTGTTTCTTGATTACTGATCAGTTGAATAGGAGCTCCTTTCTTTACGCGCCAACCACTTACACTTGGCACCGATCTCAAAAGGTCGGTCTGGGTCTAGTGAACTCATTTATTGACAGAATGGAACTTCTATGATACGTACTCTCGGGTTTCTAGATTAGTGAGATGTATCTGGCAATGTCCGTGGGAGCCTTGAGTCTTGTGCAGACGAATCAAAGTACGGAAGCGAAATGACCAGTATCTTCAACGAACAGGCGCAATCAGGCTATGAATTACTGGGGATCTCTAGAGGACCAGGGCCCCGTTCTTTCTCGAAAGTCCTGAGCCTGAGCCAGAGAAAAAAGATCCGCGCATTATCCACAAGGTTTTTACAACGGCCGCAAAGACTGTGTCGGCAAGAAAGAATTACTCTGCCGACCATCGATACTTACAATAACGCCAGACCCCGGGACGGCCATGACGCGGACCTGCGCGGAACAGTTGCCGATTGGCCTCCTGCATTGAACGTCAGTTTTCATCGACGATGTTGAGGCCCTCATCTTGGACGCAGTCCGGTTACCATGGCGGGGCTATTTTTCCAGAAGTTGACCGCGACAAGGCAACATTATTTACGCCAGATGTACCTAGCTTTGCATGAACAGTAACTTACGTACCTCTATCCCTCCTTGAAAGCTAACGAAATGACAGTCAAAGAAATGTGGATAATACAAGCCTAAGATCGGGCGTGGAGATTGGTTACTATCATACACAGGTGCTGCCCCGAAATTTCGTCAATCATAACTCGGTATAATTGGGGCTCTTCTTTGTTTCCGCCAGAAGTTTGCCCGTTGCCCCCATTCAGGACCAAGAATAAAGCCGCCCCAACGTTCAAGTAAACTGGGACAGAATTCCCAAGAGAATTCGTTCAACCAGTCTTTTCCCCATACGATGATCTGACCGGTATCTTCGATATCGCATGCGATTGTACATGCGTCTGTGAGGAAAGAACTAGCGTTCGCCGGGCCAACCATTATTAATCGATCTCTAAGACTGGGGGAAGGGATCAAGTCTATATACACATCGTGAGGGACTGAGAGTTGTAAAGACGTCGGCTTCAAGGGATTTGGCAATGTTGATTTTAATGCTGCCAGAGTGGCCAAGTGCATTTGGGAGGTTGAAGGTACTGAAATTTCGAGAAGAGGACTAAACATGGTATATAGATTGCGTCGAATGTCGTGAATGTTATGAGGGGACATCAGCACCGAGTTCGCGGGAATCGTGCTTACGCTCGATGCTAGTGTCGTGGTGAGTGGATAAAGGGTAGATGGTCCGAATTCCGGTGTATATGAAGCATTTGTGGGTATCGATCCCAAATAGTCCGGATAAAGTGCCCCGTAGTGGATATCCTTCGAAGGAGATGGTGAGATCGTCGATATATGAGAGGTTGCTGGAGATCTATACGCTGGAGATCTATAGGCAGCTTTGAGGGATTCATTCTCCTGTGAAAGGAGCTGGAAATCACGACGAAGTCGCTTGACGTTCTCGACTTGGATACTGTTGGATACGGCCTGTGCTGCTTCGAGGTTACGAAGATGTTCTTTGCGCCGTTGACCTGGTGTACATTAGTGGATGTACGAGGGAGAGCTCGCCACAGACAAAGCGAAGCGTGACATTCTGTTGTGGTCACTTACGAAATGCTCGCTGAGCATTTCTATTATATTCTCTGTATCATCGTGAGTGATTCCGGCCAATAGTCAATAAATTGAGCTCGCAAACCAACCTCTTCTTCGATACTTTGTTGGCCTCGCTGTCGGCTGCTAAAAGTGCGACAATGGAGACGTTTTCATCGCTATTGATGCAATGGGAAGCAGACTGTGTAGCGATCGACATCTTTCATGCACCTCTTGGTAGCTAATGGTTGGCCTAGGTGTCACAAGCGGCAGTTTCCAGAGGGACCGGTGTGATACGACTACGGCCTCTCTTTGAGGGTAGTTCTCGATATCAAACGAACCTACTAGCAGTCAAATAACCCCTCAAGAGTATTTAATAAGAAGACTTAAGAACTCCTCACCACAACCGGTTTACAAATTTGGCATTGACACTGGGATCCGTGCTCTTACTTCCATGGAACTATTGAGAAAAGGTATAGCAGGGCAAAACTGACAGGGCCCACCACCTCAGTTCGCATAGTGAAAAGCAAATTAGAGTTCATCGCTGCTCCCTTGGCGAAGCACTGTCCATTGGCATGCCGGGGACCACGAGGTGGTCAAACCTTCTCGGTATAGCCCTCCTTTCCGTAACTGACGTTTCAACGATCAATCTCTGTAGGAGCACATCCCCTAAACACTTATCCTATAATCAGGGGTAGGGTACACACTAATCCGAATATGCTGGGTAAGGAATCATTGGTTGCGAATGTAGGCTTTGGGAGACCAAGTTTAACCATAGACTTCTGGTCTTCCCGCATTCCACATCAGGGCATCGGAAAGTGTTACAGGTCATGCTCGAAATGTAGGCTTCAATCTGCAATCTGACAACGCTAACACTGTTACTAGTTCCTGGCTCCGTGTGCTTCGACTCTTTGGGGGTTGCTGTAGAAGACGCCACCGCTAAAGAGTGGCAGGACAAACTCATCTTCGGAAGCCTGTTTCGCCGGCAAGGGGTCTCAAGGATGTCGCTTCGGCACTCCTCGTTAGGGTCTCTAAGCGAGGGGCCCAATAGTGGACAAGCTACACTGGCATGATCACCGCACAGAGTCTCTTCTGACTCGGGAGCGGACAGAAGTTCGGCCGCCCTTGATGGTGGAATATCTCCGGCTGGTATGAAGGCGGAACATGTCTGGTGCCAGCGAGGGTACAGCAATCGCTCAACTGAGGAGGATTCTATGCCTTTGTACACTCACACAAACGAGCGGTCGTTATACTGTAGCTTGACGATGCCCAAGAAAAGTTGTCACACTATCATGTCTCCAACTTCCCAAGCACGGTACGTCAAGTTCTTGTCGGCGGATTCCGACATATGGCTAACATTATAAGCTTCGACATCCGACGTTTCACGGCATGCGAGGCGATGTTGGGCGAAGCATTGAATAGGAGCCCTGTAATTGCTCTGTACTTCAAAGGCGCCCTGGCCTGCAGATCCACTGGAACACGACTCGTGAAGTCGTGCGTACGAACCTTAAGTGAACGCCACCGACCACCCTAGCTTCATGCTGACCCTTTGTTCGTCCCTTTCTCAGAGGTGCCTTCCATATGTGTTGAATGGGGGTTTGGCAGGATCAATAACAAAGTGCCGAGAGCGTTTCGTGTTGTAGAGGTTCTTCCGGCGTCGATGCATAGCCTAGAGAGAAAAGCCTGGAGTATCGAGCACCAGAGATACGGCAAAGTTCAAACGACAGCAGGCCGCATAATGTCTTTCAAAAGTACATCCGCTCCTCCTATAACGCTATGCTGTTGCCGGCGCTCGCTTGCAGATGGGGTTCACAAGAAGGAACTGTACGGCATATCCACCAGCCTCTCGCCAGCACCTCTCCGAAACACTTGCGTCCCTTGCATAATACCAATCTAGCCTTCCTCCTGGGGTCTTCTACCCTGTCGTATACTTCTCTTCGTGCCTAGAAGTTAAGCGAAATCACTTCTCCTGTGGTTAGTAGGGGTTTTGAGTCTCATTCCCGAACGGAACAAGCTACCAGCAGACGATACAGCGCCGATCCGCGGTAGCTATTAGTAGATAGGCCAAGCGGTATCTCTGCTTGTCACATAGGCAGATGTAACTGTACTGTCAATTGAAATCCAGGCTTTCCACATCCTGACATCGTCCCAGCGGCAGGCCGTGACAATACGTCCGTACTAGAATTGTGGCTGGCGATGCTTAGATTGTACTTACGTACATGTATGGTACTCAGAGACTACGAGTGCCGTTCCCAATTGACTCGCTGCCGAAAGATGAAATCAATGGCCCAGGCCATGACGATAGCTAGTAGGCGGATCCTGCGTTTGTAGTACGCCTACCGACTGTCAAGCACTCTGTTCGGATTGATCACGATCAAAGAAATTATTCACGCCTTACGCTGCAGTTAATCATTCGCATGACTACTATTTACTCCTTTTCGGTGTTGTTCTCGACATCGAATAAGTTGATGAGCCTGGGCCGACCTCTTCAACGTTCTTGACGTAAAGTCTTGAGAACTTCTCACTCGGGTCGACTTACGAAGTCCGCATTAGCGTCAGGATTTATGCTCCTGGTTTACGCCATTGTCTAGTTGTGAAAACATCCACAGCGATGCGGATCAAATTGGGCAAGGCAGAACAGACAAGGCTCCACATATCAGCTGCTTAATTCGTGTCATTTTGCATAATGGGAACCTTAATTAGATCCGCGTGTCCTGCTACCAGGCCGTTTACGGAGCACAGTGAGTTTTTACGCTGGAACCCTCGGGATGATCCCAAGATGGCCACCCTTTCGAGCATTCTCGGCTATTGGCTTTCCAAGAACCGATCCCGTCAGGCAACACCCCCCCCGCAACATTGGTCCTTGCATTACTAGGGCGAAAGTAATACGTGAAACTGATCTTGAGGACATGGGCGGTTGACGATCGAGCTTGACCGTCAGTTCTCTGGTCTTGCCTCATTTGGTATCAATGCCTCAGTGGGAGGGACAGAAAGTGCTTGAAACCAAGGGGCAAGATGTGTAATCTCGCAACGCTTCTTCTGACACTCTTCCGCGACTTCATGTGCCACGATTCCTCTGGAGTTGGTTCCTAGGCATGCATCCTCTAACCCAGCAGAAGAAACTCATCTTCCAGTCCTGCTACGGCGGGAATGGCATCAGATAAACTAGGTGTAGCTTGTTTACATGAATGCCTTGAGGATTAGCTTGTTGTCGGTGGGCTCCGACACGAGGTTCACGGTGACTATATCATTAACCGGTAGTTCCCGCCATCCGGGGTGGTGGCGGGTGGAGGAGGCCAATACGATTATACGAGGATGCCTTCGGCTATCCGAGCCCTGTGTTGTACAACAAATTATGTACGTCCGAGCTCGCGGATCCACTCCCCGTAAAATCATGCATCCTTACGTGATGGCGGTTGGGAGGTGGCAGTAGTAACCTTAAAAGAACGCCAATCATCCCCTACTTCGTTCAATTCTTCCGGTCATATTATGACTCTCCCTTTTGTGCGCCGGATGTCTTGGATGAGGTGTTGGCCGACGTCCTTGACAACAAACTACTGAGAGAAATTTTTCGCCTTAGAGGTACTTTTGGAACTGATGAAGAGCCAAGAGACAAGCCTAGAGCCTCTAGAGCCTCTAGCGCCGGAAACACAGACATCGCTGGCATGCCGCAGACCAATCTTGCCTACAGTACATCCGCTCCTTGTTTACGCTATCCAGCGGTCGGCGCTCGCTTTCAGCTAGAGTATATGCGCCATACGAATATCCACAACCGTCTTGCCATGCGCCGCTCGATGAAGCTTGCGTAAGCTGCGGAGAATCGAAGTTCCCCCCCTGAGGTGTTCTGTTCTGCTGTATCCTTCTCCTTGTGCTTTGAAGATGAGTAAAGCCACTGCTCCTGTCATTAATGCCCTCTGTTGATTTATTCGAATCTATCTCGCGGCGATTGGAGCTCTTTTCTCTAGTCAGCACGTCCCACTTCCGCCTAAAGTCTTTCGTCGACGTCGAATGGCCATCTCTGTTCATGATGACTCCAGAAGACATTTGTCAGTGAAGGCCTTCCACGCAGTTCAGGGAACACAGACCATCAGTCTCCTTTCGCCCTGACACTAGTCAATCAATCATGTCTCCGCATCTGGGCATCTGGGCCTAAAGTTGGCGTGTCCAGCCTGAAGCCCTTTCCTTGACGCTTACCAGGTGTATGATCCAAAACATTTTATGGCCTCAGCTCAAGGGCTAGAGACTGCTTTCTATCCACCGCAGCACCTGGCCTGGAAAGACATGTCTCAAGCACGGCCGCTGTGCCTGGTGTTGCACTGTTGCGGTCTAGACTCGTCGGGCTGCTGCCGCCAGCTACATATGGTAAAAACAGGGAGAAGTTCGGGTACCTGCAGAGCCAGGCGATTCCAGAAGACTATCTAACATTCAATTTAGATGCTGAAATGGTGTTGTTGATTGACGTGAGCCTATCAAGTCCTGATTTCCCTGGTGCATCCGCTTTCATGGTGTCAGTGCCAATCGCTTCTTTTTCGATGAGAATTGTTGACTTACAATAACTTACTTACGAAAAAAGGAGGATGCCTGTGCTTGCAAGAGAGTTCACGGATATTGAAACTAACGTTTGTCGCCTGTCGCACGCGGCTCATTTCTCTTCAATTTGGAGTTCTTCACTCGCAGATGTCACAGGCCAGGTCAATTTCAGAAGTACGGTGCGTGACGGAGAGGCGAAAATCACTTTGTGTGAAGTCTAGCTCTCAAATTTCGTGGAGATTGGCAACTCTTCAACAACTTTAGCCTCCTGAGAAAGTACAAGAGACACTTTGAGTATATAATCTGGTTCACTCTGCACTTCAATTCTCAGATTCAACAAGTGCCTTCTTCATACCCTTGACGGACCAGAGACCCAACCTTTTCAAGGTCATCTGGGGTTCGTCATGACGCTCTTGAGGACGCCGCTTCTTACGGCGCTTCTCACGGTGCTCAGCTCCAACTCGGTCATTGGGGAACCACTAGCGACGATACAACCTTGTCCAGAGGCAACGGGCCTCCATGTTGCGCCGATCACTGTGACCTCTCAGTATCAACCTGTTGCGACCTGCCAACCAAGCACAGCTTGTGTGAAAGGACAATGCTCGACGATATATCCCTTCACAACCTATCCTTTCGTCTCCACCACCATTCCGCAGGCATGGAACGGAACAACAACCCAAAATGTTCTTGTAACAGATGTTGGCCAATTTGTCAAGGCCTCTGAACACCTCGAAACTATCGCAATTGTCACGGCTGCGCCCTCTGTGAACAGGGCAATGTGGCCAGGCTGGCTGAACCGTCACAAAAATGCTGCAACTATTGACAATGCCCTTACATATTTCGAGACCGTTACTAGGCAGGCCGTTGCTCCTTTCAGTGCTCTTGGACCTATAGCAATTCCCGGATGGGAGGGCAGCGGACTGTGCAAGAACTGTTTAGGCAGTGATGGTAGCAAGTACCAGCTCTTCCAGGTTGTTGAATGCCGTTATGGATCTTTTGCACCTGGCAAACCATTTCAAGGGTGTACAGAGTGGTTCGAAACAATCATCGAACAACCATCCACTACTATGCCGGTAGAGGCCATTTGCTCAAGTACAGGAACTATTCCTCGAGCTGGCGTTTATACTTGGACCTTTCCCCAGGTGGTACCACCTGTCACCGTCACAAAGCCTCCCGTGGTTGTCACTACGACCATCAATGGGCAGCCTTTGGTTACGTTGAAGCCCACGTTCCAAGTGATCCCATCACAATCTTGGAATGCAAAAGTTACAGGCACTTTTACCGCCGCCACAACCTTTGTCATTGAGGTGACCGTTACCAAGGTGTTTATTTTCCCGGTGTCCTGGGGAACTAGCTCTGCAGCATTATCCAACAGCATCCCAATTCCGACACAGTCGCTTCCAGGTCCGAGCAACCAACATGGATGGTGGCCGTTTCCCATTGGTCCCCATGGTCCCCATGGTGGTTCCGGCTGGCCTGGTTCTTACGGAGGTGGTCATGGCTGGCAAGACTGGAATCCAACCGTTTCCAGTTCGATCTCCACAAGCACCACTACATCCACAGCCTGGAGTAGTAGTGGATGGCTTGACTGGAGCTCACAATTTTCCATCACAGTCACCTCAAGCGCGACTACATCTACCAGTCGGGGGAGTTCGTCCACTTTAAGTTCAAGTGGATCTGTCGGACCAATCAGTGGCTCAACGACCGCAACCACCAGCACACGCCAGTCGTCCTCAATGACAACTACTTCAGGATCTGGCTCATCCACAGGAGGGCCCATATCAGGGTCTACTACTGGCTCGGGCTCGGGCTCTTCCACCGGTTCAGGGACCGGACCCAGTTCGTCAACAGGAGGGTCTGTTTCAGGCTCTACAACTGGCTCCGGAGGGTCTGGCTCATCCACAGGAGGGCCGATCTCAGGCTCTACAACTGGTTCCGGCTCAGGCTCAACCACAGGCTCAGGATCATCTACAGGAGTTTCTACCTCAGGTTCAGGCTCGTCAACTGGGTCTGGAGGCTCGGGCTCGTCCACTGGTGCGCCGACATCAGGTTCAGGCTCATCAACACAAGGCTCAGGCTCCTCGACAACTGGTGGTGGTGGCGGCCAAGGTTCATCGACTGCCTCTACGTCTCAGTCCGGCTCGTCCACGCAAGGCTCAGGCTCATCCACCGGCGGGGGCTCAGGCTCATCAACTTCACCTACTTCTGGACTTGGCTCGTCTACCACAGGCGGCTCAGGAGGCTCTGGCTCGTCTACTTCAGGTGGTTCAGGAGGCTCAGGATCATCTACCACAGGTGGTTCAGCAGGTTCAGGGTCCTCCACCACAGGCGGCTCAGGAGGCTCTGGCTCGTCTACTTCAGGTGGTTC